CTGTTAGAAAGGAAGCTGACTTGGGTGTGAGCAGTTCAAGGCCACATTGGGTGTGTTCCCACTATTGATTCCATCTTTGCTACCATAGGCAAACTGGCCCGATAGTATAATAATCACTGTGTGTGTGTCTATGCGTGTATCTGTGCGTGTAGTTTAGCCTGAGATCTGGGATTCATTAGGTTGTGTTTGTGATGGGTGTGTTTATGTTGTGTCTAGTTTAGGGTTGATCTGTCTGTCTGTCTACTTACCTACCTACATACCAGCCTACTTGTCTGTCTGTTGTCTGCTGTCTGTGCGTCCGTCTGTCTGTCGCCTGGTTTCAACTACCACAGCCCGCCCCTCCATCCATCCTTATGTCTTTCTTTCTGTCGATCTATCCATCAGTATGCCTCTCCGTGCAGCCATGTTTTCCCCTGACTATCTGTCTGCAACTAGAGGCAGTATGTCTGTTTTTCTGTCTGTCTGTCCATCTATCACTCAGTGTTTCTAATGTCTGTTGTGGAGAGAGATCGTGTACACGTCTGCTGCAGCTCGGTTAGCTAACTCACATTCCCGAAAATCCGTCTTTTGTTAAGCTTACAAGAATGAGGATTTGAACACATGCCTGCTGCCGCAGACACGCGCTCTGGCTACTACACTCATTGTCATCGTTGTCGTCATCATCGTCATCATTCTCTTCTTACTAGGTCTTTATGTGTCACATACATGGGGGTCTATTTGTCCGTTCGTTCTATAGACCGAAATCTTTATGACATCATTAATGGAATCCATTCCACAACCTTTGACCTCTCGCTTCAACGTTGGATTAAGTCTTTCACTTTGACGTTCTTTCCTCCGTCCATTTGTTTCTCATTTCAGTGTCTGTTTAATGATTCTCTGCTTGTCTTTTCTCAGTGTATGTTTAATATAACGAAATCTTCTTTGCGTTATAACTATTAATAACAGCGCCTTTCCAGACCTATATATGATTCATTTATACTTACATTTGAACAAAGCAGTGTGCATATGCGGCTATTGACTTTCACATAGCAGCTGTATTATTGTGGGCGTTAAAGTTCAGGCTGATCAATGAAATGATTGCCATACGAATACGACAGACCGGCTCATTGGTTTTTCCCCACACCTTTACCTAGAAGAGGAACGCTAGGAAAGAAACAAAATTGTACTAAATTCAAGGAAAGATGTCCCACAAACTGTTAGACTGGTTATGTTTACCTTTGTGACCTCTACCTATTACCATGAGCACTGAGTTTTATAATGTTGTAATCTGTCCGCCAAGTCTTGTCTTGTGGTTAGTTCAGTTCACAGAGATATCGCAATGATGGGCGGAATCTGTACCGTGTGCCCTTTGGTGCGCTGTGAATTCCCTCTATTTTGGGTAATTGTTTGCAATCCTGCTTTTGTCTGAGACTTCTTATCTGGCTTGCCAACTGACGCAGACAAAAATGCTTCTCCGTCTTCCAGCAGATTGCATTAGTGCTGACATCTTTCCATACCATAATGACAGAACGTCAAGAATCTTCTTTGTGTGTGTCCCGCTTGTTCATGTTTCATTATTCTCTGTAGTTACATTATGCTTCAGTTGTTCTCCTCACAATTTGATCAGAAACAGATACAGTGATACTTGGTATGTGTCCCTTCCAGATCCTTCGACTTACGCCTAACAAGACTATATCAAACAGGACTTTTTTTTTTAAACTTAGTTGCGTATCCTTTTTACATTACCCATCCCAGCATTGGCTAGTTGTTTTTTTTTTTTAAGACAAATTTACGTCCATTAGTTTGCCATTGCTTTCGGGGCGGTCGGCTTCTCGATACGACTGTCGAAACCAAGGCAAGGCGCAAGGCCCTGCAGTCCGGCGTGACCAAGTACGTGCACAGCGCCTAAGTCACAGAAGCCAACAAACAGGACGAATTTTCCCAGAAGAAATAAAGAGTGAACGATTCATCCGTTTCCATGAAAACAAAGCCCTGTTAGAAGAAAAACAAAGAAGAAGAAGAAGGAGAAGAAGAAGAAGAAGAAGAAGAAGAAGAAGAAGAAGAAGAAGAAGAAGAAGAAGAAGAAGAAGAAGAAGAAGAAGAAGAAGAAGAAGAAGAAGAAGAAGAAGAAGAAGAAGAAGAAGAAGAAGAAGAAGAAGAAGAAAAAGAAAAGAAGAAGAGAAGAAGAAGAAGAAGAGAAAAGAAAAAAAAGAAGAAGAAGAAGAAGAAGAAGAAGAAGAAGAAGAAGAAGAAGAAGAAGAAGAAGAAGAAGAAGAAGAAGAAGAAGAAGAAGAAGAAGAAGAAGAAGAAGAAGAAGAAGAAGAAGAAGAAGAAGAAGAAGAAGAAGAAGAAGAAGAAGAAGAAGAAGAAGAAGAGGAAGAAGAAGAAGAAGAAGAAGAAGAAGAAGAAGAAGAAGAAGAAGAAGAAGAAGAAGAAGAAGAAGAGAAGAAGAAGAAGAAGAAGAAGAAGAAGAAGAAAGAAGAAGAAGAAGAAGAAGAAGAAGAAAAAAAAGAAAAAGAAGAAGAAGAAGAAGAAGAAGAAGAAGAAGAAGAAGAAGAAGAAGAAGAAGAAGAAGAAGAAGAAGAAGAAGAAGAAGAAGAAGAAGAAGAAGAAGAAGAAGAAGAAGAAGAAGAAGAAGAAGAAGAAGAAGAAGAAGAAGAAGAACGAGGAGGAAGAGGATGAAGAAACAGAAGAATTAGGTCAACAAATACCCCCGTGTGGCTGAGGGAGAAAGAAAAGATTCACTGCCCATAACAAGCATGTCGTAAAAGGCGTCTAATAAGGCGTTTGCTGAAATCAGATGTGCATGGTGGATTTGCGTGGACATCACAGCCTGAACAGAAGAAACACAGTGTCCCAGCGGCCGGTTTGAAGAAGAGCGTAGAATAAAGACTATGATGTATTTGTGCTATGGCCACTATCATTGTGACTTATTTCGAGATTGGTCGGTAAAACAACCTTGGCAGACTGTGGCAGAAAAACCTGCCCACATTCTTAAGTAACGTTTAGAGAGAATTTATCCGGCAGATCTGATTATTGGACCCAAAAGACCGTATCAGTCGCTTACGATTTTAGAGGGGTGGGGTCTCAAGGTACCTTTAGCTTTGAGCCTTTTTAAGTGTACATTAATAATTATTATTATGTGCGGAATGGCAAAAAATATAAAAAATATATATATATCTGAAATAAGAGTTGTTGCATAAGGAATCGACATAGCAGCATTTGGGACACTCCCATTAGCGCGCCGTCTCCATCTTCAGCAGCAAGCGAAACGTTCCAATTCCGACGGCACCAACAAGCCTGATTGTTTATCCGTCTTGCCTTTTCCTTGAATGTTGAGCGTCGGTCGGATCCCACGGAAACTCCTCGCAGCGCCATTCTCCTCAAACCGTAATGGTTGAAATAATAGGAAAGATTGAAACAAATAGTTTAAAGACAAGTCTATACCCAGTTAAAGGGACTAGCTAACCGCTTGCAAACTGTCGGCGTATGTGGGTGGGGCTAAAGGGGCATCTGGTGCCCCATGCTTGTCAGATATAAGCATGCGACACTGGAATTGTGGATCTCTCATAACTCTTGGGTGTGGGACCCACGGAAAGATTCGTTGAAGCCCTTTGCGTTTGTTTCATTGTTCGCTAATTGGCACCTTTCTCTCTTTTACCAGACGATAGTGTTATATTGTGCTAACATGAGGCATCAGACTCACTGTCCATGGCGGTGTGACGAGCATGACTGGCAAGACGCGCTTCCACAATTAGAGCATGGGATGCGTTTGTTTATCTCCCCACTTTTTAAATACGGTGTTTTTTCGAGTGGTACGTAACGGTACGCACTACCGGCACGTCTGTGTGCATCATTTTTTCGGTACTGCTGTAAAAGCTACTTAAAGTGAGTGCCAGCACGCCTTTGTAGACACTTTCTTGTGAGTAATGACACTTTCTTCCTAGATATACTGTTGTTTTCTAAGTAAGTATTACGCATTTGTGTATAAAACGGTGAGCAATACGGTTAATTTGTTAGGTTAAAATGTTCATTTATTGTTTATCTTTGCATTCAACAGCCCGCGAAATCCGCAAAGGGAGAAACGTCCATAAAAGATTTCCGCAACCAGACGTTAAAGGCGCACAATGAGAGACGGAAAAAACATGGTGTCCCGGCGCTTAAGCTCAGGTTTGCTTTCAGTGATCATGTGTTACAGTGAAATGATGGTGATGGCGTGTTGTTGTGGTAAGGGTGTGTTGTTGTGACAGCGGTGGTGTTGGTAGTGAGGATGGTTTACTGTGGCTGCTGTTGTGGTGGTGAAGGTGTGTTGTCGTGGTTATGGGGATGTCACTTGTTCATAATGAGATTAGACTGGGAAAAAAAAAAAGGGGGGGGGGGGGGGGGGGGGGGTTAGGGACATCTTACTCCAGTGCTCAAAGTGGGATTTGCAGTTCTCCTTCGTCTTCTTTGCGTTCACCAGCTGTAAACTCTGGTGCAAAGTTCTGGTTGTTCGTCCACTTCTGGACTGCAGTCCTGTTCCAGAACCTGAGTGCTGCGCGTGCATCCCTTTGACAGGTCTGACATATTTGTGTGCACACTGTTGGCTCCTTGCCTCTCAGGCAGATGCACTCAATTAGTCGACTCTTACGACATGCTTTTGGGTAGGCTGTGGGTCTATTTTTGTTTTCCCTATAACAGGGCCCTGGAACCCACACGGAGGAGATTTGCATTTAATAAAGATGTTGTAACTGTTGATCCTGCGATTGTTGTCGTGTTAAAGGTGACACTTATTAATAATGCGAATGGAGAGAAATACGTTACACCGGTCTTGGAGTTGAGGTCATAGCTCATAGTCATCAGAAACTTTATCAGTCTGTAGCAAGGTGGCAAGACTTATAAAATTACAACCCGGGACACCTAGTTATTATGTTAATGTCTGTCATCCCCCATGAGAGATGCAATTGTTCACTATTTTGAAGCCCCAACGTGACTTTTGCCAGGGGCCGCAATATAGTCTAACGGTTGAACACAGTTTCCGGGACCTCTCCACGGGTGATCCTCATCCGCATGGTAGCACTTTGTGTCACAGGGTGTTTATCGCCCTGTGTGATGTACTGGTGGGGTACAATTTACTTACTTACCTAGTTATTATCATCAAGTGCACTTAGACCGATGGTCTTCAGTCTGTGCCCCCCCCCCCCCCCCCCCCACGAAAGTTTCAAGGCGACGGTCCATCAATTTTGAAACTGAACGCATTTGTACTTGTGGTAATCCAGAATTTAAACTTTATTTATCAGTCATAAAAACAAGACAATGCTGCTAGCCTGGTGTGAAGAATGATCTCCATTGTGTCGTGTCCAACATCGAACCAAACGTAGCAGATACTATCAAGACAAAACAGTGTCAATGATCACATTGATATCTGGACACTTAATTACCTGTTACTGGTGATTTATGTGTGTGTTCTTCTCCGGCAAGAAGGTTGAAGCCCACTGACTTAGGTCTGCTTGTGCACATCTCAGGGTCTCTAGCGCGTGTATCAGTTCACATGCTGACGCTTTCTCCAACAGTGACATAAGTCTGCCAAGAACCTTCTCTCGCTGTCTTTCTCTATCTTAGTTTCCTTTGAATCTTGTCTCCCACCATTTGTACCATCCCATATTGTGGCACAAAATGATGACTGCTTCTTTCTGATGCTTGTGATAAATTGACAGTGTGTCTTCATGACATTCAAAATACTTATTCTCATTTTGACTGGCACCCATTATCAATTGATTATTTCATTTTGATTCTCCTGTCCGCATTTTGGGTGAAAAAGGTATATACCTGCACCCCCCCCCCCCCCCCCCCCAAGCATGTCGTAATAGTCAATTGATTATGGATATATTCTTCTAAATCGTAGTGCATATGAATAAGAGACAATTAATCAACCAGCAGCAGCAAATAACCCAGATCTGTAAAACAGCTGTGCATGCTATAGAATGGCACACAATTATGAGGTAAAGCTATACAAATTAGTGGGTTTTTTTCTCTCTATTATCTCACAAATTATGATGTTTACTGGGTAGAATACCGGCAATCGTTTAAGGAACTATAAATTAAGAATGTGTTTGGGCCTGGCACTAAAGGCCCTATGTACCCCAGGAGTGACAAGGATCTTCAGCTTGACTTGTTGTTACAGCTCAGACTTAAACAACTACGCCCAGCAATGGGCGGACAACCTGGCCAAGACTGGCAACATCAAGCACTCCGACTGCACCCTGAAGGGCGCCAAGATTGGAGAGAACATTGCCTCCAAGTGGAGCAGTGATGGGGCAGTTTACACAGGTACGTCTGCAGGTTTCGGCACTGTTCAACTGTCTGGGCCCTGTCTTTTATTGGCGGTGTGTGTCTAAAATAGTGATAACTGAGTTTACTTTGAAGCCCTAAAGGGTGGAGTCACACAGAGAAGAAACTAGAACAGAAGTGTTAAAAGTGGAAGTAGGAAGAGTTGTTGCAACATAAAACAATAATAAAGGAAAAAAATCAAATAAAAAATATAACGATGGTGAAAATAATAATAAAGATAATTTTAATGAAAGAAAATCTTGAACAATGGATAGAGTGCATTTTATTCTCTGAAGATGACTTTGGTTAAAATGTCTGCGTGGAAACAATTATAGCATAATGCATTGTACCAGCAAAGAGGGGCAGGGGCGGACCAACACGAAGATGGGCACAGGATATAAGTGACTCCTTGAGTATGAAAGTACATAAGGTGGGAGAGCTGGCGAGAGAACGAGTTTCTTTCAGGCTGAAAGATAAGAGCGACGTTCTGCATAGAACCTGCTACATGATGATGACACTAGGTAACCGCATTATAATTCAAATAAATACATGACTAAATGTGCTTATTTACTGCTTTTACTGATGTACTCAAAAGTTTAGTTCACCTTCGTTATTAGCATTACACTCCGAATGAGGGTGTCTCAGTAGTGAAGTGGCTAGATTGTTGGTCAGCTAGCCATAGGTTCGAATCCCCACCAAAGATTTTGTTTAAACTAGTAATGCTTTGGAGGTAAAGGCAGCCACCATGATATTGACACCAATGGGTGAAAACCAATACTTGTTTAGACAGGTAGGACTACCAACATATACTCACATTTTCTTAAAGCGTAGAAATATACCTCTACAGTGCAGACCACTTTAGGTGATCTCGGACGTGGTCAATTTCTGCTGTGAAGAACAAACTGCTTATCCTGACTCATGTCCGGATACTGATAATAAGAACCATTTCTTGGGTCTCCCGTGTGTTCTCCTTATCATGTCTGCACTGTACTTTACATGCGACTTTACTCCTGACATCTTTACTGGGTTTGAATCTGCGTCATGACAGAATTTTCACACTTTACCTAAGGCTCGTATGTCTAGCCAGTCTAACACAGCAGGAAATTTCTTCGGGAGTAAAGGTGGCCAGCCTGGAAACAAATCACCCACAAATACCAACCTATCTATGGAACCATGGGTCTTGCCCCATGTGCCAGAGAAGCAAAAGTTATGAAAAGGATCCTTCACTATTACTTAATACTAATACAGTACAGATCTGATAAGGAGAACTGAGCAGGGACCCAAGAGACAGTTCTTCTTTTCAGAAATTCCTTTTATCCAGATAAGAATAGAAGCAAGAACAAATTGCATGGGATAGACATATTGTTCTTCGCAGCAGAAATTCAACTGAAGTGGTCTGCAAACATAAATATGCTTCACCCTTCTATGCAATAAATCTGTCAGCATACAGTCATGGTGTCAGGTCAATGCTGACTGACCCGTGCACCCTCACACACTTGTAGTTTGTAACACATTCTCACTACACTGCTCTTTAAAGTTTGCATACTGACTGCTGATCTTCAATCACGCCACTGAATGTTCTGGTTTCCTTCCACTTCTCTAATGCCGCCCATAACTTCAACGTAACAATGGCTGACTTTCAGTTTTGTCAGCAGTGACAGCCAACCTGTCTGTGCATTCACTGACTACAACACCTACATTGGTTTCCTTCTGTGCATTCACTGACTACAACACCTACATTGGTTTCCTTCCACTTCTCTAATGCCGCTCATAACTTCAACGTAACAATGGCTGACTTTCAGTTTTGTCAGCAGTGACAGCCAACCTGTCTGTGCATTCACTGACTACAACACCTACATATGGACATATATTATTTGTAAAGGCTTTATTTGAACATATCTAATGATTCATAACCCATAATTCTTAGGTGAAGAAGTGACAGAACAGTGGTACAGAGAGATCTCTAAACACAACTACTCAGCCGAGTCCTCCACTGGATCAGGTAACATTTATTTCCCTTTATCTACAGACACTGTTCCAAGTCCTTATTGTCCTAGATCCTTCTGAGCCCGTACAGGTCTTATAAGTTGCTCTGCTATTTATGGACTAGTATCTATGTTTTTAATCCTCTCGGATGCCTCATTAGTGGCCTAGATAGATATTATTTGTAGTTTATTAATTCATAGTTATGTACATAACATTCTAATGTAGTCATTTCATAGTTAAGTGTACATTTTGTACATAGTTAAGTGTACAAAATGTCCCTCCGTCATAATCCAGGTGTCCTGTCTGCTCTTAAAATGTCCCTATGTCATAATCCAGGTGTCCTGTCTGCTCTCAAAATGTCCCCTAGTCATAATCTAGGTGTCCCGTCAGCTCTCAAAATGTCCCTCCATCATAATCCAGGTGTCCTGTCAGCTCTCAAAATGTCCCTCCATCATAATCCAGGTGTCCTGTCTGCTCTCGAAATGTCCCCATCATAATCCAGGTGTCCTGTCTGCTCTCAAAATGTCTCCATTATAATCCAGGTGTCCTGTCAGCTCTCAAAATGTCCCTCTGTCATAATCCAGGTGTCCTGTCTGCTCTCAAAATGTCCCTTCATCATAATCCAGGTGTCCTGCCTGCTCTCAAAATGTCCCTCCGTCATAATCCAGGTGTCCTGCCTGCTCTCAAAATGTCCCCATCATAATCCAGGTGTCCTGTCTGCTCTCAAAATGTCCCCATTATAATCCAGGTGTCCTGTCAGCTCTCAAAATGTCCCTCTGTCATAATCCAGGTGTCCTGTCTGCTCTCAAAATGTCCCTTCATCATAATCCAGGTGTCCTGTCTGCTCTCAAAATGTCCCTCCATCATAATCCAGGTGTCCTGTCTGCTCTCAAAATGTCCCTCTGTCATAATCCAGGTGTCCTGCCTGCTCTCAAAATGTCCCTCCATCATAATCCAGGTGTCCTGTCAGCTCTCAAAATGTCCCTCCATCATAATCCAGGTGTCCTGTCTGCTCTCGAAATGTCCCCATCATAATCCAGGTGTCCTGTCTGCTCTCAAAATGTCTCCATTATAATCCAGGTGTCCTGTCAGCTCTCAAAATGTCCCTCTGTCATAATCCAGGTGTCCTGTCTGCTCTCAAAATGTCCCTTCATCATAATCCAGGTGTCCTGCCTGCTCTCGAAATGTCCCTCCGTCATAATCCAGGTGTCCTGCCTGCTCTCAAAATGTCCCTCCGTCATAATCCAGGTGTCCTGTCTGCTCTCGAAATGTCCCCATCATAATCCAGGTGTCCTGTCTGCTCTCAAAATGTCCCCATTATAATCCAGGTGTCCTGTCAGCTCTCAAAATGTCCCTCTGTCATAATCCAGGTGTCCTGTCTGCTCTCAAAATGTCCCTTCATCATAATCCAGGTGTCCTGTCTGCTCTCAAAATGTCCCTCCATCATAATCCAGGTGTCCTGTCTGCTCTCAAAATGTCCCTCTGTCATAATCCAGGTGTCCTGCCTGCTCTCAAAATGTCCCTCCATCATAATCCAGATGATAAATTGTTGCTGTCTTGTGTAAATCATCTATGACTTCTTGGATCCATCAACACTGTGGCCTTCCTCTCCCCTCTTTCCCTCCATAAACATTCTCTCTTTTAGTATACCCACAATACTTTGTGTTCCCCTCAAGTGTATTTGTCTTTATAATCAGTCTCTCCAGTTACTGACTTTCTGCTGGATAGATCTGACCTTTCACCTTTCCATACTCAGTTACTGAGTTTCTGCTGGATAGATCTGACCTTTCACCTTTCCATACTCAGTTACTGAGTTTCTGCTGGATAGATGTGACCATTCACCTTTCCATCTTCAGTTACCGAGTTTCTGCTGGAAAAACCTGACCTTTCAATCAACTGCTCAGTGTCAGTCTTATGAAATGTGAGGGTGGAAGATGACAATGCACACAACCAACACTGATCTAGTTTCTTAGCCGAACAATCCGTGGCAGCCCCTTGAAATGCATTCATTAATCTTTTTTGCAGGTCACTTCACCCAGGTAGTCTGGAAGGAATCCAAGCAGCTCGGAGTGGGTAGAGCTAAGGATAGCACCGGAAAGTTGATCGTTGTGGCCAGCTATCGTCCTCCGGGGAATGTCATTGGCACCTTCACTAAAAATGTCTTCCCGCCAAAATAAAACACGCTCTCTGGATTTACAGCGTTACGGGACCATTGTTGCTGCCAATTACTTTTTTTGCATGACTTCAGTTTTTGTCACTATAAATAAACATTTCTTCAACACTCTCTTGTATTATTATTATTGTTAGTTCTTACATGGGCCAAGTGATAACAGATATGAAACATTTCTTCCAAGGAATGCTAAAAAAAAGGGCCATGAACTGGGACCACCGAAAGAAGAAAAAAAACTCTGACCCCTTCAGAATTCTCCACCATTAAGGCTGCAGGCAGATTATGACAAGTGACTTTGAAATAGCATGTCCCCTTGTGGGTTTAGGTCTCCATTGTGGGGAAAACAAGAATCGACCCACTGCCTAAACAACAAGCATGTAGTAGGAGTCGATTAATGGGCAGCTTACTTTAAATTCAGGGAGCATCTGCCCGGGTGACAAGGAACATTCAACTGCACACAGATAACCCAATAAAATGGAGGTAACACGCAAAACTCAAGCTGTAGCACAAAGCCAAAGTAACGAACAGTCAGGACATACCGCTGGAGCTTACATCTGGTGAACATATTATAGAAGAAGGCAATCAACGGCATTGTCTAGGCATCTCAGGGACAGGCCACTGTATTAATGCCAGGTGAGCAGCATTCACAAAACTAAACTATTGCTAAGTATGTAGCTTGTCTGGCAAAAGGGTTAAGTGTGGTACATAAATAACAGATTTAAAAAAGCTTCTGGTTTTAGTAACACTATATGCTTCACAAAATTACCAACAATATTATGACAGTAGGGTTTGTCTCACAAAATTACCATCTACTTTATGACAGTAGGATTTGTCTCACAAAATTACCAACTACTTTATGACTGTAGGATTTGTCTCACAAAATTACCAACTACTTTATGACTGTATGATTTGTCTAACAAAATTATCAAATACTTTATGATAGTAGGATTTGTCTCACAAAATTACCAACTACTTTATGACAGTAAGATTTGTCTCATAAAACTACCAACTACTTTATGACAGCAGGATTAGTCTCACAAAATAACCAACAATTTTATGATAGTAGGATTTGTCTCACAAAATTACCAACTACTTTATGACCGTAGGATTTGTCTAACAAAATTATCAAACACTTTATGATAGTAGAATTTGTCTCACAAAATTACCAACTACTTTATGAGAGTAGGATTTGTCTCATAAAATTACCAACTACTTTATGACAGTAGGATTTGTCTCATAAAATTACCAACTAATTTATGACAGCAGGATTTGTCTCACAAAATTACCAACAATTTTATGACAGTAGGATTTGTCTCACAAAATTACCAACTACTTTATGACAGTAGGATTTGTCTCACAAAAACTACCAACTACTTTATGACAGCAGGATTTGTCTCACAAAATTACCAACAATTTTATTATAATAGGTTTTGTCTCACAAAATTACCAACTACTTTATGACAGTAGGATCTGTCTCACAAATTTACCAACTACTGTATGACAGTAGGGTTTGTCTCACAAAATTACCATCTATTTTATGACAGTAGGATTTGCCTCACAAAATTACCAACTACTTTATGACAGCAGGATTTGTCTCACAAAATTACCAACAATTTTATTATAATAGGTTTTGTCTCACAAAATTACCAACTACTTTATGACAGTAGGATCTGTCTCACAAATTTACCAACTACTGTATGACAGTAGGGTTTGTCTCACAAAATTACCATCTATTTTATGACAGTAGGATTTGCCTAACAAAATTACCAACTACTTTATGACAGTAGGATTTGCCTCACAAAATTACCAACTACTTTATGACAGTAGGATTTGCCTCACAAAATTACCAACTACTTTATGACAGTAGGATTTGTCTCACAAAATTACCATCTATTTTATGACAGTAGGATTTGTCTTACAAAATTACCAACAATTTTAATAGTAGCAGAAAGAGTCTCACAAGATGATCATAAAGTTTACAGCAACAGGATAATTCTCGTAAAAGCACCATTTATTTTTCTCACTTCTGTGAGAAACACAACTGTATTAGTGGATAGCTATATCATGATGTTCATTAACCACAATTCTTCAATATCACAAAACTAAATCAACATGTTATTTATTATTTACAAATCTGATCTCTGAAAACATTACAGCAATCTGTTTATTCTTCTTCAATAAAGATGATATATGTTCATTTATCTGATCTTTAACCATATGATTAAATCAGCAAGTTTAATCTGATCACTTCTATAAAGAGCATTTTCATCTATACGATCCACTTTTATCAACGAGACAACCAACAGCGTTAAATGCAACCATCTTTATTTTCATTTCGAGGTATGTCTGTAGGCAAGTACTCTCCACATCAGGGCCAGATTCCGACTTGATGAGGCCTTAAGCTATCAAAGCCCTGAGGCCCCTACTGTTTTCAATGACACCAGCTTATCTCACAAAACTTTAAAATATAAACGCTTCTTAAATATATGGATAATGGACGTTTATTTTGAGTTCATGTTTAATAAAATAAATACTGAATGAACAGTCACAAAATTTACATTAAAGAACCTCCTAATGGTTGTATTACAAGACAATTGCATTTGTGAACCAAACATAGGAGTCTGTTAAGGTCCCTGCAGACTGTGAGGTCCTAAGCTGCAGATTAGTTAGCGTAGGCCTAAATCCAGCATTGCTTCACATCAAAACTGTATCCTGAAATACTCTGAATGAGAAACAAACAATGCAGCCTCTGAAGCTAAATGAAGGAGCAGTCCAAGGTGTGAATCAATGAACTTGCCTTACAGCCATCAATAGTGGCAGTATTAGGAATCCACATTATATGAATCAACCTAAAAGTTTTGGCAAATGTTATCACTGGTCAGTGTATTAGCACCATCACCAGGGACAATCACTTAGGCACAATGGTAATCTGTATACTACAGTATGTTTATGCTGACGCCTGCATAGGGAGACTGAGCATACATGGGTGAGCTCAGAGTGCAATCATGCAAATCCTAGTTAATCAATTGGCCGATTACCATCTTAAATGTTAACTCATTATTGCAAACTATACTGTCGCTGGAAAGACGAAAAGCTGTCTATATTTCAGTTGAAAATTTATATACAGTGCCGACCTGATAAGGAGAACTCAACAGGAACCAAAGAAATGGTTCTTCTGATCAAAATGTGATAAAAGTTCAATCAAGAAACATTGCCAGGGATAAAAAAATTGTTCTTCACAAAAGAAATTTGCCGCATCAGAGGCCGCCCAAAGCAGTGTACGTTGTATATTTGTTTTTAACCGATTATGCTTCATTACACCACATAATGTTTGCCATTGTTTCTTATCTCAGGGACTAGACTGGACTTCTCGTCTTTACCTCAGTGCAAACATGTACACAGGGTACAGAGATTTGGGGAAGTCTTTCTGCTTTTGTATGGACAGCACTTTCAGATCTGCTTTCATCATCAATGTTTTTAGTTCATCTTTAGTTCTCGTGTAGCTGCTATCCGTGTCATCAAATGCTTTTGTGCCGACAGCCACTGTGTTTTCTTTCACTACAATTATCCCGCCTGGACAGAGGGCCTGCTGACATCGGCTGAAGAACCCGATTAAATCATCGTCTTTAAGATGACCTAAGACCCACTGGCACCAAATAACATCATATGTCTTTTTTGATGGTTTAAAATTCTGGAGACCTGAGCAGAATATATTAATGACTCGACCGGATTCTGAGCCGATGAACTCTCGGGCGGTGTCACAAAAATGTTTGTCTTGTTCAACCATGTCCACTTTGTTGAAGATTGGCAGCAGCAGCCTTTTTGTGATCCTGCCGATCCCTGCTCCACAATCTAGAGCGTACGTCGATGCAACAGATCCACCAGAGCTCTGTTATATGAAGATAACAATTACATACATTAACAATTAAGGACCTAAACAAATTATAAACTAAATTCATACCATGAGAAATGTGAGGATTGGAAGTTCAAGGGTACAGGTCCTAAAAGAGCCGGATGTTTTTCAAAAATGACTTTGACTCTAAGGTCGACCCAGTCTTAAATGGGTACCCAGTATTTATGGGAAGTAAAAGCAGCCGGCGTGATGCTAACTACATCACCCACCGGCTGCGGCTGCCTATAAGTCTCGACCAGTGGTCGGCAAACTCTTTAGTCGAAAGAGCAACAAAAAACAGCAGCAGGACAATTACAATTTTTGGGGGAAAGCCAAATTTCTTTTCAAAAACCTGTTAAGAACCGTGTTTTTCGGGCTCAATACGGATTTGTGGCCGAGCCACACTCAGGTCACTAAAGAGCCACAACATGGCTTGAGGCCTGGAAATGGGCCTTTTTACTTTACATGAGAAATGTATATTATTTATGGGATACAGCGAGAAATGTATATTATTTATGGGATACAGCGAGAAATGTATATTATTTATGGGATACAGCGAGAAATGTATATTATTTATGGGATACAGCGAGAAATGTATATTATTTATGGGATACAGCGAGAAATGTATATTATTTATGGGATACAGCGAGAAATGTATATTATTTATGGGATACAGCGAGAAATATATATTATTTCCAGCTTGAAAAAAGCATCTTTTGATTACTTGCTGTGGTGACTAACCAACGACACTGGTTTCACCATGTTGCCTCGGAAACCTCCAAGATATAAAATCTGGCTGCAGTATCAACAGATTAACAACTCACTTAGTTACATCCACATTAAATTAATGTCAGTTAGTCATTTATACTTTAAATTAAATTTTAAAACAAAAACGACTATCCTCCGAATACTAGTCCAAAATTATCAAGGCCGAAAATATACCCTAACATTACGTCACCGGCTATAAACATTTGAAAGTTCTAACTCGGAAAATATCAAAATATAACGACAAAGTACTTACCGATAATTAAGGCCTTTATAAGTGAAAATTGTGGAAACAAGTTGCAAACAGTGCCCAAAAATCTGCTCTTTGTGGCTGTGGCGTCAATAGAACTTTTAGTTTTAGCAGTATCCACAGCCCCTCAATGGTTTGTGTGAGAACGTCACTGTCGAGGAAACTATTATTATGCACCCCCCACTGCGTCATCACAAGTGCCATGCTTTAATTTGCCGACGTTGCTGTAGCCTCGCCAAGCGTCAGTCATAATTCTCGTTCCAGGCAACACATGATCAGTGATGAGGCATCCCAATGTCTGCGCATTTGGCCACAGGGCTATCCTCCGATTAACGGTCCTAAATTATTGAGGCCTGAAATATACCCCAACACGGCTTCAGTCATATGTAAATTGCTGACCTCTTTCCAGTAACTATACTGCCACAGCCGAGAGTATCCGGAGAGGGGCTAAACTAAATGGCTGGGCCTCACAAGCAAATAAAATAGAGGAAGCTGCAGGAGATGTGGTAGCTGCTGCTCGTGAGTCCCAGCCATCTAGTTTAGCTCCCCACCCCCTTTCACGCTGCGCGAGGGAAACTCTCAGCAGTGACTTCAACTTGGCGGAAGCTTTTCCGCGGTATGTGGTGTAGTCGCCGGAAAGAGGTTTCCAATTTACATATGACTGAGGCCCTGTCAGGGTATTTTCTTAGGCTCGATAATTTAGGATAGTTTTTTGGAGGATTGTATTGTTGCGTTTCGCGAAATTATTGTCGGCAATTAATCCTACTGTTGCCGCGGTATATTATAGTCCCCGGAAGTGCACAATTGACACGTGACCGAGGCCCTGTTTGGGTATATTTTCCGCCTTGATAATTTAGGACCATTATCCGAATAACAGGCGGTAAAAATGGCGGCCGCAAAATATCCTTTCCAGCCGGTTTTACAGCGACTACCGCCACCGCCACGAGTTCCGCATGAATTGGGGCTAAACTAGATGGCTAGGACTCACGAGCAAAGCTGCAGGAGATGCAGAAGCTGCTGCTCGTGGGTCCTAGCCATCTAGTTTAACCCCAGTCGACGCCACGTGGGCGGCGTGGGAGACTCGTGGCGGTAGTCGCCGGAAAACCGCAAAGGAAGTCGCCGGAAGTGCGCAATTGACACATGACTGCGACTCGAAAGGATATTTTGCGGCCGCCATCTTTAGTCCGCCAATTATTCAGTGGATAGCCCGAAATTTATATTATTATGATTAATTATAATAATATACGGCTCTCCTTTAAATAACGGTCCCAAATGATCTATGCAGAAAGTAAACCCAAACAGAGCCTCACTCATATTTAAAATTTGCATTTCTTTTGCGGCGAATCAACCGTGTGAAAAGAAGGATTAATTGCGCACGACATTTTTGCGAAATGCAACGGACTTTTTTACGGCGATTAAATGGCGGCAAAACTAGGATTAACTACGGACGAAAAAAATTAGCGGCACGCGAGAATACTCCCGATAGCGCTATCCTACGGCAGGGCTCGAGTTATATGTAAGTTGCGGACCGCTTCTTGCCGACTATAGTGCCGCCCCCGAGAGTATCCCCTGCGCAGCGGAATGGGCTAAACTAGATGGCTAGGACTCACGAGCTGCAGCTACCGCAGCTCCTGCAGCTTCCTCCAATGTATTTGCTCGTGAGTCCCAGCCATCTAGCTTAGCCCCTTCTGCACCGCGCGTAGCGGCGTGGGGGATACTCTCAGAGGTGGCACTATAGTCGCCGGAAAAAAGTCTACAATTTACAGGAGCTAGTTCTGTCTGAAGTATCAGCGTGCTCGCATTCGCCACGGTCAAGGGGTGGTCGGGATAGTGGAGCACCATTGTGGCTGCTGCTGGTTTGAAATTGTCCCGAGGCGACATGCGTGTACATTAAACCTCGCATTACTGTCTCGCCCGGAACGAGAATCGCGGACAAGCCGTGCTGAGTTGTAATGGCCGACCGAGAAAGAACAGATTTTCGCGCACTATTTCCAACTTCTGTGCCATATTTGTCACATATAAAGGATTTAATTTTCGGTAAGTAGTAGAATTCCCCCATTGTCCTGATACTTTTCGTTCCTTATATTTCCCGAGTTACAGCTTTTAAATGTTTTTAGAGTAGGACGTAATGAGGCTCTGTTTGGGTTTACTTTCTGCGTAGATCATTTGGGACCGTTATTTAAAGGAAAGCTTAATATACATTTCATCTTTTAATTTAATGAAATGATATGATAATACATCAAGCTATGTACCTTTAGAAAAGGTCGCAGAAAGGCTTTAGATCCATTTATGTCTGTTGGTGAAATGTTGCCAAATCCACCCAGCATGCCATCAATGGTCGGCGACACTGCAGCCCAGTATTTCTGAGCGTCCATGTAGAGTTTGTCCTGGCTGGAATCCATGGGAACATCGTCTCCGCGACTTTTGTCTTGGCTGGAATCCAGAAGAACATCGTCTCCATAACTTTTATCTTGGATGGAATCCGTGGGAACGTCGTCTCTAACACGCTCGTCCGCCATTTTTTTACGGCTAGAGTTGCCAACTCAAAAATGAGAAAATCTGCCAAACGCTAGAAGCTGCCAACAAAAGTGTCAGGATAAAACAATTGCAATTGTATAATCAAAACACAATGAGCAAGTGAATGTTGCGGTCAAAATTGGGAACGAAAGTAACGTATTGTGACAAAGAAAATCACATCTTAAAAGATAAAAATTAATTTAAGAAAGGCTGTCCTGCTGCTGCGGTCGTCAAGTTCATCATCATACGGATGACGTAATTTGTGCAGTCAGTCCTACTGTGTGACTGTTCCAGTGCTTTCTTCAGTTACCGTGCTTGGTGTCTGGTCTGGTTGCTCAGTAGGCGCTTCGCCGACTACCTTGGAGAACACGTTCTCTGTCGGGTTCAGCATGTAGGAGCAAGATGACAAACTTTAGATGACAGGACGAGCCCAGGATTCTCCGTAGGCCATCTGGTTTGTGGATCCTGGCCTTGTCCATTATCAGCCATGCACCATTCAGCTCCTCCCTAACTGGTAATCTGGTAAAGTGGTCATCTTAGTTTCAGCTTCACAGCAAACGGGTCACCCCATAGTTGCTCTGCTCCTGTGCCAACTAAAAACCATAGCTACCAACGGTAGCCATCCGAAGTTCTAACACAAACAGTCCGACATTAGAAATGTAGTTCATCATGGATGGTAGCACTACCAGAAGTCACCAACAGATCAGCAGTTGCACACGTGATTAATTTTAATCACATAATGGCGCCACCAATATTGCGACAACCGGCATCTCACCATTTTGTGAATTTGTGTCAGGCCATGTACTCACCTCAGAAGCTGGGCAACCAAACTATATCCTTTCAGTCTACAAATGGAGCAAAAATCAACGACCACCGTCTGGCAGAAGCAAAAAACTTGCCACGGCTCAAACCAGTGGCGTGCCTAGCTCCCATTTCGACCGGCTACTAACTATACGCGTCACAAGCTCTTCCACAAATATGCAGAACTGTTCGCTATTGCAGGTGCCATCATGGATGATCTTTGAGTGAACTAAGCCGTGATTGTTCATCGCCCCAGTTATTGTCACCGTGCGGCCTCTCACTGTGGACTGGATAATGTTTGATCGTGTCCCTCCTCTCGAGTGAGCTTGTGTCAGTCGCAAATAAAGACGGAATTGACTCTAGTCAGTGAAGATGCACTTCTTGTCTTGTGGAGAATTCGCTGAGAAGTCGAGAGCATAAGTTTGCTGGCTTAAGATCATCGCGGTGCCGTTGATGCGGTAAAGTTCGCAATGACACTTCTTTAGGGGGATTTAAAGCTTTTTGAGCCCGCTGCATATTGTAGATACAGCCAAGTCAGTACCGCTCTCCTTCATCCGCTGCTGTATCTGCACCAAAGTATCAACTGAATGTCTGTCAACTATGTCTTCAATGCGCTGCAGGACACTGGGTGTCAGCTTCTCTTTGAAAGAGCTGACAAGTTGGCTGGATCCGCTATCACTACCGACGGTCAGCCTATGGATCATGCTGATATTATCAATGCCCTCAGAGAAATGGAAAGGATAGAGGACTTTGGTGGCAGTGAATCCACATCACTCGCCAGAATGGCAGACTTGGGAATTAAGATCGGCACAGCAAAAAACGAGACGCACACCAGACACGCCAGAAGACTTGTTAATCAACATAGAACTGGTACCATTAGCCATCGGACGTTGCGGTTCATACTGAGGGGAGGATCTGAGCACCTATGGACATGTCCGGAGTGCAATGAGGATAACCCAACTAACTAACTAACTAACTTCTCTTTCTTGTTTCCACCGTAGTTTTACTGGAGAATGGTACTTTCTCGTTTGTATTCTCTTTCTTAAGTGAAGAAACAACCACTGTAATCCACAAGGTGAGGACCTGGAGGCGTCATTGGTTCATACTGATGTTTTATGTCTAAATGGTGGAAGAACTACTCGACTAGCCCTACGCCTTAGTGATGCAAATAGTGTTATAGACTTGGCTCTTGTTACCCCAGCTCTGGCCTACATCTGTCAGTGGGGAAACCCCCCCCCCCCCCCCCCCAAAAAAAAAGCCAGCTTATTGTCTCACTCAAGCCATCATAATTTTAAATAAGCCAAATGTGTAAACTTTGGCTTAGAAAAAAGCTAATATGGCAACCCTTGCTGAAATCATGGATATGGCGTACTCTATATAACATATTTTATGTTGAATTTTTCCTTCTTACTGACATTGTTTCTGAAATAAAGCAAAAAAGTATAAATGGTTAACTCAAAAAAACTATTATTATTTAATACAAAACCTCACATACCACGGAATTTATTTGCTATAACGTGTTTAATGAAAATAAGCACTGGGTTTGAGAGCTGAAATTGCTGTTGTGTCATGGCGGATGACTTCTGCTGGAGTTGAGTCACAAGAACTGATTTCAGGGACGTTCGGACTCCAGGAACTGTTCTGTAAATATGATGATGCAAGCAGAAGATGCGCGATATCTGAAAAGGTAATAAGGAATTTTCATTGATTGAATTATTAGTAAATGAAATAGTGTTTGATTTTTTACAAGGCAGGTAACTATGGACGCCTTTGTAATGGACGGGCGATAAACAAATTGAAAAAAGTCAATGTAGGAGGAGGAGAAATAATTATTAGAGAAACAGAAAAAAGCTGAGAGAAAACAAAGAAGGCAGTAACACAATGGCTTAAAATAAAAAGCAGAAACGTGAACATACAGAATTGTAGTCTTAAGTAACTTCGATAAGCAATATTTACTTTACTTAAATTTAAATTTAGAGTGGAATGAATGGGTTGAAGTAACTGTAGGAAAGTCAAGTGATTGCCACCTTTCCCTCTTTCCAGACGATATTGTTATATTGTGCTATAAGAGGGGGGGCGGCTGTGTAGCTAACAAAACCTGCCCATGTTAAAGCCATGCTAACCTTTAGAAACTAAATTGGCTCTCCTTTCAACTACGGCCGGTAGACAACAGTAGGTTAGTCGGAGTTCTGTCCCCTGGCTGCAGTGCAATTATGGACTGGAGAAGGCACGAATCAGACCACAAAGTGAGGTCGACATGCCTAGCAGACCCCGCGCTGCGACTCAAATTAGCGACCGCGTTCAATTACTGCTTCTTGCGATGCATTACGGAGTGGATTAGAGGGAACGATACAAGTGACAGAATTACTGTGTGTTGGCGATAGACAGCGTGCAGTGCCCTACTGTCATCATACTGTTTGGGTTAGGGTTAGGGTGTGGGTTAGGGGTAGGGTTTGGGTTAGGGTTTGTTTTGCTACTTTGAGTTTGTGCGACGACGAGTTGCGGCGACACTAACCGTAACCCTAATCCACACCCTAACACTAAACCTAACCCACACCCTACCCCTAACCCTACCCCTAACCCAAACACTAAACCTAACCCAGACCCTACCCCTAACCCTAACCCAAACCCTAACCCAAACCCTAAACCAAACCCTAACGGTATGATTATAGCAGGACAGTGCACGCTGTCTATCGCCAACACACAGTAATTATGTCATTTGTTTCGTTTCCACCTGTCCAGTCCGTAATAGCACTGCAGCCAGGGCACAGAACTCCGACTAACCGGCCGAGTACTGTTGTCTACCGGCCGTAGTTGAAAGGAGAACCACTAAATTTGGTTATACTAGTATTTTTACTATTAAACTCCTTGAGTCCCAGGGAGTTGAGCATCAGAGGCCCAAGGGGTGGTAATACAGTTTTATTTAATTTCACAAGTGTAAGGCATTAAATAGACTGTACTAATTCCATTCCTGCGTAACATACACATATTTTTCATCAAAGTGACCAGGGATTGTTGAGGAATAATTATAGAATACAGCTACAACAAATAATTGCTATAGTAATTAAATATTAGTACATAAACAGACAGTATGTTTACAAAAATTAGTAAAATGAAATATATAAAATTACACTCATCACTATGGCACTCAAGGAAAACTGGTTACAATATATCCAACATGAATCACAAATGAATATGAACCACTTAGTAATGTGTAAGTGAAATATAAACTCAACCTATACATTAGATTTTGTTCCAAATAATCTTTTGAAGCATCATAACAGAGCACCATTATTTGGTAAAGAAAACTGACTAACACTCAGTTTGCATGTAATTTTGTAGCTGTTCCTAAATTTTTTTCTTCTTCTCTTTTGCGCATGGCCATTGAGTTAACCGTATGTGTCGATTCCTCCCCACCAAATATATGGTTGACACATTCCGTTTCTGGGGACAGCTTTTATCGAGTTTGCTCTCTAGACAGTTGCAGTCCCCTGCTGGTGAGATTCTGTCTTCCCGAGTGGACCGCCACGATCAAAACATTGCGAAGGCAGCGTGGCCGAGGCTGCCAAAACTGTCGGTCATTATCCCGCCCCGACACAGCACAACCACAATACACGCTGTTCCCACGAAAACACATAATATCCTGCGTTGGAAATGCGCATAAAATAACAGTCCATGTTTATGAAACAGAATAATCCGAGAGAATTGACAGCCAGCGAAAATAAACACAGCTGCTGTCCGCCATTTTGAAAACGGAAGTCGCTGTTCCTAAATAATAAGGGGAATAGCACTAGAACCAACTGACACTGAAGACAATGGTCTTTTCACTAATGTTTATTGTATTTGTGCCAGCTGACTTTGTTATCATTGTACCCTTCCTGTGAGGTACACATTAGACATATCCCTCATCAAAGTTTGACTCTATTAATGACTGAAACACGTCTAATTTGGAATGTTATCTATCTGACTTGGGATAAATTGAATAAACACGTACTTAATTTAAATTTGAGGCTTTTAAAGTCGTAAATCATGTTAGCATGACTGTAGAATACTTCTTGGCGGCCATATTCTTTTCAAACGAACACTTAGTAACCCAGTAAATCTCGCAAATATTCGATATTTTCGGCTCTAAGGCCACATTTTTAAACGAGCATGCCTGAAATCAGACACAAAGAACTCAAAGGGAAGTTGAAATTGAGCAGTCCGCGTTTTATGACCGGTCAGCTGTAAATTAAAAACCTTCACTTGTCACGCGTCGATTGGGCCTGGCAGTTGTAACAAATTAGTGCGTGATGCGTTCCCCGGGACTCAAAGAGATAATTTATACTATCTGGTATGGTATAGGGTTTTATTTTGAGGACATGAAATTGATAAAATACTGTCAAACCAGTGGTTGCTATAGAAACTAAGATAAACAACGGCCATATTGGAATTCTTGTGATATGTCTAAAACCACTATTTTTGTATGAACAGGCTCAATTCTGTGTATATTTATACACTTGTAGCTGCTTTAGACAATTACAGAACGTTTGTGATATCACTTACCATTTCTTTTCTACCTAATTTTAAAACCACTAATTTGCTGTGTTTTTGAATTCATTTTCTAATTCTTTCATTGTTGTTGAAATTATTATTTGTATTTACCTGAAATATAAAACTTTGCTTCTGTCATATTTTGTTTATTAACCGATAATGTAATTGGCAGGAAAGTGAAAGGAGGGAGCATCGATGTCCACCCGACAGAGAAGGCATTGGTTGTCAACTATGAACTGGAGGCTACAATCCTGGGGGAGATGGGAGATCCCATGTTGGGGGAGAGAAAGGAGTGTCAGAAAGTGTAAGAAATCACCTTTTTCTTCTTCTTTTGTCGTCTTACTGATACCAGGTTGTAGCCTAGTGTCGTGGTTTTGTCGTGTCACTGATGCCAGGTTGTAGCCTTGTGTCGTGGTTTTGTCCTATCACTGATGCCAGGTTGTATCCTAGTGTCGTGGTTTTGTCGTGTCACTGATGCCAGGTTGTAGCCTAGTGTCGTGGTTTTGTCGTGTCACTGATACCAGGTTGTAGCCTAGTGTCATGGTTTTGTCGTCTCACTGATACCAGGTTGTATCCTAGTGTCGTGGTTTTGTCCTATCACTGATACCAGTGTCATGGTTTTGTCGTCTCACTGATACCAGGTTGTAGCCTAGTGTCGTGGTTTTTTGTATTTGTCTTTCGCTTCTTGCGCATATCGTAACAGATAATCAAGGAGACTTGCTCGTGAGACTGGCTATCTTATACTAAGGAAAATGAACTGTAAAATCCAGCCAGTCATGAAACAGTGTACAGATGTCTGGTTTGGGATTTTGAAGGTCTAGTTTTTTTTCCCTGAGATATGCACAAATTGACAAGAAGCAACAAAGAAGAATCATACAGTGGAGTAAGTGACCTAGAGGTGGGAAATGTGTCTGCAGTGCACTTCTTTACGGGCTCACTGCACGCAGCCTGCTCAAACACATTGACAGATCATTCAACAAAACAAACTTGAACATGAACAATGAGAACACTAAACTGCTGTCAGTAAATGTCTATTAGCTCCATCGATGTTCTCTTCCGTCAGTGAAGCAGAGGTTTGATGTCTTGGTACCCAGCCTCTTTAAGAACAATTGAACATACATTTATTACCTGGACAAAGTTCTAACTTTCAACATTTCCAACCTTTGGCACTTCATATCTCACAGAATTGCACTCAAAAACATTCTGACTCACAGCAGACGATTCTCATCCATCCCATTTTGTAAATGCTACCAGCATAGCTGGGTTTTCTCAGGAAACAGGTCAGCAGCTTGATCATACATTTAGTTCTTCCTGGATATGTTCAGTTCATCATGGATACATTCAATTCATCATGGATACATTCACTTCATCATGGATACATTCACTTCATCATGGATACATTCAGTTCACACACACTTCGGCAACAGGACCGGACTTTCACAGGATTGAAAACAAGGCTGAGCTTTTTTACTTTATCCAAGTTTAAAGGAGTTCCACTCACAATTTCTTCATCTGGCACACATCAGCCTAACTGCACATTTGTCTCTAGTTAGTGTCACTTACTCAATCTACTCACGCATACATTATTTTTAGTAATTAATGCTATCCATCTAAGTTGTTGCTCATAATTTGTGTATTGTAGTTGTTGTCCTCATTTCCAAACAAAGAGAAAATTTCCCAACAATGAGAAAATTACTCCCTGCATGTCTTTGGCTTATAAGATTCATCATTATCATTATCATGAAGCAAATCATTTACAGCATGCCAGTACCCTAACAGCTCATGGATACAGTTCTCAGTTGGCTGACCTGTCTCTTCATCCAGGAACTGTGTCTTCCAGTTCTGCTGCATTGTTTCATATTTAAACAAAAATGGTGTGCCATCTCCACAGAGAAGGTTGACTACAAACTGCTGTCTTTTAGGAATATTACAGGGCGAGACATCAGTCTCTTCTATGGTGCAAATCTCATACCACTTACTTAAAAACTGTTCTGAAAATTAATCCTGAGTTTTGAAACACACTCAAAATTGGCTAGATTATTTTAGTTTCTGAGGCTTGTTGCTTTTTAGATTTCATTTTGAGAAGAGATTTTGTTGTTGTTGAAAAGCCAGAAATCTGCGAATTTAAATAATGCAGACACAAACAATAAATTTAAAGCAGACGATTTGTAAGCACACGGAATATGTAGTAAATTTGAAGTTACCATGGTAAGTCACGTGACTACGGTGGGCTTCCGGCGGGCAAAACACGCCATGATGTGTTGAAAGAAACTATTCACATTTCAGTTGGATATAGTCAGTGCTTAATTTTATGTGCTACATCCTGTCGGCATTATTTAAATTTATTACAGGAAAAACATTGTTTTGGACATCTGGTAATGTCTCACACTCTTGATGTCAGACATTTTTTTCCTTACAGAATCCGGGTCAAAGGTCTTCACGAGAACAGTGATCTCAGCACACTAGCGAAGGAAGTCATAGAAAAATGCAAGCTGATACACCCAAGCAAGCTTCCTGAGGTTGAGCAGCTTCTCTATTATCTCAAGAACAGAAAGGAGACTACAGTTTCTAAAGGTTCGGGCTTCTTCATCATCACCATCATCATCGCCAATATCATCATCAGGTGCCTTGCGACTGGCTTGTGCAATCCTAGCTCTCCACAAAATGCAATTGCCAACAGCATGTATTAGTTCATGTGCTGAGGATGAAAGGGTGTCCGGAATCTTCTCTTGCTGTTTTCCTCCATGTCTCCTTCCACATATCTTTCACTTCTCATAACATGGCCCCAAAAATAACTGCCGTTTCCTTCTGATATTTGCGACAAGTTGTCTTCGTAACTTTGCATTTTCCACTATATATGGATTACCCATTCTGGCTGTAAGCCAGATTACACTTCTATAATATTCATATTTTAACACATTTCTTTTTAGTTAAACTCATTCTGTTACAACTTTTTTTTTTCTGCCTTCACTTTCTAATCTTCTTTTTCTTCTGTGCTTTCACCATCTCATCATCCTCCAAGTTAGCTAGGCTTGGATTAAACCTAGTATGTTAACCATATAATCCCATAAATGATACTTCTGTAAATTTTAGGGCTTCGTACAAAAACCAGGTCATTACAAAACAGCATTGAGTGACATTTTGCTGTTGTTTTTGAAACAATATGAACAAAAACAGCACAATTGATTGCCTGGCTTAATGTGCTGTATCACATCTGGTGGATTAGTAAAGTCAATAAAGGCCTAGTGTGCTGTATCACATCTGGTGGATTAGTAAAGTCAATAAAGGCCTAATGTGCTGTATCACATCTGGTGGATTAGTAAAGTCAATAAAGGCCTAGTGTGCTGTATCACATCTGGTGGATTAGTAAAGTCAATAAAGGCCTAATGTGCTGTATCACATCTGGTGGATTAGTAAAGTTAATAAAGGACCCCTTTACAACAGCTTTAAGTTGTTACTCATGTGATGGGTGCCAAGACGAAACTCTCAGACAAACCTGAAGACCCAGCATTCATCGACGGGACGGAGGTTAACGAAGTGGCCAACATTAATGATGTAGATGAATATCTGGAGATGCTGTATGATGACCTCCCTGACAAGATCAAAGGCTGTGCTCTGCTGTTACAGCTGGCCAGGAACCCAGATAATCTGGAAGAGCTTTTCCAGAATGGTGGGTGTCCAGTTTTGTTTAGTCAGGATTTGTGTGTGTGTGTGTGCCTGTTGTGTTGATGTTATTCAAATGATATACGCCTTCTCCTCAACTTATGATCTCTGCTACTTATGACCATCCGACCAAAAACAAAAGTGGTTCATTCTTTCATTTCATCCCATCTTGGAGACTCAGAGATTTCACAGGGAGTTCTGGGGAAAAAGTCCAATATTATGGAGGGGGGGGGGGGGGGGGGGTAGTGTTAGCTGGTGTCCATTTTGCACCCTAACATCCCTATACTGTTGGACTTTCCCAGTAACTCCCCATGAAATCTTAGTGTCCCTGAGATGAAGTGAAATAACAGATAAGAACCAAATAAGTAAATAAAAATAGTAAATAACACATGATAACTACATTGGTATGGCAAAATATTTACAGGAACTGGAGCGCAGCAGGGTCTAATTATGCACACAGAAATTACATTTCTATAACCTGATAGGATGAAAACTGTTTAAATAAAAATAGTGTTGACAAATATAATTTTACAGGTAAACTTATGACCTGTCAGTGAGATTGGAACTTAGTCATAAGTCGAGTAGACCCTGTATATTTTTGTGTGTATAAAGATTAGAGAGGGAAGGGGAGCTATAAATGGAACTGGTATTGGCCAGTCTTGTATCACAGAGGCTCTTAGGGGAAGCTAAGAATAGCAACACTACACCAGGTCAGGCAAGTTGTGAGAGGAAACACTACACCAGGTCAGGCAAGTTGTGAGAGGAAACACTACACCAGGTCAGGCAAGTTGTGAGAGGCTACACTACGCCTGGTCAGGCAAGTTGTGAGAGACTACACTACACCAGGTCAGGCAAGTTCTGAGAAGCCACACTACACCAGGTCAGGCAAGTTGTGAGAGACTACACTACACCAGGTCAGGCAAGTTCTGAGAAGCCACACTACACCAGGTCAGGCAAGTTGTGAGAGGCTACACTACACCAGGTCAGGCAAGTTGTGAGAGGAAACACTACACCAGGTCAGGCAAGTTGTGAGAGGCCACACTACACCTGGTCAGGCAAGTTGTGAGAGGCTACTCTACACCTGGTCAGGCAAGTTGTGAGAGGCCACACTACACCTGGTCAGGCAAGTTGTGAGAGGCCACACTACACCTGGTCAGGCAAGTTGTGAGAGGCCACACTACACCTGGTCAGGCAAGTTGTGAGAGGCCACACTACACCTGGTCAGGCAAGTTGTGAGAGGCCACACTACACCTGGTCAGGCAAGTTGTGAGAGGCCACACTACACCTGGTCAGGCAAGTTGTGAGAGGCCACACTACACCTGGTCAGGCAAGTTGTGAGAGGCCACACTACACCTGGTCAGGCAAGTTGTGAGAGGCCACACTACACCTGGTCAGGCAAGTTGTGAGAGGCCACACTACACCAGGTCAGGCAAGTTGTGAGAGGCTACACTACACCTGGTCAGGCAAGTTGTGAGAAGCCACACTACACCTGGTCAGGCAAATTGTGAGAGGCCACACTACGCCAGGTCAGGCAAGTTGTGAGAGGCTACACTACACCTGGTCAGGCAAGTTGTGAGAGGCCACACTACACCAGGTCAGGCAAGTTGTGAGAGGCTACACTACACCAGGTCAGGCAAGTTGTGAGAGGCCAACACTTCACCTGGTCAGACAAGTTGTGAGAGGCCACACTACACCAGGTCAGGCAGGTTGTGAGAGGCTACACTACACCTGGTCAGGCAAGTTGTGTGAGGCCACACTACACCAGGTCAGGCAAGTTGTGAGAAGCTACACTACACCAGGTCAGGCAAGTTGTGAGAGACTACACTACACCTGGTCAGGCAAGTTGTGAGAGGCCACACTACACCTGGTCAGGCAAGTTGTGAGAAGCCACACTACACCTGGTCAGGCAAGTTGTGAGAGGCTACACTACACCTGGTCAGGCAAGTTGTGAGAGGCTACACTACGCCTGGTCAGGCAAGTTGTGAGAGACTACACTACACCAGGTCAGGCAAGTTCTGAGAAGCCACACTACACCAGGTCAGGCAAGTTGTGAGAGACCACACTACACCAGGTCAGGCAAGTTGTGAGAAGCTACACTACACCTGGTCAGGCAAGTTGTGAGAAGCCACACTACACCTGGTCAGACAAGTTGTGAGAGGCCACACTACACCAGGTCAGGCAAGTTGTGAGAAGCCTCACTACACCTGGTCAGGCAAGTTGTGAGAGGCTACACTACGCCAGGTCAGGCAAGTTGTGAGAGGCCACACTACACCTGGTCAGGCAAGTTGTGAGAGGCTACACTACACCTGGTCAGGCAAGTTGTGAGAGGCTACATACACTACACCAGGTCAGGCAAGTTGTGAGAGGCCTCACTACACCTGGTCAGGCAAGTTGTGAGAGGCTACACTACGCCAGGTCAGGCAAGTTGTGAGAGGCCACACTACGCCAGGTCAGGCAAGTTGTGAGAGGCTACACTACACCAGGTCAGGCAAGTTGTGAGAGGCTACACTACACCTGGTCAGGCAAGTTGTAAGAGGCTACACTACACCAGGTCAGGCAAGTTGTGGGTGGCTACACTACACCTGGTCAGACAAGTTGTGAGAGGCTACACTACACCAGGTCAGGCAAGTTGTGAGAGACTACACTACACCAGGTCAGGCAAGTTGTGAGAGGCTACACTACACCTGGTCAGGCAAGTTGTGAGAGGCCACACTACACCAGGTCAGACAAGTTGTGAGAGGCTACACTACACCTGGTCAGGCAAGTTATGAGAGGCTACACTACACCTGGTCAGGCAAGTTATGAGAGGCAACACTACACCAGGTCAGGCAAGTTGTGAGAGGCTACACTACACCTGGTCAGGCAAGTTGTGAGAGGCTACACTACACCAGGTTAGGCAAGTGGTGGGTGGCTTCACTACACCTGGTCAGGCAAGTTGTGAGTGGCTACACTACACCTGGTCAGGCAAGTTGTGAGAGGCTACACTACACCAGGTCAGGCAAGTTGTGAGAGGCTACACTACACCTGGTCAGGCAAGTTGTGAGAGGCTACACTACACCAGGTCAGGCAAGTTGTGGGTGGCTATGGGTGGCTACACTACACCTGGTCAGACAAGTTGTGAGAGGCTACACTACACCAGGTCAGGCAAGTTGTGAGAGACTACACTACACCAGGTCAGGCAAGTTGTGAGAGGCTACACTACACCTGGTCAGGCAAGTTGTGAGAGGCCACTCTACACCTGGTCAGGCAAGTTGTGAGAGGCTACACTACACCAGGTCAGGCAAGTTGTGAGAGACTACACTACACCAGGTCAGGCAAGTTGTGAGAGGCCACACTACACCTGGTCAGGCAAGTTGTGAGAGGCTACACTACACCTGGTCAGGCAAGTTGTGAGAGGCTACACTACACCAGGTCAGGCAAGTTGTGAGAGGCCACACTACACCTGGTCAGGCAAGTTGTGAGAGGCCACACTACACCTGGTCAGGCAAGTTGTGAGAGACTACACTACACCAGGTCAGGCAAGTTGTGAGAGGCCACACTACACCAGGTCAGGCAAGTTGTGAGAGGCCACACTACACCTGGTCAGGCAAGTTGTGAGAGACTACACTACACCAGGTCAGGCAAGTTGTGAGAGGCCACACTACACCAGGTCAGGCAAGTTGTGGGTGGCTACACTACACCTGGTCAGACAAGTTGTGAGAGGCTACACTACACCAGGTCAGGCAAGTTGTGAGAGACTACACTACACCAGGTCAGGTAAGTTGTGAGAGGCTACACTACACCTGGTCAGGCAAGTTGTGAGAGGCCACCCTACACCTGGTCAGGCAAGTTGTGAGAGGCTACACTACACCAGGTCAGGCAAGTTGTGAGAGACTACACTACACCAGGTCAGGCAAGTTGTGAGAGGCCACACTACACCTGGTCAGGCAAGTTGTGAGAGGCTACACTACACCTGGTCAGGCAAGTTGTGAGAGGCTACACTACACCAGGTCAGGCAAGTTGTGAGAGGCCACACTACACCTGGTCAGGCAAGTTGTGAGAGGCCACACTACACCAGGTCAGGCAAGTTGTGAGAGGCTACACTACACCAGGTCAGGCAAGTTGTGGGTGGCTACACTACACCAGGTCAGGCAAGTTGTGAGAGGCTACCATATTCTGTGTTTATTAGTATTTGCACTGACTTCACCTCTGTGAGAACAATATAACTAGAATGTCTTTACATTTGAACCCACACAGACATAGAAATAAAGTCAGACAGGGCTCACAGTGTCCTTAGAGAGACACAGGACAAAAAAATATTGCACTTTCCTGTGACAGGACCCAGAGTCCTCAGAGATACACGGGATGGACAAGTACAATTTGCACTTTCCTATGACAGGACCCACAGAGTCCTCAGAGATACACGGGACGGACAAGTACAATTAGCACTTTTCCATGACAGGGCTGCAATGTTCTCTGTGACAATTATTACCAGTGTAACAACACAACCAGTCCTGTCTCTAGTTACTAATGCCGTATGAAAATGTTCATATCTCTGTATATCGCACAAGCTTTTACACGTCTACAGGAGTCGCACCCACAACTGCTGTCCCGTCTTCTCTGCTGCTCTACTCACCGCTGTTTAGTTCTCAGCACACGCAACTGCTGTCCCATCATTCTCTGCTGCTCTACTCACCGCTGTTTAGTTCTCAGCACACGCAAATGTTGACCTTGCCACTCAAGGTTTTATTCCCAAAGGACCCCTCAGTCTGTTTTTCATCTGATGATCTCTCTCTCTCTCTCTCTCTCTCTCTCTCTCTCTCTCTCTCTCTCTCTCTCTCTCCCTCTCTCTCTCTGACACATGCAGCAGAGAATGACGGGACAGCAGTTGTGGGTGCGACTCCTGCAGACGTGTAAAAGCTTGTGCGATATACAAGCATGTTCATACACACACACATGCACATGTTCATATACAACACTTTTATTTGGGGTTTTCCCATCTCAGTCTGTGGGAATCTGAGATCTGCCATTATTTTTTTTTACATTTTTTTTGGTTTGAATCAGAAGATTTAAGCATGGCTCATTTGGCTCAGTGTTGTGAGCATCAAAGCCCTTCAACCTCGGTGCCACGTACACAGTTAATCTGGGGGGTTTGCGGCTCTTCTGTCATCCCCCCCCTCCCTTGAACCTGAGACCAGACACTCACCATTATTGATATAAATTGGGTTTCCTCAAACCTCTAATTGTAATCCCCACCACTGGGTCATGACAGTATTCTGTCAAGCTGACCTGTAGCCCATGTTATCCAAGGACTAGACTGGGCTGCAATGTGTTTGATGATATGTAAACAACTTTTTGTTTCTGTTTCTCAGAGACGGTTGTTAGTGCCCTTGTCCGTCTGCTGAAAGAAGAGTGGAAGAACAGCACTGACCTGGCCATTAACATCATCTACATCTTCTTCTGCTTCTCCTCATTTTCGTCTTTCCATGCGGTGATCCTGCACTTCAAGATTGGAACCCTGTGTATGACCATCATACAGCATGAGCTCAAGAAGCATGACCTCTGGCAGGATGAACTCAACAAGAAGAAGAAAGCTGGTAGGACTTGTGGATCTGGTTACAGTCTACTTATTCTTCACTTCCTGTTTTACCATTTCTGGTGCCGAGGGAGATAACAGGTTCTGTTTTTGCTCTTCTGGCCATCTGAACCATAGACACATTGTGCTGTTGGAGAGTTTCTCTGATGCTATCTTTCCACCTTGTTCTTGGTCTACCTTGTGCTCTTTCATGTCTCCTTTTATAGTTTATGCCTTGTACGGTGCCATTATTGGCACTTTAGTTACACTCATTTATTCAGTCTCCTCCTCCTATTCCGTCTTCTTCCTCCTCCTCTTTTTCTTCTTCTACTTCTTCTTCTTCTTCTCCTTCTTCTTCTTCTTCTTCTTCTTCTTCTTTTTCTTCTTCTCTTCTACTTCTTCTTCTTCTTCTTCTTCTTCTTCTTCTTCTTCTCTTCTTCTTCTTCTTCTTCTTCTTCTTCTTCTTCTCTTCTTCTTCTTCTTCTTCTTTTTCTTCTTCTTCTCCTCATCCTCCTTTTCCACCGCCATCTTCTTCCTCCTCTTTCTTCTTTTCCTCCTTCTCCTCTTTTCTTCCTCCTCCTCTTCCTTCTTCCTCCTCCTCTTCCTCCTTCTCCTCTTTCTCCCTCATCCTCCTCCTCTTCCTCCTTCCCCTCCTCCTCTCTCCAGTCATTGTATTTTCAGGGAGAAATGTAAGGGTCTTTTGTGTGCACTTTGTGATGCCTTTCAGAAGTTTATTTTGTTTTTCTTTAAAGTTGTTTTTGATGCTTTTGTTCCACATTTTACATGGTCTTCTCCTTGCTCTGTGAATTGTATTTCTTCAACAAGGCTATCTGTGGATGTTGGTACCAGAGCATTTTCATCCGGTGTGGCCAAACCATTTCATCTATTTATAAATGAGGGATGGAAATGGTAAAATCGGAGGAGGCAGTCTATGAGAATAGAACGTGGAGAAGTAGAAGATGATGAGATGGAGAGAAAAGATGAGGTGAGTCACAGGTGGGAGAAAATGAGGACCAAGAGAGGATAAGGAATGGGGAGATATGAGAGAAGATGGAGAGGTAGGACAAGATGAAGAGAAATGGAAGAGTTGAGGAAGGAGAGAGTTAGATGAGAAGATCAACAGTTACTACTAACTTGAACATGTCATTAAATCCCCCCCCCCCCCCCCCCCAAAAAAAAATACTAAGACTCCATATTCTGAAACAAGTAAAAAGAGATGTTAAAATTGAAGAAGAATAAGAGGTGAATGAAGATGAGGAACACACAATTGAATGAGATGGAGCAGACATAACAAGGCAGATCAGGAAATGAAGAGATGGAGAAAGAAATCAAATGGTTTGTGAGTTACTCAAGTATTTTAAACTGGTAATTATCTCTTAATAATATTTTAATACAATTTCATAATGCAACCTGAGTTATTGTGATTTGCGTGTTTTGGTGAGAAGGATTCATACTTTGTGTCATATGTTGATACAGTCTGTGGTAGTACACCTGATGTGATAAGTGAAATGTGCTAGTCAGTATGTTGTACAGTATATTTTGTGTGGTTGTACAGTATATTGTGTGTAGTTGTACAGTATATCGTGTGTGGTCGTACAGTATATTATGTGTGGTTGTACAGTATATTGTGTGTGGTTGTACAGTATACTGTGTGTGGTTGTACAGTATATTGTGTGCAGTTGTATAGTATATTGTGTGTGGTTGTACAGTATATTGTGTGTGGTTGTACAGTATATTGTGTGTGGTTGTACAGTATATTGTGTGTGGTTGTACAGTATATTGTGTGTGGTTGTACTCTATATTGTGTGTGGTTGTACTGTATATTGTGTGTGGTTGTACAGTATACTGTGTGTGGTTGTACAGTATACTGTGAGTGGTTATACAGTATACTGTGTGTGAGTATACTATGTGTTGTTGTACAGTATACTGTGTGTGGTTGGTTATACAGTATATGGTTGGTTGTACAGTATATTGTGTGTGGTTGTACAGTATATTGTGTGTGGTTGTACAGTATACTGTGCGTGGTTGTACAGTATACTGTGCGTGGTTGTACAGTATACTGTGTGTGGTTGGTTATACAGTATATGGTTTGCTGTACAGTATACTGTGTGTGGTTGTACAGTATACACTGTGTGGTTGGTTGTACAGTATATTGTGTGTGGTTGTACAGTATATTGTGTGTGGTTGTACAATATATTGTGTGTGGTTGTACAATATACTGTGTGTGGTCGTACAGTATACACTGTGTGGTTGTACATTATACACTGTGTGGTTGGTTGTACAATATATGTGTGGTTGTACAATATATTGAGTGTTTTTGTACAATATATTGTATGTGGTTGTACAATTTATTGTGTGTGGTTGTACAGTTACTGTGTGTGGTTGTACAGTATATTGTATGTGATTATAGTCTAATGTTAATATTGAAATTGTTTTTTTTCATTCTCAGCTGAGGTGGACAAAAACAAAAGTAAAACTCAGGATGATTATGACAAAAGTTTAAAAAAGTACGAAGGCTTGGTTAGAAAACAAGAACAGTTGCTACGTGGTGAGTGTTGCAGAGCTGAGACATATTTAGTTTTTTTCTAATTGATTATGTGCCTGAATACATTGGGCCCATAGCACTGTATGGCTGTGAAACATGGACACACTCTCTCTCTCTCTCACATGCACACCCCCCCCCCCCCCTCCCGGCACACACCACAACATACGCACACACACCTCCCACATGCACCGCACATGCACACATACACCCCTACACACACACACACACCAAAAAAGATGCAAATAACAAACTTTTAGTAGTTTAATCAAGAATCATACTTTTTGTTTATTTCAATTTCAATGATAGCCCTTTCTGACCTCCTTGTGGTCCTTCCAGATTCCCCCGCCCCCTCCCACAAGCATTTCATCAAAGATAACTAATTAGAGATTTGCTGATGTATTGGACTAAAAGGTGCAAATATCATAACCTTGCTGTAAAGCACAACTAAATAGGCCAAACCACGGCTATCTTCCGAATAATGGTCCTAAATTATCCAGGCTAATAAAATACCTTCACAGGGACTCAATCATATGTTAATTGTGGACTTCTTTCCGGTGAATATACCACGGGGAAATACTTCTCCGAATAACGGTCCCAAATCATCGAGAGTGTTAACAGCTCCGACACTGAGTGCTAGGTTTAGCTTCTCCCCGGGGTTTTAGGATTAGGGCCAGGAGTATTGCAATTACAACACCGCCACCAGAATCTGTCACAACAGTGGAACCGCAACACGCGATTGAAGGGTTATGGATGGAACTTAGCGCATGCGACGTTACCATGGCAGCACTAGTCGCGTGTTGTTTACTGAAAATTTAGCGCAGTTTCTTGGCGGCACAGTTACAAGCATTGAGGCCCTGTTAGGGTATTTTCTTAGCCTCGATAATTTGGGACCGTTATTCTGACGGTAGCCCAAACCCACTGAATATTAGGTGCAGTTTCCTGGCGGCACAGTTACAAGCATTGAGGCCCTGTTAGGGTAGTTTTTTGGCCTCGATAATTTGGGACTGTTATTCGGAGGATAGCCCAAACCACTTTTGTAAAAGTCAACAAAGAAGAAGAAAAAGCCGAAAAGCCACAATGGATAGTGTTGTTGGGGGCACAATAGCAAATTGCAAAGACAGCACAATACATCACTCAGGGTGCACTAAGATTATTGAAGACAGCAAGCACAGAGGGGACCCCTAGCCCACAGAATACAACAAAAAACAACACAAAGCAAAGCAAATTAAGGCACAACAAAGTGCCACACAGAATACAACAAGAAACAACACAAAACAAAGCAAATGAAGGCACAACAAAGTGCCACACAGAGACTGAGCACATATTTGTGGGTTTGACTGAGCACGTGTTTGTGTGTTTGACTGAGCACATGTTTGTGAGTTTGATTGAGCACATGTTTGTGGGTTTGACTGAGCACGTTTGTGAGTTTGACTGAGCACATGTTTGTGGGTTTGACTGAGCACATGTTTGTGGATTTGACTGAGCACATTTGTGGGTTTGACTGAGCACATGTTTGTGGATTTGACTGAGCACGTTTGTGAGTTTGACTGAGCACATGTTTGTGGATTTGACTGAGCACGTTTGTCAGTTTGACTGAGCACATGTTTGTGTGTTTGACTGAGCACATGTTTGTGAGTTTGACTGAGCACATGTTTGTGTGTTTGACTGAGCACATGTTTGTGGATTTGACTGAGCACGTTTGTGAGTTTGACTGAGCACATGTTTGTGTGTTTGACTGAGCACATGTTTGTGAGTTTGACTGAGCACATGTTTGTGAGTTTGACTGAGCACATGTTTGTGAGTTTGACTGAGCACATGTTTGTGTGTTTGACTGAGCACATGTTTGTGTGTTTGACTGAGCACATGTTTGTGAGTTTGACTGAGCACATGTTTGTGAGTTTGACTGAGCACGTTTGTGAGTTTGACTGAGCACGTTTGTGAGTTTGACTGAGCACGTTTGTGAGTTTGACTGAGCACATGTTTGTGAGTTTGACTGAGCACATGTTTGTGTGTTTGACTGAGCACATGTTTGTGTGTTTGACTGAGCACATAGTTGTGTGTTTGACTGAGCACATGTTTGTGGATTTGACTGAGCACATAGTTGTGGGTTTGACTGAGCACATGTTTGTGGATTTGACTGAGCATATGTTTGTGGATTTGACTGAGCACATGTTTGTGGATTTGACTGAGCACATGTTTGTGTATTTGACTGAGCACATAGTTGTGGATTTGACTGAGCACATAGTTGTGTGTTTGACTGAGCACATGTTTGTGTGTTTGACTGAGCACATGTTTGTGTGTTTGACTGAGCACATGTTTGTGTGTTTGACTGAGCACATGTTTGTGTGTTTGACTGAGCACATGTTTGTGTGTTTGACTGAGCACATGTTTGTGAGTTTGACTGAGCACATGTTTGTGAGTTTGACTGAGCACATGTTTGTGAGTTTGACTGAGCACATGTTTGTGTGTTTGACTGAGCACATAGTTGTGTGTTTGACTGAGCACATGTTTGTGTGTTTGACTGAGCACATAGTTGTGAGTTTGACTGAGCACATGTTTGTGGATTTGACTGAGCACGTTTGTGAGTTTGACTGAGCACATGTTTGTGTGTTTGACTGAGCACATGTTTGTGAGTTTGACTGAGCACATGTTTGTGTGTTTGACTGAGCACATGTTTGTGGATTTGACTGAGCACGTTTGTGAGTTTGACTGAGCACATGTTTGTGTGTTTGACTGAGCACATGTTTGTGAGTTTGACTGAGCACATGTTTGTGAGTTTGACTGAGCACATGTTTGTGAGTTTGACTGAGCACATGTTTGTGAGTTTGACTGAGCACATGTTTGTGAGTTTGACTGAGCACATAGTTGTGTGTTTGACTGAGCACATAGTTGTGTGTTTGACTGAGCACATAGTTGTGTGTTTGACTGAGCACATGTTTGTGAGTTTGACTGAGCACATAGTTGTGTGTTTGACTGAGCACATAGTTGTGTGTTTGACTGAGCACATAGTTGTGTGTTTGACTGAGCACATAGTTGTGAGTTTGACTGAGCACATAGTTGTGTGTTTGACTGAGCACATGTTTGTGAGTTTGACTGAGCACATGTTTGTGGGTTTGACTGAGCACATGTTTGTGAGTTTGACTGAGCACATGTTTGTGAGTTTGACTGAGCACATAGTTGTGTGTTTGACTGAGCACATGTTTGTGAGTTTGACTGAGCACATGTTTGTGAGTTTGACTGAGCACATGTTTGTGAGTTTGACTGAGCACATAGTTGTGTGTTTGACTGAGCACATGTTTGTGAGTTTGACTGAGCACATAGTTGTGTGTTTGACTGAGCACATGTTTGTGTGTTTGACTGAGCACATGTTTGTGTGTTTGACTGAGCACATAGTTGTGGGTTTGACTGAGCACATAGTTGTGGGTTTGACTGAGTACATAGTTGTGTGTTTGACTGAGCACATAGTTGTGTGTTTGACTGAGCACATAGTTGTGTGTTTGACTGAGCACATAGTTGTGTGTTTGACTGAGCACATGTTTGTGAGTTTGACTGAGCACATAGTTGTGTGTTTGACTGAGCACATAGTTGTGTGTTTGACTGAGCACATAGTTGTGTGTTTGACTGAGCACATAGTTGTGTGTTTGACTGAGCACATAGTTGTGTGTTTGACTGAGCACATAGTTGTGTGTTTGACTGAGCACATAGTTGTGTGTTTGACTGAGCACATAGTTGTGTGTTTGACTAAGCACATAGTTGTGTGTTTGACTGAGCACATGTTTGTGAGTTTGACTGAGCACATAGTTGTGTGTTTGACTGAGCACATAGTTGTGTGTTTGACTGAGCACATAGTTGTGAGTTTGACTGAGCACATAGTTGTGTGTTTGACTGAGCACATAGTTGTGTGTTTGACTGAGCACATAGTTGTGTGTTTGACTGAGCACATGTTTGTGAGTTTGACTGAGCACATAGTTGTGTGTTTGACTGAGCACATAGTTGTGTGTTTGACTGAGCACATAGTTGTGAGTTTGACTGAGCACATAGTTGTGTGTTTGACTGAGCACATAGTTGTGAGTTTGACTGAGCACATAGTTGTGTGTTTGACTGAGCACATAGTTGTGAGTTTGACTGAGCACATAGTTGTGTGTTTGACTGAGCACATAGTTGTGTGTTTGACTGAGCACATAGTTGTGTGTTTGACTGAGCACATAGTTGTGTGTTTGACTGAGCACATGTTTGTGAGTTTGACTGAGCACATAGTTGTGTGTTTGACTGAGCACATGTTTGTGAGTTTGACTGAGCACATGTTTGTGGGTTTGACTGAGCACATGTTTGTGAGTTTGACTGAGCACATGTTTGTGAGTTTGACTGAGCACATAGTTGTGTGTTTGACTGAGCACATGTTTGTGAGTTTGACTGAGCACATGTTTGTGAGTTTGACTGAGCACATGTTTGTGAGTTTGACTGAGCACATAGTTGTGTGTTTGACTGAGCACATGTTTGTGAGTTTGACTGAGCACATAGTTGTGTGTTTGACTGAGCACATGTTTGTGTGTTTGACTGAGCACATAGTTGTGGGTTTGACTGAGCACATGTTTGTGTGTTTGACTGAGCACATGTTTGTGTGTTTGACTGAGCACATAGTTGTGTGTTTGACTGAGCACATAGTTGTGTGTTTGACTGAGCACATGTTTGTGAGTTTGACTGAGCACATAGTTGTGTGTTTGACTGAGCACATGTTTGTGAGTTTGACTGAGCACATAGTTGTGTGTTTGACTGAGCACATGTTTGTGTGTTTGACTGAGCACATGTTTGTGTGTTTGACTGAGCACATGTTTGTGTGTTTGACTGAGCACATAGTTGTGGGTTTGACTGAGCACATGTTTGTGAGTTTGACTGAGCACATAGTTGTGTGTTTGACTGAGCACATGTTTGTGTGTTTGACTGAGCACATGTTTGTGTGTTTGACTGAGCACATGTTTGTGTGTTTGACTGAGCACATAGTTGTGGGTTTGACTGAGCACATGTTTGTGAGTTTGACTGAGCACATAGTTGTGTGTTTGACTGAGCACATGTTTGTGTGTTTGACTGAGCACATGTTTGTGTGTTTGACTGAGCACATGTTTGTGTGTTTGACTGAGCACATAGTTGTGGGTTTGACTGAGCACATGTTTGTGAGTTTGACTGAGCACATGTTTGTGTGTTTGACTGAGCACATGTTTGTGTGTTTGACTGAGCACATAGTTGTGGGTTTGACTGAGCACATAGTTGTGGGTTTGACTGAGCACATAGTTGTGGGTTTGACTGAGCACATAGTTGTGAGTTTGACTGAGCACATAGTTGTGAGTTTGACTGAGCACATAGTTGTGAGTTTGACTGAGCACATGTTTGTGTGTTTGACTGAGCACATAGTTGTGTGTTTGACTGAGCACATAGTTGTGTGTTTGACTGAGCACATAGTTGTGGATTTGACTGAGCACATAGTTGTGGGTTTGACTGAGCACAAATTTGTGAGTTTGACTGAGCACATAGTTGTGAGTTTGACTGAGCACATAGTTGTGAGTTTGACTGAGCACATAGTTGTGGGTTTGACTGAGCACATAGTTGTGAGTTTGACTGAGCACATAGTTGTGAGTTTGACTGAGCACATAGTTGTGAGTTTGACTGAGCACATAGTTGTGAGTTTGACTGAGCACATAGTTGTGTGTTTGACTGAGCACATGTTTGTGAGTTTGACTGAGCACATAGTTGTGAGTTTGACTGAGCACATAGTTGTGTGTTTGACTGAGCACATAGTTGTGAGTTTGACTGAGCACATAGTTGTGTGTTTGACTGAGCACATAGTTGTGGGTTTGACTGAGCACATAGTTGTGAGTTTGACTGAGCACATAGTTGTGAGTTTGACTGAGCACATGTTTGTGAGTTTGACTGAGCACATAGTTGTGGGTTTGACTGAGCACATGTTTGTGAGTTTGACTGAGCACATGTTTGTGAGTTTGACTGAGCATATGTTTGTGGATTTGACTGAGCACATGTTTGTGAGTTTGACTGAGCACATGTTTGTGAGTTTGACTGAGCACATAGTTGTGTGTTTGACTGAGCACATGTTTGTGAGTTTGACTGAGCACATGTTTGTGAGTTTGACTGAGCACGTGTTTGTGAGTTTGACTGAGCACATAGTTGTGTGTTTGACTGAGCACATGTTTGTGAGTTTGACTGAGCACATGTTTGTGAGTTTGACTGAGCACGTGTTTGTGAGTTTGACTGAGCACATGTTTGTGAGTTTGACTGAGCACATGTTTGTGAGTTTGACTGAGCACATGTTTGTGAGTTTGACTGAGCACATGTTTGTGAGTTTGACTGAGCACATAGTTGTGTGTTTGACTGAGCACATGTTTGTGAGTTTGACTGAGCACATGTTTGTGAGTTTGACTGAGCACATGTTTGTGAGTTTGACTGAGCACATAGTTGTGGGTTTGACTGAGCACATAGTTGTGAGTTTGACTGAGCACATAGTTGTGAGTTTGACTGAGCACATAGTTGTGGGTTTGACTGAGCACATGTTTGTGAGTTTGACTGAGCACATGTTTGTGTGTTTGACTGAGCACATGTTTGTGCGTTTGACTGAGCACATAGTTGTGGATTTGACTGAGCACATAGTTGTGAGTTTGACTGAGCACATGTTTGTGGATTTGACTGAGCACATGTTTGTGAGTTTGACTGAGCACATGTTTGTGAGTTTGACTGAGCACATGTTTGTGTGTTTGACTGAGCACATAGTTGTGGATTTGACTGAGCACATAGTTGTGAGTTTGACTGAGCACATGTTTGTGGATTTGACTGAGCACATGTTTGTGAGTTTGACTGAGCACATGTTTGTGTGTTTGACTGAGCACATGTTTGTGGATTTGACTGAGCACATAGTTGTGAGTTTGACTGAGCACATGTTTGTGAGTTTGACTGAGCACATGTTTGTGTGTTTGACTGAGCACATGTTTGTGTGTTTGACTGAGCACATGTTTGTGTGTTTGACTGAGCACATAGTTGTGGATTTGACTGAGCACATAGTTGTGAGTTTGACTGAGCACATGTTTGTGGATTTGACTGAGCACATGTTTGTGGATTTGACTGAGCACATGTTTGTGGATTTGACTGAGCATATGTTTGTGGATTTGACTGAGCACATGTTTGTGGATTTGACTGAGCACATGTTTGTGAGTTTGACTGAGCACATAGTTGTGGGTTTGACTGAGCACATAGTTGTGGATTTGACTGAGCACATAGTTGTGGGTTTGACTGAGCACATGTTTGTGGATTTGACTGAGCATATGTTTGTGGATTTGACTGAGCACATGTTTGTGGATTTGACTGAGCATATGTTTGTGGATTTGACTGAGCACATGTTTGTGAGTTTGACTGAGCACATGTTTGTGAGTTTGACTGAGCACATAGTTGTGGGTTTGACTGAGCACATAGTTGTGAGTTTGACTGAGCACATGTTTGTGGATTTGACTGAGCATATGTTTGTGGATTTGACTGAGCACATGTTTGTGAGTTTGACTGAGCACATGTTTGTGAGTTTGACTGAGCACATAGTTGTGGGTTTGACTGAGCACATATTTGTGAGTTTGACTGAGCACATAGTTGTGTGTTTGACTGAGCACATGTTTGTGAGTTTGACTGAGCACATGTTTGTGAGTTTGACTGAGCACATGTTTGTGTGTTTGACTGAGCACATGTTTGTGTGTTTGACTGAGCACATGTTTGTGAGTTTGACTGAGCACATAGTTGTGTGTTTGACTGAGCACATGTTTGTGAGTTTGACTGAGCACATGTTTGTGAGTTTGACTGAGCACATGTTTGTGTGTTTGACTGAGCACATAGTTGTGAGTTTGACTGAGCACATGTTTGTGGATTTGACTGAGCACATAGTTGTGGGTTTGACTGAGCACATGTTTGTGGATTTGACTGAGCATATGTTTGTGGATTTGACTGAGCACATGTTTGTGGATTTGACTGAGCACATGTTTGTGTATTTGACTGAGCACATAGTTGTGGATTTGACTGAGCACATGTTTGTGGATTTGACTGAGCACATGTTTGTGTATTTGACTGAGCACATGTTTGTGGATTTGACTGAGCACATGTTTGTGGATTTGACTGAGCACATGTTTGTGTATTTGACTGAGCACATGTTTGTGGATTTGACTGAGCACATGTTTGTGGATTTGACTGAGCACATGTTTGTGGATTTGACTGAGCATATGTTTGTGGGTGATCTCCTAGTGGCCTACTACTTGTTGTTGAACCTGGCCGAGGAAGAGAAAGTGGAGATGAAGATGAGAAACAAGGGAGTGGTCCGTTTGTTGGTCTCCACACTGGACAGAAATAACTTTGAACTGCTCATTCTGGTCGTCTCCTTCCTGAAAAAACTCAGCATTTACATTGAGAACAAGAATGAAATGGTAAGATTTAGCTAGTGTTTAGTTGTTTACTCTGTTTTTGTTTTGTTTATGTTTCTGTTCTGGATGTGTATGTCTTGATTTTTCAGTGAAATCCATATTTATTATGTTGTTGTGATACATAAAAGTAAACCCATTTTTTTACGCCAGTGATGTATGATGTACGGTTCTGGAGTCCTGTATTTATAGAACAGTCGGACCTCTATGAATGATGTGGTAAACATCATGCCGACCACCTTTACTTTCAAGACATTACTTGCTACCCATTGTAGGCTGGACTGCCGTTGCAGCCAAAGGTAATAATGGAAAAAAAATTTGCCTTAAAGTGGACTTAAACCCAAGACCTTCGGGCGGACAGGCACCAGTCAGTGTGACATGTATGACTGTACTTGAGACAGACAGGCACCAGTCAGTGTGGCATGTATGACTGTACTTGTGGCAGACACACACCAGTCTGTGTGACATGTATGGCTGTACTTGAGACAGACAGGCACCTGTCAGTGTGACATGTATGACTGTACTTAAGACAGACAGGCACCAGTTAGTGTGGCATGTATGACTGTACTTGAGACAGACAGGCACCAGTTAGTGTTGCATGTATGACTGTACTTGAGACAGACAGGCACCAGTTAGTGTTGCATGTATGACTACTTTGAGGCAGACAGGCACCAGTCTGTGTGACATGTATGACTGTACTTGAGGCAGACAGGCACCAGTCAGTGTGACATGTATGACTGTACTTGAGACAGACAGGCACCAGTCTGTGTGACATGTATGACTGTACTTGAGGCAGACAGGCACCAGTCAGTGTGGCATGTATGACTGTACTTGAGGCAGACAGGCACCAGTCTGTGTGACATGTATGACTGTACTTGAGACAGACAGGCACCAGTCAGTGTGACATGTATGACTGTACTTGAGACAGACAAGCACCAGTCTGTGTGACATGTATGACTGTACTTGAGACAGACAGGCACCAGTTAGTGTGACATGTATGACTGTACTTGTGGCAGACATACACCAGTCAGTGTGACATGTATGGCTGTACTTGAGACAGACAGGCACCAGTCAGTGTGACATGTATGACTGTACTTGAGACAGTCAGGCACCAGTCAGTGTGACATGTATGACTGTACTTAAGACAGACATACACCAGTTAGTGTGGCATGTATAACTACTTGAGACAGACAGGCACCAGTCAGTGTGACATGTATAACTGTACTTGAGGCAGCCATACACCAGTCAGTGTGACATGTATGGCTGTACTTGAGACAGACATACACCAGTTAGTGTGACATGTATGACTGTACTTGAGGCAGACAGGCACCAGTTTGTGTGACCTGTATGATTGTACTTGAGACAGACAGGCACCAATCAGTGTGACATGTATGACTACTTGAGACAGACAGGCACCAGTTAGTGTGGCATGTATAACTGTACCTGAGACAGACAGGCACCAGTCTGTGTGACTGTACTTGAGACAGACAGGCACCAGTCAGTGTGACATGTATGACTGTACTTAAGACAGACAGGCACCAGTTAGTGTGGCATGTATGACTGTACTTGAGACAGACAGGCACCAGTTAGTGTTGCATGTATGACTGTACTTGAGACAGACAGGCACCAGTTAGTGTTGCATGTATGACTACTTTGAGGCAGACAGGCACCAGTCTGTGTGACATGTATGACTGTACTTGAGGCAGACAGGCACCAGTCAGTGTGACATGTATGACTGTACTTGAGACAGACAGGCACCAGTCTGTGTGACATGTATGACTGTACTTGAGGCAGACAGGCACCAGTCAGTGTGGCATGTATGACTGTACTTGAGGCAGACAGGCACCAGTCTGTGTGACATGTATGACTGTACTTGAGACAGACAGGCACCGGTCAGTGTGACATGTATGACTGTACTTGAGACAGACAAGCACCAGTCTGTGTGACATGTATGACTGTACTTGAGACAGACAGGCACCAGTTAGTGTGACATGTATGACTGTACTTGTGGCAGACATACACCAGTCAGTGTGACATGTATGGCTGTACTTGAGACAGACAGGCACCAGTCAGTGTGACATGTATGGACTGTACTTGAGACAGTCAGGCACCAGTCCAGTGTGACATGTATGACTGTACTTAAGACAGACATACTCCAGTTAGTGTGGCATGTATAACTACTTGAGACAGACAGGCACCAGTCAGTGTGACATGTATGACTGTACTTGAGGCAGCCATACACCAGTCAGTGTGACATGTATGGCTGTACTTGAGACAGACATACACCAGTTAGTGTGACATGTATGACTGTACTTGAGGCAGACAGGCACCAGTTTGTGTGACATGTATGATTGTACTTGAGACAGACAGGCACCAATCAGTGTGACATGTATGACTACTTGAGACAGACAGGCACCAGTTAGTGTGGCATGTATAACTGTACCTGAGACAGACAGGCACCAGTCTGTGTGACTGTACTTGAGGCAGACATACACCAGTCAGTGTGATATGTATGACTGTACTTAAGACAGACAGGCACCAGTTAGTGTGACATGTATGATTGTACTTGAGACAGACAGGCACCAGTCTGTGTGACATGAATGACTGTACTTGAGGCAGACATACACCAGTCAGTGTGGCATGTATAACTATAATGTTGTTGATGTTACTGATGGTTTAAATGCAGATTTTGTTACTAAAGGCAATCATTACAACTATTATTCTGTTCTAAAATAGCAGTGGATGAAGTACTCCATAACAGTATGGGAAAATTGTCTTCTGTTCTGAGGAGGATAGGCAGGTTTATTGTTTTTAGTTGTGGCATGTTTTAGCTTCTGACAATAGTTGGCTGTTGCATTTTCCTCCATATGTAGACGGAAAGAATATAGTTTTGTCACCCCGCTAGTGAGTTAAGTACATAGCGCGACACTGTGAGCTGCATATTTCATTTTTATTTGGAAAGTTTTTTTCAACTGTGACCAACGTGGTTTACATTGTGAACTGTAGATTCAGAAGATTTTTGGTCGCCTGTAAAAATAGAACTTCCTTTCATTCGTCCTGGTGACGTAAATGCTTTGTGCCTGTTTACAGCAGAGCTGTGATATGTGCGCCTTTCGGCAGACACATCCGACTTTATCGAGCATTTGTCGACCTGGTTAACTTTCGGAACAGTTTAGTAGGACAGGGACATGTTGTGGCCTTATTTTGTGGTGTTTCCTTTGTCCCCTTATCCGCAGGTCTTGCACCTAGAGACCCTGTCCAGGGCATCTGCCCGTAGACAGGTCAGCCCTTAAGGGAAGGCAGGGGCAGTTCATGGGCATTCCTGGCCATCCAAGGAGGCTTCCATAAATGCAGAACCGACACATATCGCTCTGGTCCGGGACTCACCACAGGAATCATCACATCCGGCACATGTCTGTTTATTCTCACATCCGTGTGTTGAGCTTTCCATTCGTCACATGCTACACCCCCAGAGATCAGCTGGGGACAGCATACAGGTCCGGGATATTGATGGCCACACAAATAGGTACATTTAAGGTAGACACCTTTAATGTTGTTTCATCTGGAAATTTAGCAAGACAGTACAGCAAAAGCATGCATCCAGCATGGCTCCCCCTTTTTAGGTCCCACACTCTGGTTACCATTGGCCTGTAATCAATATCACTGTGCCACACATAAAAACAGAACTAACTGGTGGTGCCTTATGTGACTAATCGCATGTGCAATTTCTGATCTTTTGTAGCTGTTTCCAATGATGATGAAGTGTATTTCTAGTGTCACACTGTTTGTGTAAGCACTTCTAATGGCTGCCTAATGCATTTGTTTGTTATTGGATATGCAGAGACTGCCAATTATGTCAGTTTGTCCACAAGGGACATTCATGGACATTCTGTGAGATTTTTCTTTGGCACACGAATGGAGCAGCTGTGGGGGTGAACCATTTTCTATAAAATTGAAACTACGAATACCTGAGCATAGGTGAATCAGGCTGGAAGACTCTACCAGGCCATAAACCGAGGGTTTCTTAGCAAAAGAGAAACTGGCAAGAGGACAAAAATGGCTGTTTACAGCTCTACCTATGTACCAGTCCTGACCTATGGCTGTGAGTCATGGGCAATGATAACAGCTCACAGAAGCCAGCTTCAGACCTCAGAAATGAGATATCTGAGAAAGTTGGTCCAAGTGACAAAAAGGGACAAATTCAGCAATCAGACAATACATCAAGATCTTGATATCCAGTCCTTACTAACCCGAGTAGATCAGTCACAGTTACGACTGTTTGGACATGTATGCAGAATGGAAAAACATCGACCACCATGGCAGGCACGGGAGGCTAAGAACCAGGGAACCAGACCTCCAGGGTGACCCAGGGTTCACTGGGAAGACAACATCCGACAGTCCATTACTGACAGAGGACTGGAATGGAACAAAACCAGAAAGAAAACTGCTGATAGAGACGTCTGGGGATCTCTCTGGCAAACCTCTACACCCCAAGGTAAAAGTGGAGCGACTTAGTAAGTAAGTAAGCTTTAGATTTGTTACCCTCAGTGTGTATTGGCGACATTTACAGGCGCAAACTCAGGCAGAATCCCTCTCTAAGGTCTTCTCTAAGGCGCTGCGTGTTCTCATTCCCTTGGCCACTTACGCTTAACATTGACTATACTTTAACTTAATTTTTTTTTTTTTTAGGTTGAGTTAAATATTGTGGAAAAACTGGCCAAGTTGATACCATGTGACCATGAAGACCTGCTTAATATCACCCTACGACTTCTGCTCAACCTCAGTTTTGATCCAGACATCCGCAGCAAAATTATCAAGTATGGTTTGCTGCCGAAGCTGGTCAACCTGTTGAGTGAGTCTTTCTGTGTTCACATTTCACTGTTTGTTTCGGTCATTGGTCATTGAACTTTAATGCCAGTTAGAGTGTCCACAATTTCAGCTGAACAACTGAGAAATCAATAATTATCTGTTGTATTTTTATGAATGAAAATAAGAATGAGATAACATGCAAAAATATTATATTTAGACTAAGTTAGTTCAACAATGTCGCATACCAGCTTGCCCCAATTTTAAAACACCCTGCTGTCCCAGCTGAGATAAAAAGACAAATTATAAATACAATCTTTATACCGACATTAGGTTATCAATGTCAGACATTAACAAAAGAACACGAGAGAAGACTAACCACCTGTGAAATGAGATGTTTGAGAATGGCTGCGAATAAAACCAGAAGAGATCGAGTGAGAAACTATGTGATTACAAGAACTATTGGAACCATACCCATCGTTAAATTTATTGAGAAGCAAAGAATGAAATGGTTTGGTCACCTAATGAGAATGGAACCAACGATGCCAGCATCGAGAGCATACAACATGAAAATCGAAACACCAAGAGGCAGGGGAAGACCAAGATGAAGATGGATTGAAGGAGTCACGGACAACTTGAGACTTCATAACATCACGGCATATGAAGCAACTGAGCGCGCCCTGGCTCGGTTGCCGATCATCTGATAGACTGCGACGCCTAGTGGCACAAGCAGATTTTGACAAAAGAAGAAGAAGTTCTAAAGGAGTAGAAATATATTTTAAAAAATGTTCAGGATAAAAACAAAAGGGGGGTAAAATTGCACTGACATTGACAGTGCAATGAACAGAAGGAAACACAGTAACGTGATATGTTTCTGTTCTTTTTGTCGCAGCAATGCAGTGTGTTGTTATGTTTATTTTTGCAGACAATGAAAATCACTACCACCTGGTTCTGTGTGTACTCTACCATATCAGCATGGACGACAAGGCCAAGACAATGTTTATCTATACAGACTGTGTGCCCCTTGTAAGTTACTGTGTGCCCCTTGTAAGTTACTGTGTGCCCCTTGTAAGTTACTGTGTGCCTCTTGTAAGTTACTGTGTGCCCCTTGTAAGTTACTGTGTACCCCTTGTAAGTTATTGTGTGCCCCTTGTAAGTTACTGTGTGCCCCTTGTAAGTTATTGTGTGCCCCTTGTAAGTTACTGTGTGCCCCTTGTAAGTTACTGTGTGCCCCTTGTAAGTTACTGTGTGCCCCTTGTAAGTTATTGTGTGCCCCTTGTAAGTTACTGTGTGCCCCTTGTAAGTTACTGCCTGCCTCTTGTAAGTTACTGTGTGCCCCTTGTAAGTTACAGTGTACCCCTTGTAAATTACTGTGTACCCCTAGTAAGTTACTGTGTGCTTCTTGTAAGTTACTGTGTGCCTCTTGTAGGTTACTGTATGCCCCTTGTAAGTTACTGTGTGCCTCTTGTAAGTTACTGTGTGCCCCTTGGAGGTTACTGTATGCACCTTGTAATTTACTGTGTGACCCTTGTAAGTTACAGAATACCCCTTGTAAGTTACTGTGTAGCCCTTGTAAGTTACAATGTGCTCCTTGTAAGTTACAGTGCACCCCTTGTAAGTTGCTGTGTGCTCCTTGTAAGTTACAGTGCACCCCTTGTAAGTTACAGTGTAGCCCTTGTGAGTTACTGTGTACCCCTTGAAAGTTACTGTGTACCCCTTGTAAGTTACAGTGTACCCCTTGTAAATTACTGTGTACCCCTTGTAAGTTACTGTGTGCCCCTTGTAAGTTACAGTGTACCCCTTGTAAATTACTGTGTACCCCTAGTAAGTTACTGTGTGCCCCTTGTAAGTTACTGTGTACTCCTTGAAAGTAACAGTGTACCCCTTGTAAGTTACAGTGTACTCGTTGAAAGTTACAGTGTAAACCTTGTAAGTTACTGTGTAGCCCTTAAAAGTTACAGTGTACCCTTTGTAAGTCACTGTGTAGTCCTTGAAAGTTACTGTGCACCGCTTGATAGTTACAGTGTACCCCTTGTAAGTTACTGTGTACCTCTTGAAGGTTACAGTGTACCCCTTGTAAGTTACTGTGTGCCCCTTGAAGGTTACAGTGTACCCCTTGTAAGTTACTGTGTACCTCTTGAAGGTTACAGTGTACCCCTTGTAAGTTACTGTGTACCTCTTGAAGGTTACAGTGTACCCCTTGTAAGTTACTGTGTACCTCTTGAAGGTTACAGTGTACCCCTTGTAAGTTACTGTGTACCTCTTGAAGGTTACAGTGTACCCCTTGTAAGTTACTGTGTACCTCTTGAAGTTTACAGTGTACCCCTTGTAAGTTACTGTGTACCTCTTGAAGGTTACAATGTACCCCTTGTAAGTCACTGTGTAGTCCTTGTAAGTTACTGTGTACCTCTTGAAGGTTACAATGTACCTCTTGTAAGTTACTGTGCACCGCTTGATAGTTACAGTGTACCCCTTGTAAGTTACTGTGTACCTCTTGAAGGTTACAGTGTACCCCTTGTAAGTTACTGTGTACCTCTTGAAGGTTACAATGTACCCCTTGTAAGTTACTGTGCACCTCTTGAAGGTTACAGTGTACCCCTTGTAAGTTACTGTGCACCTCTTGAAGGTTACAGTGTACCCCTTGTAAGTTACTGTGTAGCCCTTAAACCTTACTATGCACTTCTTGTTGATCAGTTACTTCAAAGCAAACTGATTACCCTATGATTGTTTCAGTGAGAACCAGAAAGCTCATCGCTGTGAAAACAGATTAAACATTGCTGTCTCGGCAAAGCCATTAGCATACACACACATAAAACACCTTCAGTCCACCACTAGAATTGCGGTTAACCCTTGATGGAAACAGTAGTTACAACAGATCAGCAGTTGCACATGCAATATTTCATAAGGCATCACCAGTTCTATATCAGTTTCTGAATCTGCAGTTTACAACACAAATCATGTTGCACATATTAATTTACTTTTTTTGACCAATGTTAATTTACTGTGGGCCCCATGTTAATGTATTGCATGCTCATTGTTAATTTACTTTGTGCCACATTGTTATTTTACAGTGTGCCACATTGTTAATTTACTGTGTGCCACATTGTTAACTTACTATGTGCCACATTGTTAATTTACGGTGTGCCACATTGTTAATTTACTGTGTACCACATTGTTAATTTACTGTGTGCCACATTTTTAATTTACTGTGTGCCACATTGTTAATTTACTGTGTGCCACATTGTTAATTTACTGTGTGCCACATTGTTAATTTACTGTGTGCCACATTGTTAATTTACTGTGTGCCACATTGCTAATTTACTGTGTGCCTTATTGTTAATTTACTGTGTGCCACATTGTTAATTTACTGTGTACCACATTGCTAATTTACTGTGTGCCACATTGTTAATTTACTGTGTGCCCCAGGTTAATTTACTGTGTGCCCCAGGTTAATTTACTGTGTGCCACATTGTTAATTTACTGTGTGCCACATTGTTAATTTACTGTGTGCCACATTGTTAATTTACTGTGTGCCACATTGTTAATTTACTGTGTGCCACATTGTTAATTTACCGTATGCCACATTGTTAATTTACTGTGTGCCTTATTGTTAATTTACTGTGTGCTACATTGTTACTTTACTGTGTGCCCCATGTCAATTTACTGTGTGCCCCATGTCAATTTACTGTGTGCCCCATGTCAATTTACTGTGTGCCCTATGTCAATTTACTGTGTGCCCCATGTCAATTTACTGTGTGCCCCCATGTCAATTTACTGTGTGCCCCATGTCAATTTACTTTGTGCCCTATGTCAATTTACTGTGTGCCCCATGTCAAATAACGGTGTGCCACATTGTTAATTTACTGTGTGCCACATTGTTAATTTACTGTGCCCCTTGTGGGTGGCTTCACCATTGTAGGACTGTTCACACATGGGAATGAATGCTCAATATGCAGTGACATAATTGTGATAACAACATGTGATCTAACATCTGCAGGTGATGAAGATGCTACTACAGAGCCCCGGCAAGATCGACATCAAACTGATGGCCTTATGCATCAACCTGGCCGCCAACAAACGCACAGCTCAGATCATCTGTGAAGGTCAGGGTCTCAAGATGTTGATGAAGAGGGCGTTCAAGTTCACGGACCCCTTGTTGATGAAGATGATCAGAAATTTGTCACAGCACTCCGGCTCCACCAAGGCTCTCTTCATAGTAAGTTTGCGATTGTTATTGTTGAGAGAAATGAACCTACAATGAGAACTGACTGCTGACATCGGATGGAGACAGTCTACATTCTTCGGTCATGTCATGAGAAGGAGAAAACTGTGACGTACATAGTGACGGTGAGATAGTTGGAGGGGAAGAGAGGCAGAGGGAGGCCAACAGAGGCAGAGGGAGGCTAACAGAGGCAGAGGGAGGCTAACAGAGGCAGGGGGAGGCTAACAGAGGCAGAGGGAGGCTAACAGAGGCAGAGGGAGGCTAACAGAGGCAGAGGGAGGCTAACAGAGAAGATGCTGGACAGTCTAACATCTTGGAATGGAAGAGATCTGTGTTAGAATTGATTGAAAGCACATGAGACAGAAGGCTGTGTATAGACACGACTGCCAACGCTACACAGCAGAGACTCTAAGAAGAAGAAGATGAATTATATTGAGTTGTTTACTTTTATATGAAATGATTGGGTCAAAGACTGGTGATGTATTGTTTCTTTTCTGATGTATGAAATGATTGGGTCAAGGACTGGTGATGTATTGTTTCTTTTCTGATGTATGAAATGATTGGGTCAAAGACTGGTGATGTATTGTTTCTTTTCTGATGTATGAAATGATTGGGTCAAGGACTGGTGATGTATTGTTTCCTTTCCGATGTATGAAATGGTTGGGTCAAAGACTGGTGATGTATTGTTTCTTTTCTGATGTATGAAATGATTGGGTCAAGGACTGGTGATGTATTGTTTCCTTTCTGATGTATGAAATGGTTGGGTCAAAGACTGGTGATGTATTGTTTCCTTTCTGATGTATGAAATGATTGGGTCAAGGACTGGTGATGTATTGTTTCCTTTCCGATGTATGAAATGGTTGGGTCAAAGACTGGTGATGTATTGTTTCTTTTCTGATGTATGAAATGATTGGGTCAAAGACTGGTGATGTATTGTCTCTTTTCTGATGTATGAAATGATGGAATATATAATACAGCCAGTGCTCAGGAAGGAAGAGGAAAAACAAAACAAGGGTGTTTGGTAATTTTGTCGCAGGATAGAAGTACTGGGACAATAAGTGAATATTAATCAATTCAAATTGTTGACCTCAGGGCCCCATTGTGGAGAAGAAAAAAAATAGACCCACTGTCTTTCTAACAAGCGTGTCATAAGAGTTGACTAATCAGGTGAGGGGTCCTTGAAAGTCAGAGTACATCTGCCTGAAAGGCAAGGAACCAACAGTCTGCAAACAATTAAACCAGTTCTGTTAAAAGGATGCGCAGGAAAAGCTCACGTTCTGGAACAAGACTAAAGTCCAGAAGTGGACGAACAACCAGAACTTTCTACCAGATGTAACAGCTGGTGAACAAAGAAGAAGATTTCTTGCTGCGGAGGCAGTGGGTATATCTTGTTTTTCCCCCAATGGGACTCAGGAACTCAGACGGTGAAGAAGAATATTTATAAAGCTGTCTGTCTGTCTGTAATAAAGCTGTCTGTCTGTCTGTAATAAAGCTGTCTGTCTGTAATAAAGCTGTCTGTCTGTCTGTCTGTAATAAAGCTGTCTGTCTGTCTGTAATAAAGCTGTCTGTCTGTCTGTAATAAAGCTGTCTGTCTGTCTGTAATAAAGCTGTCTGTCTGTAATAAAGCTGCCTGTCTGTCTGTAACAAAGCTGTCTGTCTGTCTGTCTGTAATAAAGCTGCCTGTCTGTCTATCTATAATAAAGCTGTCTGTCTGTTTGTATAGGACTACATCCCTGACCTCTGCGACAATATCTTGAAATGGAAGAATGGAGACTTCAGCTTGGAGTGTTTGGGTATCCTAGGCAACCTGACCATCGCTGACCTTGACTACGCACTGATACTGAAAGATTATGCAGATTTGATTCCATGGATCAAAGACAAGTTGCAGCCAGGTAGATTAGTATGTCAATTGATGTAAAATGTATGCCTAGTTTGACATAAATGTAGGTGGGGAGATATCTTGTATAGCCATCTGACACTGAATATATAGATAAAGAATAGACTGTGTTTAAGTCACCCTGAATTAAACATATAGAAAGGGAAGACATTGTTAAAAATTCATCTGGCTCAAACCATATAGATAGCAAAGACATTGTGGTTAAGTCATTAAGTTATCTGGCAATAAACACATAGAAAGGGAAGACAAGTTTAGGTTTGAAGACATTGTGGTTAAGTCATTATGTTATCTGGCAATAAACACATAGAAAGGGAAGACATTGTGGTTAAGTCATTAAGTCATCTGGCAATAAACACATAGAAAGGGAAGACATTGTGGTTAAATCATTAAGTCATCTGGCAATAAACACATAGAAAGGGAAGACATTGTGGGTAAGTCATTAAGTCATCTGGCAATAAACACATAACAAGGGAAGACATTGTGGGTAAGTCATTAAATCATCTGGCAGTAAGTACATAGAAGGGCAAGACATTGTGATTAAGTCATAAGGTCATCTGGCACTATGCACATAGAAAGGGAAGACATTGTGGTTAAGTCATTAAGTCATTTGGCAATATGCACATAGAAAAGAAAGACGTGGTGAAGTCATTAAGTCATCTGGCAGAATGTACATAGGAAGGAAAGACATTGTGGTTAAGTCATCTGGCAATATGCACATAGAAAGGGAAGATATTGTGGTTAAGGTATTAAGTCATCTGGCAATTAACACATTTGTTAAAAGGAATCACATTCTCTGAGACTCTAAAAGAAACCACATTCTCTGAGACTCTAAAAGGAACCACATTCTCTGAAATTCTAAAAGGAACCACATTCTGTGAGACTCTAAAAGGAACTACATTCTCTAAGATTCTAAAAAAAAACCACGTTCTCTGAGATTCTAAAAGGAACCACGTTCTCTGAGATTCTAAAAGGAACCACGCTCTCTGAGACTCTAAAAGGAACCATGGTCTCTGGGACTCTAAAAGAAACCACGTTCTCTCAGATTCTAAAAGGAACCATGCTCTCTGAGTCTCTAAAAGGAACCAAGTTCTCTGAGACTCTAAAAGGAACCATGTTCTCTGAGACTCTAAAAGGAAACATGTTTTCTTAGACTTTAAAATTAACCACATTCTCTGAGACTCTAAAAGGAACCATGTTCTCTTAAACTCTAAAACGAACCGTGTTCTCTGCGACTGTAAAGAAACCATGTTCTCTGAGACTCTACCCTTTAAAAAAAAGCAAGAGGAAAAGAGGAACGACGTAGAAATTTGGAGGCTTGGGCAGCTGTTGTAAATATCCAGGTAGTCGAACCTCTAGACCACTAAGTAAACAGGCAGGTATGAAGTGCACAGCTACACTGTGGCCTTTCAATCACTAACAAATACTTCATATTCATTTCTGTTATTAATTTTTTCCTACTGTCAAATGAAATTCCGCAAATTCAGTGACTGTTGACCATTTTGCACCAAAAGCTTCTTTTACTGTATGACTGAATTGTCAAACTCAAAAAGCCCCCAAAAGCATCTTTTCCTTAAACGGGCATCGCGGGAATGGTACCCTGGTAAAGGTGGAGGATTGCATTGTGAAACGATTGTCACTTAACTCTAAGCCACTGGGTGGTTAGAAAGGCTGAAGAAGAGTAGAATAAGACATCTTGCTCAATGAATTAGCATGAGATATCTTCTTCTTCTTCTTCTTCTTCTTCTTCTTCTTCTTCTTTTTCTTCTTCTTCACTTCCTCTTTTACCGCTGTGGGTGTCGAGGGAGATATAAGGTTCAGTTTCTGGCTCTTTTGGCCGCTTCGACCATAGGCACATCGTGCTGTTGTAGAGCTTCTCTGATGTTATCCTTCCATCTTGTTCTTGGTCTACCTCTTGCTCTACGACATTCTTCTCTTTCCATGTATGCTTTGTATGGTATGGTGTCACAAGGCATTCTCTCTAAGTGGGCAAACCATTTCACTTGCTGTCTTTGTATGTAATTTAGAATTGGTTCTGTGCCGACTTTTTCTCTTATGATCTCATTCCTGATCTTATCTATTATGGTCACTCCTACAGCCCTTCTCAGACATCTCATTTCCATGGTTACTAATTTTCTTTTATGGTTTGTTGTGAGTGACCATGTCTGGCACTGGTAGCACAGAGTTGGAATAAATATGCTTTGAATAAGATGTCTCTTTGTGCTGATTGGGATTGTCTTATGCTGTAAGAGGGGGGCTAGCTAAGAAGTTACGACAGGCCTAGCAAGCCGGCAATGGATTTATTATCGCTACAGAAAACACAATGAGATATCTAGAGACACAAAAATCAAATGTGTACATTATACAGCTTTGGGACTGTGTTTGAAACAATGGACCACATACTCAGTTGTCCCAATGTTGCTGTCTGCAGGTGCTGCAGAGGATGATGTGGTTCTGGAGGTGGTGATCCTGGTAGGAACCATCTGTAACGATGACGCCTGTGCCCGACTGTTGGCAGAAAACAACATTGTTCATCTTCTCATCGAACTTTTGAACGGTACATTTAACTGTGACATGTTTGTAGATACTAGTACCAGTCTCCAGCTTTTAGATAAAAACATAAATCTTCTACTTGTAGATAGCAACATCGACCTTCCACTTATTGATAAAAATCATCAATCTTCTACTTATAGATACAAATCATCAATCTTCTACTTATAAATAAAAATCATCAATCTTCAACTTATAGATACAAATCATCAATCTTCTACTTATAGATAAAAGTCATCAATCTTCTACTTATAGATACAAATCATCAATCTTCTACTTATAGATAAAAGTCATCAATCTTCTACTTATAGATACAAATCATCAATCTTCTACTTATAGATAAAAGTCATCAATCTTCTACTTATAAATAAAAATCATCAATCTTCTACTTATAGATACAAATCATCAATCTTCTACTTATAGATAAAAGTCATCAATCTTCTACTTATAGATACAAATCATCAATCTTCTACTTATAGATAAAAGTCATCAATCTTCTACTTATAGATACAAATCATCAATCTTCTACTTATAGATAAAAGTCATCAATCTTCTACTTATAGATACAAATCATCAATCTTCTACTTATAGATACTAAATCATCAATCTTCTACTTATAGATAAAAGTCATCAGTCTTCTACTTATAGATACAAATCATCAATCTTCTATTTATAGATAAAAGTCATCAATCTTCTACTTATAGATACAAATCATCAATCTTCTTCTTATAGATACAAATCATCAATCTTCTACTTATAGATACAAATCATCAATCTTCTACTTATAGATACAAATCATCAATCTTCTACTTATAGATACAAATCATCAATCTTCCTCTTATAAATACAAATCATCAATCTTCTACTTATAGATACAAATCATCAATCTTCCTCTTATAAATACAAATCATCAATCTTCTACTTATAGATACAAATCATCAATCTTCTACTTATAGATACTAAATCATCAATCTTCTACTTATAGATAAAAGTCATCAGTCTTCTACTTATAGATACAAATCATCAATCTTCTATTTATAGATAAATGTCATCAATCTTCTACTTATAGATACAAATCATCAATCTTCTTCTTATAGATACAAATCATCAATCTTCTACTTATAGATACAAATCATCAATCTTCCTCTTATAAATACAAATCATCAATCTTCCTCTTATAAATACAAATCATCAATCTTCCTCCTATAGATACAAATCATCAATCTTCCTCTTATAGATACAAATCATCAATCTTCCTCTTATAAATACAAATCATCAATCTTCTACTTATAGATACAAATCATCAATCTTCTACTTGACTTATGCACATGCTCAGTCAGAATCTGTTATTTCTGTGATCACACACAGATTGGAAGCCTGTATTCTTTTTTGGAACTGCAGTGTTTGGTTGATTTTCAGAACAGATATTAATATTCAGCAGTGTGTGTGTGTGCGCTTTGATTTACGAAACTTTTGAAATGCTGCAATCAGCTTTAGGAGAGTCATATCATTGTCAGATCAAAGACATTTGAATGATATCCCATGTCAGAAATGGCTGTCAGTCCTTCAAGGATGAATTATCTCAAAGCACACCATCCACCTCCCATGTGGAAAGTATAAATGCTAATCAATTTTTGATATCAGAGATCTTCCAGAGTATGTGGGATTTTCTCAAACTTGACAGAATTTCCTAAAAATGTGCAGATGAATTGGGGGGCCGCAAAATTGTGTGCCCTGCATCCTGACAGTGGAACAGAGGGACGATTGCTTGTCAGCTTGCAATGAATTTCTTGATCGAGCCAGATATGATCAAAATTTAATATCCCTTGTAAACACTGAATGGGTGGGTGACCTCTGGAAATAAAACAGATGACCTACCAGTGGAATATGCCATCGCTTCCTCATCCAAAAAAGGCACCGAGATCTATGGTAACAAATGACTGCTACAGTCCAAAGTAATTAAGGAAGTTGTTATTTCAAACTTAGTGTTTTCTGTCTAAATAAGATCATCTGATTCCCGTTTCAGCGAAACAAGAAGATGATGAAGTCGTCTGCCAGATTGTTTATGTGTTTTATCAGATGATCTTCCACGAGGTCACCAGAGAGATCATTATTAAAGAAACTCGTATCCTTAATTTGAATTATTCCTGTCAGTTTAATTGTTATTAGATAGTCAGTCTGATGTATTCTATGTTAAATCTGACATATTCTGTGTGATTATTTAAGTATTCATTCTGGCACACACATTCTGTGTGAATAATGAAGTGACATAATGCTGGCAGTTTGTTGTATTTCAGCATATATCCATTAACTCTTTCAGTCGCAGACTAACAGAACACAGGAAGCAATTGTTGGGGTTCACAGGAGAATGTCCATCACAGTTAAGTCCTGGCTTGAGGTGGAAGAAGTTCTATTGTTAATATCTTGAGTAGCCACACACAGTGGTGTAGTGGTTGAGCACTTGCCTGCTAAGAAAATATTGGGAGTTTTTATCATCAGTGGAAGCTGGATTTTTTTTTTTTTTTTTTAAACTACAGCTTTGGGGCTGGCCTAAAGAATGGTTCTAGACTAGCTGCCTATCCTTGATAGGGCCTCACAAACCAATCCCAGCTTTTGATTGGCTGTTGGTCATTGTACCAGGCAAGTTTACCTTCAATATTTTGTCATTGCCATAGAAATGGGCCTAAACAAATTTCTAGAAATTGTCTGCAAAGAAAAATTGGCAAGGAATGCAACTGGTCTGGAAATATAAGTTTGATTGATTCACTTTAACTCTTGGAGTCCCAAGAAACGCATCATACGTTCAAAGGTTCCTACCTAGAAGCCCAATGAACGCATGATGCGCTGATTTTATTACTTTATTTACAACCCCCTGGGCCTATGATGCTAAAGCCTCTGGGACTCAAAGAGCTAAGGCAATATATTTTTGATTGATTCACTTTAAGGTAATTATATTTTTCTTTGATCCACTTTATGGAAATATATTTTTGATTGATTCGTCGCCCAGCTTCTGAGTTGAATGCATGGCATGTCACTGATCTGCTGATTTCATTTAGGATGTTTTTTCAACTGTGACCAACGTGGTGGTGTGAATTGTAGATTTAGAAAATGGCACGATGCCTATCGTTGCAATTTTGGTGGTGCCCGAATGTGATTAAAATTGATCGCGTGGGCAACTGCAGATCTGTTAATGACTTCTACTACCATCAATGATGAACTGCATTTCTAATATCGGACTTTTTGTGTTAGCACTTCGGATGGCTACCATATGCTTTAATGCGAGTGTATGCTAGATATGCTGAAACAGCAGTCTGTCAATCTTTTTACAAGGGACTGTGATAAACATTCTGGGTGTTTTTCATTGGCATGGGAGCGGAGCAAAGATGGGGTGACCCTTTTGCTATGAAGCTGAAACTAGGACTACCAGACTACCATTTTGGAAATTTATTTTTGATTGATCCACTTTATGGAAATATATTTTTGATTGATTGACTTTATGGAAATTTATTTTTGATTGATCCACTTTATGGAAATATATTTTTGATTGATTCACTTTATGGAAAAAATTTTTTGATTGATCCACTTTATGGGAATATATTTTTGATTGATTCACTTTATGGAAATTTATTTTTGATTGATCAACTTTATGGAAATATATTTTTGATTGATTCACTTTATGGAAATTTATTTTTGATTGATTCACTTTATGGAAATATTTTTTTGATTGATCCACTTTATGGAAATATATTTTTGATTGATTCACTTTTTGGAAATTTATTTTTGATTGATTCACTTTATGGAAATATATTTTTGATTGATTCACTTTATGGAAATTTATTTTTGATTGATTTCACTTTATGGAAATATATTTTTGATTGATTCACTTTATTGAAATTTGTTTTTGATCGATTCACTTTATGGAAATATATTTTTGATTGATTCACTTTATGGAAATATATTTTTGATTGATTCACTTTATGGAAATATATTTTTGATTGATTCACTTTATGGAAATTTATTTTTGATGGATTCACTTTATGGAAATATATTTTTGATTGATCCAGTTTATGTAAATATAGGGTACTTAATTTATAACTTACCCCTGACGTCAGGACTACGTCACGGGAGACATTCCCAATAAATTCTAGGGTGTTCAGGCTGTAGTTTCTCGCGATTTATCTACAGCCAAGTTTAGGGTTAGGGTTAGGGTCAGCATTAGAAGACACTAGATGAACACTCAAAAAAAAAAACACCACACAACAGCACACTTGCACCCCTTGAAATAATGCACTGTCAGGTCAGCTGTGGATTTCCCACGGGGATTTCGTGTTTGGGGTACGTTATAAATTAAGAACCCAATATAGTATTGTTCGATCCACCATGTGAAAAAATTCTTAACCTGCCACAGAAGCCCCGGCCTACCTGATTGACCTGATGCACGACAAGAACGCAGAAATCCGTAGTGTCTGTGACAACACCTTGGACATCATTGCTGTAGGTTTCTCTTGCTTGTGACATTTGTTGCTGTGGCTTGGGACATTTGTTGCTGTTGCTTGTGACATGTGTTGCTGTTGCTTGGGACCTGTGTCCCTGTTGGCAGAATCTGATGAACGTGCCACTGTTCCTGCCCCTTACAACACACCATTTGCGATTAACAATCTTTTTATGTGTATCAACAGTTAATAAACAAGCCCAAAAATTTGTGAGTCCTCGGAGATGTTTTACAGAATCATCATTAGAATTCCTTGGACAGCCAAAAAGAGCAACCCAGATGTTTTGAAAGCGGCGAGAGCTGGAAGACAACTCAGCATAAACAGAAAACGATGGTCATCATGTTTTGGTCATGTTATGAGAAGAAGGAAATTGGAACATCTTGTGACCACTGGAAAGATCTGTGGAAAGAGAGACAGAGGAAGACAGCCTGAGAAAATTCTTGACAGTCTTTTGTCATGGCATGGAGGGGTGTACACATACAAATTGATTAGGAAGTTGCGAATCACAGATTGTAGAGAGGAATGATTGCCCACCCCAATCGGCAAGGTACTTGATGATGGTAAATCAGTTTGATATTTTTTTTTCAAGATAACCTTGATTCCCAGGTTGACTCCGCCTATAATGGGTACAAGGTAAGGCCTTGGGAAGTAAAGGTGGTTGGTGTAATGTTAAGCCCATCGTACATCGAACGCTGGCTGATCTATTAGATCATTTTCCCTATACGCAGCAGTCCTGTACTCATCATCATAATGTAGCAGGTTCTTTACAGAACATGACTGTCGTCACAGCCCGCCTGAAAGAAACCTGGTCCCTCGCCAGCTATCCCGCCTTGTGCACTTTCCTACCCATGATGCCTCTTATATCATGTTCCACCTTCTTGCTGGTCGGCCCCTGCTGTTCATTCCTGCTACTGTGTCCTCTGTTGCTGCTATTTCTAGTAGGGTTGAAATATTCCGAGACGATGCTGTTTATGAGCCAATTTTCCTCGATCTTCAGATCTTCTAGGATATCAGTATTTACTTTCTTCTTGCTCTCTGGTATTCTGATCATGGTTTTCTAGTATTTCAGCTCAAAAGCACCTGTTTTCTCCCTGAAATTGCAAGATAGTCTACGACACACATCCATATGTTTCAAAAGAAAAGATACTGTTTTCTGAGAAAAAGTTGTCACTTTCGGCCAGCATCCCATAAGGGGAGCTTTAGGTTATATTTGTGACTAGATTATGTGCGCTATATAAAATGGCTGAGCGTTGTTTATGCATGCCACTAAGAGCCCTGAAAAGATCTCCTGTAGTGTTGATGCAAAGGAGAAAGACTCAAATACTGTTCCTACCGGCGACAAAGCGAGCCAATGGGCAACCCGGTCAGCAGGGCAACAGGAAAGATGCATGCAGTTATACTTTTAACTTTTCCTAAACAACGAAACAGAATAAAAACAATCTCTCTGTCTAGAAATCCACATGTTGAAGCTAAACAGATACCAAAATAAAATCAGGAAGAGGTTTTAAGAAATGAAACACTGTTTATGTTAGATTAAAGAATGCTGAACATTGTTTCCCATTATTGACTGAATTTGGGGGTGTAAGGTAAGTGGCAAAAGAAAGAAATTATTCTTCTTGTACTTACTGTCATCATCATCACTGTTTCCCAACAGGAATTTGATGAGGAGTGGGCCAAGAAGATACAGCTGGAAAAGTTCCGCTGGCACAACTCGCAGTGGCTGGAGATGGTGGAGTCGCGGCAAATGGACGAGTTCGCAGACTCAGGCTATTTGTATCCTGACGAGCATGACCTTGACCCTTATCTGCAGGATGCTGATATCCTGGACAGGCCCGATCTTTTCTACGGTAATTCTCATCTCAGTCTTTCTGTTTTTCTTTTCTTGCCTCTGATCTTTTTGTCCAAAGTAATTGCATAACCAACACTTTCGGTTGTGTCATTTCCCCATTAATGTCACTTTTCTGACTTGTCTGCAGTGACCTGGTTATGAAATGCATAGTTAATGTCATTGGCTGTTTTTGCACCCATGCAGACATATTAAAACACTAACTTAAACCAGCATTTAGAGGGGTTTTGCTTTGAGCCAAATAGCTTTGTCAAAGCCACATTGACACCAGATTTTTCCGTTGTTTTTTTTTTGGCTGAGGGGACTTATTCCATTTAATTTTTTACTCTGTTCATGTATATTTATTACTGCCTCTGATATTTTTACATATTTAGGGAAAACAGTGCCTGCAGATTCCTGTATTATCTATCTATTTATGGATCTGCAGTATCCTTTATTATTTATCTATCAATGGATCTGCAGTATCCTATATTATTTATATGTTAATGAATTGACAATATCCTGTATGATTTATCCATTAATGGATCCACGGTATCTTGTTTTTTTATTATCTATTAATAGATTTCCAGTATCCTGTATTATTCATCTATTAATGGATCTGCAGTATTCAATAAATATATTTGATGTGCTGTTTGCAGAGGGCTATGACAGCAGCATCATGATGGACGGACACTTGACGCCCGAGTACATCGATGATGCAGGCATCAACAGTGATTTCTACTCCCATCAGTTTAAGTAAGAGTTGTTTTATTGGCTTCATATGTGTTGTGCTCTACTGGCAAACTGAGTGGTAGTCAGTCTTCCATTGTCAGGCATTAATTATCTCACAGAGCAGGACAAAACAAGGGAAAAAAAGAGCCATTAGAGGACACAACAGACAGCGGAAATAAAGAAAACTGTGGGATTTGTGGTTGAGCAGCAGGAGCTCCCCTCCTGGCCCAAAGGTCAAGGGTTTAAAGTTGAATCAAGACAGATTTCCCCCCCTCAAAATTGACCTTGGCTCCCAGGTCAATTGAACCCAAAATGGGTACCAGATGATGTTCTGGAAAGTAAAGGCGGCCAGCACAGTGTTGACCATGTCACCCATGGAGTGGCCGGCACAGTGTTGATCACGTCACCCATGGAGTAGCCGGCACAGTGTTGACCACGTCACCCATGGAGTGGCCGGCACAGTGTTGACCATGTCACCCATGGAGTGCCGTTTGGTCTATAAAAATAGAAGACTTGGTAATCATGGTAATCTTAGTTTTGGCTTCATAGCAAATGGGTCCCCGCATAGTTGCTCTGCTCCTGTGCCAATGAAAAAACACACAGAATGTTTATCAGTCCCTTGTGGAATGATTGAGAGACTGCTGTCTCAGCATATGCACTAGTAAACACGCATTAAAAGCATACTGTAGCCATCAGAAGTGCTAACACAAACAGTCCAACATTAGAAATGCAGTTCATCATCTACAGAGCAGAATTTACCAACAGATCAGCAGTTGCACACGCGATCAATTTTAATCACATAAGGGCACCACCAATATTGCAACAACAGGCCAGGCACCATTTTCTGAATCTACAATTCACACCACCATGTTGGTCACAGTGGAAAATCATTCCAAATGAAATTCCCAGCTCACAGTGTCTCACCATGCCCTTAACTCTGTAGCTGGGTGACGAAACTATACCCTTTCAGTCTACAAATGGAGCGAAAATGCAGAAAGGGTCCTTGACTAAATAATCTACCTGCTACAGGTATATTTTCAGTTGTAATGTTGTTTCAGTTTGAACCTATGCCAGTGACAGCTGGAGAACCACTAAAGACATGCAATGAAAGTTATGAATTCATTTGAAAACAAATGCGTGAGGAAAGAAAATGTTGAACACAAATGGGATGAATTCCAGAGGAGTGAAGAAATAGGAGAGATAGCTGGGCAACCACTGGTAACAACAGTGATATGACAGAGGAGTGAAGAAATAGGAGAGATAGCTGGGCAACCACTGGTAACAGCATTTATATGACAGAGAAGTGAAGAAATAGGAGAGATAGCTGGGCAACCACTGGTAACAGCATTTATATGACAGAGAAGTGAAGAAATAGGAGAGATAGCTGGGCAACCACTGGTAACAGCATTTATATGACAGAGAAGTGAAGAAATAGGAGAGATAGCTGGGCAACCACTGGTAACAGCATTTATATGACAGAGAAGTGAAGAAATAGGAGAGATAGCTGGGCAACCACTGGTAACAGCATTTATATGACAGAGAAGTGAAGAAATAGGAGAGATAGCTGGGCAACCACTGGTAACAGCATTTATATGACAGAGAAGTGAAGAAATAGGAGAGATAGCTGGGCAACCACTGGTAACAACAGTGATATGACAGAGAAGATGGTGCCATACCGGACACATCCTGATACGAAACCAGCAGAGAAGTGAGGGGACGGACGGGGGGAGACACACACACACACACCTAAAACAAGAGAGGCTAAAGATGCTGGACTGGATTCTATCCATGATACCAAAAAGGTGAAACATGATAGAACGGAATGATGGAATAGACTGTGAGCCCTAGGTGACATAATGCACAACAGGACAATAATGAGGATACAGGTAGGAGTCAGGGTGGACATCCCCAGACAAGGTGTCATCACCTGCCCCATTCTTTTCTTTGATGATCTGTTTATAGCCCCATTCTCTTCAGCCTATGATGATCTGTTTATAGCCCCATTCTTTTCTTTGATGATCTGTTTATAGCCCCATTCTTTTCTTTGATGATCTGTTTATAGCCCCATTCTTTTCTTTGATGATCTGTTTATAGCCCCATTCTTTTCTTTGATGATCTGTTTATAGCCCCATTCTTTTCTTTGATGATCTGTTTAGAGCCCCATTCTTTTCTTTGATGATCTGTTTATAGCCCCATTCTCTTCAGCCTATGATGATCTGTTTATAGCCCCATTCTTTTCTTTGATGATCTGTTTATAGCCCCATTCTTTTCTTTGATGATCTGTTTATAGCCCCATTCTTTTCTTTGATGATCTGTTTATAGCCCCATTCTTTTCTTTGATGATCTGTTTATAGCCCCATTCTCTTCAGCCCATGATGATCTGTTTATAGCCCCATTCTCTTCAGCCCATGATGATCTGTTTATAGCCCCATTCTCTTCAGCCCATGATGATCTGTTTATAGCCCCATTCTCTTCAGCCTATGATGATCTGTTTATAGCCCCATTCTCTTCAGCCCATGATGATCTGTTTATAGCCCCATTCTCTTCAGCCTATGATGATCTGTTTATATAGCCCCATTCTCTTCAGCCCATGATGATCTGTTTATAGCCCCATTCTCTTCAGCCTATGATGATCTGTTTATAGCCCCCATTCTCTTCAGCCTATGATGATCTGTTTATAGCCCCATTCTCTTCAGCCTATGATGATCTGTTTATAGCCCCATTCTCTTCAGCCTATGATGATCTGTTTATAGCCCCATTCTCTTCAGCCCATGATGATCTGTTTAATGTGTATGCTATTGGTTTTGCTGAGACAGCAGTCTGTTTCAGCTTTTTTCACATTCTGGATTTGTGAAAATAAGCCATAGTTTCTACCCAGTTATTTACTGTGAAAATAAGCCATAGTTTCTACCCAGTTATTTACTGTGAAAAAAAGCCATAGTTTCTACCCAGTTATTTAGTGTGAAAATAAGCCATAGTTTCTACCCAGTTATTTACTTTAGAACAAGCTATTGATTAATTCAGGAGCGACTGGCTGAACGCTGGGCTCTCATGCGGGAGACCTGTCTTCAAATCCTCTGTAAGGCTGGGCTCTCATGCGGGAGACCCGGGTTCAAATCCTCTGTAAGGCTGGGCTCTCATGCGGGAGACCCCCGGGTTCAAATCCTCTGTAAGGCTGGGCTCTCATGCGGGAGACCCGGGTTCAAATCCCCGGTAAGGCTGGGCTCTCATGCGGGAGACCCGGGTTCAAATCCTCTGTAAGGCTGGGCTCTCATGCGGGAGACCCAGATTCAAATCCTCTGTAAAGCCGGGGAGTTTTTCTCTCAGGGGCAAAAAAAAACCCTCACCTGCACAGTGTGGCGACAGCACCGGCCATGCGACCGTAAATCCTCATGCTCAGAGACAAGTGGTATATAAAGGCAGTAACTGCCCCCCCCCCCCCCCCCCCAAAATGGTATTGATTAATATGATAATATGAAGTAGATCTAGAAATATTCTCATACATTTGTCATCATCAGCAGCTATGATTCAGAGGAACCCTATGCCAGACCCGAAGCTCACCTTGGATTTGTGCAGGACGGCCGTGACCCCTACAGGTCAGACTACGGCCCGTACCTTAACGGAGACCGAGATGAGAACCCGTACTTAAGAGAGATGAGTTATCGCTAATGCCACGCTGCCAGTACAAAAAACAAAAAGAACACTTGATTTGCTGTTTGTTTAGAACAAACATATGCTGTGATTGTGGTTTTTTTATGTGTTGTAATGAATCTCTAATATATTCCCTTTGTTTTATTCCCCTCTTTCCTGAGATGCTTTCCAACATCAGGGTAGGTAGAGATTTCAACTAAGGCTTTTGTTTTGTGTTTGCTGCCATTTTTCTAATTTATCACATATGGTTCTGGATTTGGAACACAAGAAATTTAGGTCCTTAACCATTTTGGCCTGTGAATGCTAAAAATAAATGGGCTGTGAACCTCCAGGAATTCCTGGAAAACATCCTTTAAAAATTTTTTTTTTTCTAAATTACACAGGTAACTAATAAAGTTTGTAAATATTATATATTTTGGCCCCCCCCCCCCCCCCCCTCCCCAAAAAAGTAGAAATGTTTAAAGGGGTAATCAATAAACATGAGTGAAACATTAAATGGAATCGATTCTCCAGTTGTTTTTTCTTTATGTGTTGGGTGACTCATGCTGTGCCCCTTAACCTGTGTCACTGAGGCTTATGGGCAAATCTGTCATCAACTTGGCTTTAAACAAAAAAGACACTGGTGTCAAAAGAAAACACCCTAAATGCAATTTTTAATTACTATATTCAAATCCTGGCCTATTAAACAATGCGCTGGCACACATAAAATTTAATTGAACTTAAGAAATGCACCTGCATATATTGGTTGATTCGAGGGACATGAAATTTCACGGCTGCAGATATTGACTGATTCCAGGGACATGAAAAATAGCACAGCTGATTGTTTGCTCCATCCTACAGAGCATACCTTCAGAATCTCTGGCTAAAAGTCAATGATACTGTTTAGGGGCAGTAACATATCTGGCATGTAATGCTATAGTCATAGTTTTACAGACCAGTCGGTACTTGCTAAATGTTGTAGTCAAAAGCATAATGACTGCCTTTGCTTCCAGGACATTTACCTGGTACCCAGAGTTCATCTGGGAGCCTAAGTGTTTTTGACATACGTCTGCGTGGTTTCGATTCAAACCACCAGCTGCCAAGTATCTTCTAGTTTCTCCTGTTCAATTAACATTTTGGTCACGTAGTCACGCGAGATTTGTTGGCCTTTCATTCATGTTTTGTGACCTTTCCCAACTGCTGCACTATCTTCTAGGGGTTTTAATTTATGTGTTTCGCTCCCATGTGTCACCATCACTACACACCAGGACTCCAGTAGATGTCTATGCTGCCCATTCTGCCTCTTGTTTCTCTGCTTCGCCACATGTGTCATGTATACATTTGTGGCAACTAGGCTGCATAGATCCGTGGGACGTAGGCTGCGCTCTCTCATTGGACGTGGGGGGGGGGGGGGGGGGGGGGAAATTAGGGCCAGTTCTAATTGTTTTTGAGTTGTTAAAACCGCTTGCAACTTGGAAAACAGGACGCCAAGATCATTGATGATAACACAGCATGACACCCCTAGAAGATGGTGCAGCTGGGAAAGGTCATTGCTCATAAATGGAATGTCAACAAATCTCCTGCGACGACGTAAAGGGGTTGTTTGCGGACTAAAATGTCGTACCATTTCTCCTGTTGCTGTTTGGTGGTTCATACGTGTGAGCAGTGAATGGAAATATTAGCTAAACATCTCACAGTCCAGTTTTCTATGCTGAGCACGATATGACTAGAAACATTTATTTCACTTTCTTTTTTAAAAATCCCTATTCTCCTAAAATTCCAGTCATAATAAATTGTGTTCAAATGTATATTTCAAAATTTCAGTCTACAAAGAGGAATAACACACTACACCCCCTCCCTCCCCCCACCCTTTTCACTGTGTTTAAAATAAATGTATTTGGCTTTGAACTCTATCATTAAGGCTAACAGGAAAATTTGACCTCAGAATGACCTGCAAAAGCTAGTTGGCTCATAAGAAATCTCTCTAGATGCTATTTTTAATATTAGTGTCTGGATATCTGGGCCTCAAAAAAAAAAAATTTACTATGCAGGCGTAAAAAAAAGAACCAGTGGCCTTTAACTAGGCTTTTTGAGAACAGGTCACTGCAGAAATGCCAGTCAGAAACAGTTTCGGGGAATGTGTCACAACCAGAAGTTACCAGATATAGTCTTGGGGCTGCACAACTTTTCCTGTTCTGCATAGTCAGGATGGAGAGAACGACAACTGGATATCCCACGTCTTATTAATGCTATGACATTACAGTGTGTGGATGTCTCCAGTGTTTACCTGGCAACTTCTGATAGCATTACAGTGTGTGGATGTCTCCAGTGTTTACCTGGCAACTTCTGATAGCATTACAGTGTGTGGATGTCTCCAGTGTTTACCTGGCAACTTCTGATAGCATTACAGTGTGTGGATGTCTCCAGTGTTTACCTGGCAACTTCTGATAGCATTACAGTGTGTGGATGTCTCCAGTGTTTACCTGCAACTTCTGATAGCATTACAGTGTGTGGATGTCTCCAGTGTTTACCTGGCTACTTCTGATAGCATTACAGTGTGTGGATGTCTCCAGTGTTTACCTGGCTACTTCTGATAGCATTACAGTGTGTGGATGTCTCCAGTGTTTACCTGGCTACTTCTGATAGCAGTGTGTGGATGTCTCCAGTGTTTACCTGGCTACTTCTGATAGCATTACAGTGTGTGGATGTCTCCAGTGTTTACCTGGCTACTTCTGATAGCATTACAGTGTGTGGATGTCTCCAGTGTTTACCTGGCTACTTCTGATAGCATTACTTTTATAGCAGTATCAAATATCTTATTTATTTTACCAATTGTGTGTGTGTGTTTTGTGCAAGTGAAATTTTTGTTTAAATTTAATTTCTGAAAATATTTGATGAATGTGTAACTGACTGAGAGAAATACAAGAAATAGACAACATGAAAGTCAGAGTTGGTTGTGTCAAGGTTTTACAAATCATTTTCACAATCTCTTTCAAAATCCAGAATTTAAAAAAAAGGTGGCTAACTCTAGTGGAAGATGATAGAAGGGATATTTCTCTTGGTAATTTTACTGTTTAGCCATAAGAAATCCAGAAACAGGCTATCACTGCAAATGGTATAGAACTAGAAGATACCAGTATGCTTGAACTGCTGCATAACCTACCTATTACCCCTTCATCTTCAAAACGCTCATTCAAAATCTAAAATCATGAAACAAAGATGGCTAACTCTAATTGGAAGTTGATAGAAGGGACATTACTCTCACTAATGCCATTGTTACAGTTAACCTTCAGAAATCAAGACAGACCATCACTGCAGATATGAAGATAAAATTATAATTGTGCTGCTGCATAACGTGCCCACCAATCTCCGTTATTTTTGTTGCCTTGTCTGTCCCCAACTCTACACTGAGTCATGAACTTGTTTCACTGCATGGCGTAGAGAAGCGTTGTTACCTTCCTTTTAATCACTCTTACCAAACAGGTCATCATCTTCTCTGACCTTTCTGCAACCCCAGACCCAAGGATAAGTAAGTGGGTTGCACTGGGTGATACTTCTGGGTGATGATACAGTTAGGTCTATCTTTTGGGAAGCAGTGGATCTGTTCTTTCCCCCCGAAAATGGGGCCTTGGAACCCATAGGAGAAATAAGAGAGATGCTCTCAATGTGGGTTATAGGTCCCATTTTAGAGGAGCAGGGGAAACAGACCTACTACCTTTCTCCGTAAGCATGTGGTTTGAATCAGATATCCCAGCCTAGCTGTAAACCACAGCACAATGTGGCAATACTATTTAGGGGCGTATGCAGAAGATGGATGTTTCTTTGTTGTCTTTTAAGAGAAAATAAAACTCAGTCATCTCGACTCATCGAAGACATTCATTTATTTTAGAATCAGATTTATTGGTGTCCAGAAAGGCTACGCAAATTATAAATGCCTGAAAAAGTTGGATGTGTCGGCTGAGAGGCGCAAATACTGCAGCTGTGCTGCGAATGGACAAAACACAGTTTCTCCTCTGATGAACACAAGCTCTCTCTTTGTGTTTCACAGCTAGTAATAATCTATTCAATTTTCTATCTGACTGTCACATCTAACAAAGGTCTTTTAAAGTTCTACATATATTTATAACATCTACCACTGATTCATTTAAAAAATGGGGGCTATGTGGTCTCGAGGCATAGCGTCCGCCTCGAGTGCTGGAGGTCCTGGGTTCGAGCCCCGGTGAAGGCTGGGATTTCCCCTGTGGACTTCTGGTAATTTCCCCTGGTCTCTGGGTAGTCAGATTGGATGCCCATGTGTGAATTGTTGCGCATATAAAAAAAAAAATCCCTTGGCAGTTGGAAATTGAACAAGAGTAGCCTAACGTACTGCTCGGGCAAAATCTTGAGTTAAAAATCTACCCAAAGTATTTCAGGATCCTCGCTGGTGCTACAGAGTTTGTGCAGTGGGCTGAGACACTTCAGACTGGCTTGAGTCAGAAGTAGAACAGAGCACTTAAGGGTTACTACCCTTGTGCCATGATATTGATCTGCCATCTAAACCTAAATAAAGATCTAACTACATTTATCTAAAGTCACAAAGATTTATTAAAAGATCTAACTACATTTATCTAAACTCACAAAGACTTATTCAAAGATCTATCCTCATTTATCACAGGTTTATTAATGACCCAAATGCATGTATTTCCTCTGATACAAGTTTGTTTCATGTTATGTCCACTTTTATCACATATCACCTGAAGTATTACCCACAAATCAAATAAAATACATGGTTATATGGGAATCTGCCCATATCTATATCACATCACATTTAGGGATCTCTCACCCCGTATCTAGCAGTCAACCCTATCATATTGAGGGAACTGTCACACCATATCTAGGAATCTGTTGCATCATATTTAGGGATCTGTCACACTATACTGGGGAATCTGCCACATCATATTTAGGGATCTGTCACAGTATATCTAGGAATCTGCCATGTCATATTTAGGGATCTGTCACAGTATATCTAGGAATCTGTCATCATATTTAGAGATCTTTCATACCATATCTAGGAATCTGTCATCATATGTAGGGATCTGTCACAACATGTCTAGAAATCTACCATCTCCTATTTAGGGATCTGCCACACAATATCTAGAAATCAGTTAAGCAGTATCTGAGAATCAGCCACATCAATCCAGCAAGGAGTCAGTCTCGCAGATAGTGGAGCAGTATCTGAGAATCGGCTAAGGTGTCACACGAGACATTTAGGCTGTGTCAACTAGCAACTTCCTCGCCCCAGTCTATATCCTCCTCACCCCAGCCGGCCACATCCTGCAACGAGCAGAGGAAGAACAACAACATGAGACCAATGATGGCAGCAGATGCACAAGTTATACAGAAAACATCCAGTATAAAACAAATACAAGACATCTGAGTAACTATCAACACAGAACAAGCATGATTAGCCATTTGAGCCTGGTAGGGCTATTGAGGTGGATATCGCAGCACCCATGGATCTGTGAGGAGTTCTGTGATGATGGTCCTCGCTAATCATCAAGTACACAATTATTTGAACCACAAAATAGCAGAGACAATGATGATGAAGTATAGACAAGAGTCAACGAGAACAGTAGAAAAAAGGACCAATTAGAGGTATAACAAGTACAAATAACAAGTCCATATAGGTCACCTGATTATAATAAAATAACTGCATTTTTTTTCAACAGTATAGCTGATGATGTTTAAGAATGACAAAACATCATCAGCCATACTGTTAAAAAAATGCACAGTTATTTGGTAATACGTTTTTATTAGTTGATGAAAACCATGTACACCTTGAAACCATCGATGACCCGGATGCAAAAGAATGTCAAGTGATTGCTTAAATCCTAGGGTATTCTTCTGTGCAATTTAAACAAATTTTACTCAGAACATTATAGAGAGTTTGAATGTCAAAATTATGACAAAATGATTTTTCTTTCAGTAGCTAATGATGACAACCTTAGACAAGTTATGCATGTCTACTTGTGTATCCGTTGATTCTTTTCCGTGACTTATCTCGTCTAGGTCACATACTTGCTTGATTAGATTTTCTGCCTCTGTCATCCGAGATGAGCCTCTTTCCCTTTTATATCTTTGATAGCAATGGGTGGTTGATATCTGCTGATATCCTCATGTACGTGTTTGCCTGTGCCACTTTATGTCTAGTGGCCATCGTCTGTAAACCCAAGACATGGCATGGCACGAGGTGTCTTTTGTGCAGCCGCCACATTTTGTACCCAGTCCAGTCTTTCTAGCTGGGTTCTGACGACAGTGAGGAGGCAAAGACCATAGTCTGTAACACTTAATGCAAGTCCCTGATAAAGCAGGAACAGTAGTCGTCATTCATTGTCGGCCTGTGCCATTGCCTTTAGCACCGTCATACCTTTCCTGGCTCTAACTATGACACTATCTACGCGATTCTTGCATGACAAGCATCTGGCGAAAGTTACGCTAAGGTATCTCATTGTGTTTGTTCTATCAATCTCTCTACCGCACATGCTCACGAGTGGCATAGGTGTACTGACAATGTGGGTATTCAAGTAGAACCATGTTAAGGAAGCCTTTGCTGGGTTTACCTGTGAGCTTGATTCCTGGCACCACTCACTGAGTCCATCTAATTCATGCTGTAGCGTTATTGTAATTTCATTCGTCTTGTTTCCTCGTCGGTACACAAGGATATCGTCTGTGAACAACATTGTCCTGTCCAGACCTACGATCTGTGCACTGGTGACTAATAATGTGTACACATTAAAGAGAATAGGAGACAACAGTAATCCCTGGGACAAGCCCATTAAGACGCATTGAGGTTTTGATGCCCAAGAACGATATCTCACCGACACTTTTCTTTCAAAGAGTGCTGCAGCGATCCAGTTTTACCCATTTCGTCTCTATGTGCATATCCATCATCAGTGTGATGATGAAACACTGTTGTACGTGTTTTCTAAGTCAGTGACGGCTGCGGCAGTTTCCATTCCTGCTTGGAAGTCTACATAGATGTCGTAAGCAAATACTGCCGCATTGCACCAGGTATCTCTGCACCTAGTGTAGGTGCCAAAAGACCACATGACTCTAGTTTTTGGGTCAACTTTCTGGCCACAATTTTCTCCATGAGTTTTCCTACAGTGTTCTGAAGTGCAACGATTCTATAGTCATTTACTATTTTGTGATCTTTCCCAGGCCTAGGAAAGGGTCTGAGGTAGCTGTGAAGCCAGTCATCGGGGACAATGCCGCTTGTAATGCTCTTGTTAAATGCCCTAGATAGTTTCGTTGTGTCTTTTTCCTTGATGCATTTGAAGTCACTGTATCTGATGTCATCATGCCCTGGGACTGTGCTGGGACAGGTCTTCAGTATAGCTCTGATGTTTGCAACAGAGATGTACATGTTGTCGTCTTCTCCATCCATTTCAGTGACTCCCTCATTCCATCTTCTTCTAGGGTCTTCCTCTAGTTACTTTAATTCTGTACGTTTTTCCATGCCAGTATTATTGAATTGATCCTGATGAGGTTAACAAACAGTTTAAATAAACAAACAGAAGAAAGAACACAAAAAAGGAAATATTTACCTCATCAACGACAGCGGATGCAGCAAACAGTTTAGAATTGACTGTAACCTGGCCGCTGTCTGTGTCGGGAAGCAAAGAAGGTAAAGATAAGACAGGGATTTTGTCCCCGGCACGGTCGGCAGTTGCAGATTCCAAAAGTGAAATTAGGTCGCTGGATTTTTTCTCTATTATACTTGGAGCCATGTCTGCAAAGAAATCTAGTTCTGGTGGAGTGGAAGCTTTAACAATGTTGATGCTTTTTATATCGAACCCCGCACCCAAGTCATCAGACAGCCGTAGTTTGCTGGCATTTGTGGGCTGCTGTTTTCCTGCAGATACTCCAAGCTTTTGACCATCCCTGGATTTGGATGAAGAAGCAGATGTGAGATTGTTCATCGGGTCAGAACTCGATGCCAGATGATTCTCTGGATGGCTATTCCAGGAATTGTTTTCCCAAGTGTCTGAAACAATATTTTCCTCCTCAAGATGGTCACCTCCATTAATGTGTGCATTTTTCTTCAAATTGTTACTCTTTAAGGCTAATGAACCCCCTCTTGTGCCTCCAGTGGACTTTCCTATGCTTCTGTCAGCCTCAGGAATATCAGACCAGTCCACTCTGACAGGGGGAGGTGAAGGTGGTGTGTGACTTCTGTAAGGACTTGGTGACGTCTGCACTTTTGGCTCTGTGGTGGTTGTGCCAGACATAGTCTCCAGCTCAGATTCTATCTCATCACTAATCTTCTGATCAGCATCTTCCCAATCTGACCAATCAGGAACTGTATTATCTCCATCAAAGTCGTTTTCTTCCCTGACAAATTTCTGCAAGTCATCATCACCACTTTCATTGTCTTCAGGCTGAGATGTTGAGGTGACATTATCATCGTCCAAGCTGCCCGCTTGTTCAATGGTGAGGCTCACAGTCTGTCCATCCTTGTCACCATATGAAGAGTTTACTGTCAACAAAAACAGAACAAGAAATAAACTCACAAAGCACAATAAAACGCGTTCAGAAGTAAGTAAAACATTCAGTTTTGAAACGCTACATGCACCATCTGTATAGGAACTCTACTGGTTGTCGCAGATTGGGACGGAGCACTTAAAGGAACATCCTGATGGTTCTTTTCAGCTTTTTTTTTCACCCTATCTCGGCAGCTACAAGATCGGGTAGGGACTTCCCCAGTAGGTCCCATAGTGGGGGTGGGGGTTATAATTAGTGTTGGCCAGTGTTCATTGAACTCCAGCCCTACAACACTAAAACTGTTGTGCTCTAGGCGTGTCATGTGTTGGTTGTTCAACGTTTATTGCAACATCATTCATTCATTACTTTTATTCGTTTACAGCCGGTGTTCTTTCTTCATGACTTCACCTTCGCTGTGAAATTCATTCATCTTTCAGCATTCCTGCATCTAACCTTAACCCTGACTGAGGAGAATGCAGACATGGAGACTGTGGCTCCTATTCACAGCCCTTTCCCGCAGACACTCCAAGATGGTCCAAAAAAGATTTCTATTTCGCATTCCACTGTCAAAGGTCTGGCCAAGAGAAACACTGGTTCAAGCCAAACTTTATGGGTCGCTGAGTGAATTACAAAATACAGTGAAGTTTATACTAGGGATGATATTGCAGATTTAGATCAATTATTTCAGGCGAATGAAAGAAGAACAGGAAACTACCCCCCTCCCCAACCCATACACTACTAGGCCTTCTGGGGAATGCAGTAACGTTAACTCATGAACACTAGGTGCAAGAAACTACCTCACACAGATTCCCAAACACTAGATCAAAGAAGCTACCTCACACAGATTCCCAAACACTAGGTCAAATAAGCTTTCTCACACAGATTCCCAAACACTAGGTCAAGGACGCTATCTTACACAGATTCCCAAACACTAGGTCAAGGACGCTATCTCACACAGATTCCCAAACATTAGATCAAGGACGCTATCTCAAACAGATTCCCGAACACTAGGTGCAAGAAGCTACCTCACACAGATTCCCAAACACTAGGTCAAAGAAGCTTTCTCACACAGATTCCCAAACACTAGGTCAAAGAAGCTTTCTCACATAGATTCCCAAACACTAGGTCAAAGAAGCTTTCTCACACAGATTCCCAAACACTAGGTCAAAGAAGCTTTCTCACATAGATTCCCAAACACTAGGTCAAAGAAGCTTTCTCACACAGATTCCCAAACACTAGGTCAAAGAAGCTTTCTCACATAGATTCCCAAACACTAGGTCAAAGAAGCTTTCTCACACAGATTCCCAAACACTAGGTCAAAGAAGCTTTCTCACACAGATTCCCAAACACTAGGTCCAAAGAAGCTTTCTCACATAGATTCCCAAACACTAGGTCAAAGAAGCTTTCTCACACAGATTCCCAAACACTAGGTCAAAGAAGCTTTCTCACATAGATTCCCAAACACTAGGTCAAAGAAGCTTTCTCACACAGATTCCCAAACACTTGGTCAAAGAAGCTTTCTCACACAGATTCCCAAACACTAGGTCAAAGAAGCTTTCTCACATAGATTCCCAAACACTAGGTCAAGGACGCTATCTCACACAGATTCCAAACACTAGGTCAAGGACGCTATCTCACACAGATTCCCAAACACTAGGTCAAGGAAGCTATCTCACACAGATTCCCAAACACTAGGTCAAGGACGCTATCTCACGCATATTCCCAAACATTAGATCAAAGAAACTTTCTCACACACATTCCAAAACACTAGGTCAAAGAAGCTTTCTCACACAGATTCCCAAACACTAGGTCAAGGACCCTATCTCACACATATTCTTAAACACTAGGTCAAGGACGCTATCTCACACAGATTCTTAAACACTAGGTCAAGGACACTATCTCACATAGATTCCCAAACATTAGATCAAGGACGCTATCTCAAACAGATTCCCAAACACTAGGTCAAAGAAGCTACCTCACACAGATTCTTAAACACTAGGTCAAGGACACTATCTCACATAGATTCCCAAACATTAGATCAAGGACGCTATCTCACACAGATTCCTAAACACTAGGTCCAAGAAGCTACCTCACACAGAATCCAAAAAACTAGATCCAGAATTCTATCTCCCACAGATTCCTAAACACTAGGTCCAGGATGTTATCTCACACAGATTCCCAAACACTAGGTCCAGGAGGCTATCTAATACAGATTCCAAAACACTAGGTCCAAGAGGCTTTCTCATATAGATTCCTAAAGACTAGGTCCAAGAAGCTTTCTCATACAGATTCCCAAACATTAGGTCCAGGATGCTATCTCACACAGATTCCCAAAGACTAGGTCCAGGAGGCTACCTAACACAGATTCCCAAACACTAGGTCCAGGACACTTTATTTCACAGACTTGCTATGTCCCGCTAGAAACCTCACAAATACTAGAGTGCCATAACTGCAGAATTCATGTGAAGATTATATTATAACATTGCTAATACGACATACAGACACAAATGTTACTGATGTGACACACATACCTTGTTTCTTATCTACATGTTTCTCTTTCATCAACTGTTTTCTGGCCTCTCTTTTTAATTTTGCTTCTTCTTTTCTTCGCTCCCTGTCTCTGGCAATCCTCTCCTTGGTGGCCCCACAGCTATCATCCACAGAGGAGTTGTTGCTTCAGGAAAAACAAACCCAGAATAATTAGAAACTAAGTCATGATTCAACACTGCAGACATAGTGGCTACACATAAAACCAGTGGCCACACACAAAAACAGTGGCTACACACAAAAACAGTGGCCACACACAAAAACTGTGGCCACACACAAAAACAGTGGCTACACATAAAAACAGTGGCTACACACAAAAACAGTGGCCACACACAAAAACTGTCGCTACACACAAAAACAGTGGCTACACATAAAAACAGTGGCTACACACAAAAACAGTGGCCACACACAAAAACTGTCGCTACACACAAAAACAGTGGCTACACATAAAAACAGTGGCTACACACAAAAACAGTGGCCACACACAAAAACTGTCGCTACACACAAAAACTGGCCACACACAAAAACAGTGGCCACACACAAAAACAGTGGCTACACACAAAAACTGTGGCCACACACAAAAACAGTGGCCACACACAAAAACAGTGGCCACACACACACTGGCTATACATACACAGTGGCTACACACACACAAAGTGGCTACATACAGTAGCTACATACACAGTGGCTATACACAAAGATGTTCACACACACTGGCTATACACACACACAAAGTGGCTACACACAGTGGTTACACACACACAAAGTGGCTACACAAGGACTCACATTCGCAACAGTGGCTACACACAGACTGACTGGGAGGTTGGCCACTATGGATTTTATGTGTATAATTGTCCACAGACTCCAGCCTAGTTACCAGAGTTAAATGCTGAATTAAGAATCGACATCACAGCACTCTGGACACTCCCATAAGTGCTCAGTCCCCATCTCCACGGGCAAGCCAAGAGTTTTAATTCCAATAATACCAGTAACCGTCTGAATCTCATCCTTCCCCTGAGTGTTGAGTGTCTGCCAGATCCCCTGGAAACTCCTCGCTTCGCCATTCTTCTCAGACTGTAATGATCTATCTGCGCCTCCTCACTGTTCAGCCGTTCCCAAAAGGCACTCACAATATCTAACTTGTCATACATGAACTCACCACCAGGTGATGCAAGGCCAGCCATAGATACCAGAGTTGAACACATAAAACAAAAAGACCTCCCAAAAAATATTTTGTAAGAACAAACAATAAAAGAGAAGTTAGTGAGAGGCAGAAATGATCGAGAAAACAAGTAAACAAATTAAAATAAAGACAATAAGAAGCAGAAATGAACAGTTGACTGTAAATTGTTAAAAATTTTAAGTAGAGGAAATCAGCAACACAGAATATAATGAACTGTACCTTGCAGCTGCCAGATTTTTCAGCAAAGGCTTATGGTCTGCCAGAATGGCTGTGATGTTTTGTGGGATGTTCATCTTGGACAGATTCAGTGCTGACATCTGCTAATGAAATGAGAAAACGGATTATTCGTGGTTAAAACATGAATATGGCTAGGTTTTTTCCTTATATACGTCAGAGTGGCGTAAGTGCCTGTTTACATCATAGCTGTGATATTTGCATCTTTTGCCCGACACATCTGACTTCATTAGGCATTTATTGATATAGCAATTGTGCGTTCACTGCGAGGAAGTTAAGAATCATACAAAAAAGCCAAATGGTCCTATGCACAGCAGACTGGTTCCACAAGGGTATCAAAATAAACCAAAAGGAAAGAATCCAGTATCTTTTGTAGGAGATCATTTGCTTGAATCCAGACATGTAACTGGAAGGACACCTCGAATGACAGTTCGTTATTAATTTGAAGTTACCCTGGTAAGTCACGTGATTATTATGAACTTCTAGCAATTACACGAACAATGATCGAGACAGACCATGTGATTCAGTGGAATTTATTCAGATTTTTGTGCCCCATTATACGCTGATGTAACTCTGTAGTATGTACTTGACAAAATACAGCAAAATATGCCTGGCAATAAATTGTGCCATGTCCTGTTTGTGTCCACATTATTTAAACACAAATAAAGATCAAACCTTGGGCATGCCGTGAAAGAAAAATGGTTTTCGGACGCCTCCAACAATGACATCTCCTCCCAGGACAGGAACTAGGTCAGCGAGAGCACGCAAACTGGCAGCAACAAGCCGGTCGTCTGTGTCCCTGACACCCAATAAAACCTGGCGATAAGTCAGCAGACATGATGTTACTGATTGCATACACGAGGAACCATCGGAAAATATATTTTGTTAATCAACAGGAATATTTCTTTTAATTTAATGCTTCACAATGAAGTGTATTTACATTTTAAAATGACATAAGTAATGGGCTAAAATAATATTTGTGTGTTTGAAACGACATCATGTGTGAAAATAGCACACATAATGCGTTAAAATGACATATAATAAGTTAAAATGATACAAATAATGTATTCCTATGACACGCTAATGTGTTAAAATGACACATATAATTATAATGTGTTAAGATGGCACATATAATCATAATGTGTTAAGATGACACATATAATCATAATGTGTTAAAATGACACATATAATTATAATGTGTTAAAATGACACATATAATCATAATGTGTTAAAATGACACATATAATTATAATGTGTTAAAATGACACATATAATCATAATGTGTTAAAATGACACATATAATCATAATGTGTTAAGATGGCACAAACCTGCAGAAAGATGTCATCCTCCAACTGCTGCTGCGTGAACATACTGACGTACTGGGAGAAATGTTCCAGCAACACTAGCCGTATGTGGCTGTCATATACGTGGAATATGTTGTATATGTGGTTGATGATATACTGACGAAACAAGTGTTCCGGGAGAAGTCCCGGCACACAGGGGGAAGACTTCTTACTGCTTGAGCCTGCCAGGTAAACACATTTGTATGTCAAATCAGACAACGACATTAGTTTGGTTTGGTTCATAATCACAATCATTGCAAACAGATACCTCTGTAAGTGTCCCAGTTTCTTCTTCTAGTAAAAATGTCAAGGAATCTCAACGCTGTGCAAAACCTGAACCAATCTTCCACATGAATGCTGAAAAAAAGGGCCATAAACCCATTGGAATTTCCAGAAACAATTCCTTAAGAATCAAAAATTTTTCAAAAATAAATAATGAATTGTTTGCACACCTATTTATCTACATTTTTCAAAACGTTTGTTCGAAATATATAAAGGGAGTAATCAGTAAACAAGACCAGAGTGTGGCATTAAAATGAATGCACTCACCTTCCCCGAGGCCTAAGCCAATTTTGTATTGCATTACTCATATCATGACCACTTATACCCTATCATCTTCTGCCCTCTAACCCTCAATGGAGCATAGGCCCTCAACCAACTCATGCCAAGTTGTTCTATTCTTTGCTATTGCATACAGCTCTCTCCATCTTAACTTCACTCTCGAGTTCCCTTCTCCATGTGTTTTTTGGTCTGCCTCTTTTCTATGCCCCTGTGGGTTCCAATGCAAAGACATTTTAGTTATTTTGGTCTCAGGTTTCCTCAACGCATCTCCTATCCAACACCAGTGTCTTTTGTTGACCTCTTGGTCTACTGGAGCTTGCTTAGCTCTCTCCCAAAGCTCTACATGAGTGATTCTATCATACCATTTAACTCCCTCTATTCTGCCCAGACACCACTGAATGAACGTTTGTTTAGTTGGTTTAGTTGTTCTCCATGTTTCAATAAAATTACTGGAGAATTTTAAGTCAACTTGGCTTTTTTTAAAAAGAAAAAGAAAACATAAAAGAAATATTTCCTGTTAAGAACTTTTCTCATTTTGAAATGTAATTCTTTCTGTATGAGATCCAGGGCCACATAATGTGGGGACAAATAGATCCCCTGCCATTCTAACAAGTACGTAGTACAAGTCGACTAAATTGTTTTTTTTTTTAAAGTCAGGGTGCATCTGCCTAGAGGTAACGAACCAACAGTCTGCATACAAAAAAGCCTGATCTGTAAACCAGATGCACAAGCAAAACTCAAGTTCAGGAAGAAGATCAAAGTCCAGAAGTGGGCGAACAACCAGAAGTTTCTGACAGAGTTTACAGCTGGTGAGCACAAAGAAGCAGAAGAAATGTAACCTAGGCCTCATGAGCCTTCTCTTGTTGTTGTTATCATAGTGTCAAGTATTCAGGTTTCATGGGAAGAAACCACATTACATGCCACACATTAAGACTCCAAAAGTTACACAGCCAACAGAAACATGGTGAGACATGTGCAAAGAGCAACCTGCAAGCACCTTTGGGCGTCAGGAGATGTGGAAGAACGTGTACAACTGCCCACTCGTCCAGCAGGACAAACCTGGCCAGCAGCGGAACAACTAGTCGTCTGGCCACTGCCATCTCTGGCAGACGACTTAGTTGTGACATCAGGTTTCTGAGAAAACAAATGGTGGTGGCATTAAGTTTGTGACATAATTAATGACACTGACATCAAATTTATGACAGTAAACAGACTGGCACATCACATATCTGACAAAATAAACTGTTGTGGCATCAGATTTATGACAGAGAATAAATGTTTCTGATATCAAATTTATGACAGTAAATAGACTGGCACATGACATTTCTGACAAAGTGAATTGTTGCAGCATCAGATTTATGTCATAAAATTAATTCAAAACAATGTTTTCCCATTATAAATTTAAATAACATGGACACAAAATCTGGCACAATTGACTGCTGTGGTATTTTGCTGTCTTTCAGCAGGTGCAATACTAGTTATATCAACATATAATACAGTATAAAAATGCATAAAACTAAGTGAGGGATATGTTTTTGACAAACCTTCTTCTTCATTTCCTCATTTACCACTTTGGATGTTAAGGGAGATAAGAGTTTCTGTTTCTTGCTCTTCCGGCTGCCTTGACCACAGACACATCATGCTGATGTAGAGCTTCTCTGACATTACCTTTAAATCTTGTTCTTGATCTACTTTGTGCTCTATGTCCTTTTTCTCTTTTGGTGTTTGTCTTGTATGGTATTGGCATTGCAAGGCATTCTCCTAAAGTGGGCAACACATCTGATCTGCTGTTTTTGTTTGTATTTTTTAAGGTTATAAAGAATTTGTTCTGTGCTGACTGTTTCTCTTAGGACCTCGTTGTCTTCTAGCCACTCATGGAGCCCTTCAAAGACACCTTACTTCTGTGGTTACTAATTTTTTTTTTTCTGTGGGTTTGTTGTGAGTGACCATGTCTGTTGTGAGTGACCATGTCTGTTGTGAGTGACCATGTCTGTTGTGAGTGACCATGTCTGTTGTGAGTGACCATGTCTGTTGTGAGTGACCATGTCTGTTGTGAGTGACCATGTCTGGCACTGGTAGCACAGAGTAAGCAAACACTGATGGCATCAAATTTGTGTCTAAACATTCTCCTAAATTTAGTCCTTGGATTCAGAGATAAGGTAAGTCAGTTTCTTCCCCTGCTGCCTTTCCTGTCTGCAAGTCACTAGAGGAGTTTGACCATGCCGTCAGACTGGAGTGTCTCTTGAGCTGAACAGGTCGGGGACAAATCTTGCCATCACAGAGGACTGAACCCAGATAACTATCGTCGAAGGTGAGCACACTAACTACTACACTTCATGACTGATAAATATTTATAAAATATTCCAGTAACAAATTTCAGTAAACTCATTCAAGACCAGAATTAGGCCAGAAATAACTCACCTAAAGAACTCTTTCTTTTCAGCATCACTCTTGACTGTGATGTGTCGCAGAAATGTTATAATCTCGATTAGCTCTGACCTGTCAACCAACAAATAAACTGAATGCAACTAAAACTGAAAACAATAACTGAACTATTGTTGATGGATAGTTTCACTGTCTATGTTGAGGGGGTGACACATGTCAAACAAATAAACTATTGTGGATGGACAGGGGCTGACACATGTCAAACAAATGAACTATTGTGGATGGACAGGGGCTGACACATGTCAAACAAATGAACTATTGTGGATGGACAGGGGCTGACACATGTCAAACAAATGAACTATTGTGGATGGACAGGGGCTGACACATGTCAAACAAATGAACTATTGTGGATGGACAGGGGCTGACACATGTCAAACAAATGAACTATTGTGGATGGACAGGGGGCTGACACATGTCAAACAAATGAACTATTGTGGATGGACAGGGGCTGACACATGTCAAACAAATGAACTATTGTGGATGGACAGGGGCTGACACATGTCAAACAAATGAACTATTGTGGATGGACAGGGGCTGACACATGTCAAACAAATGAACTATTGTGGATGGACAGGGGCTGACACATGTCAAACAAATGAACTATTGTGGATGGACAGGGGCTGACACATGTCAAACAAATGAACTATTGTGGATGGACAGGGGCTGACACATGTCAAACAAATGAACTATTGTTGATGGACAGGGGGTGACACATGTCAAACAAATGAACTATTGTTGATGGGAAGGGGGTGACACATGTCAAACAAATGAACTACTGTTGATGGACAGGGGGTGACACATGTCAAACAAATGAACTATTGTTGATGGACAGGGGCTGACACATGTCAAACAAATGAACTATTGTTGATGGACAGGGGCTGACACATGTCAAACAAATGAACTATTGTTGATGGACAGGGGGTGACACATGTCAAACAAATGAACTATTGTTGATGGGAAGGGGGTGACACATGTCAAACAAATGAACTACTGTTGATGGACAAGGGGTGACACATGTCAAACAAATGAACTATTGTTGATGGACAGGGGCTGACACATGTCAAACAAATGAACTATTGTTGATGGACAGGGGCTGACACATGTCAAACAAATGAACTATTGTGGATGGACAGGGGCTGACACATGTCAAACAAATGAACTATTGTTGATGGACAGGGGGTGACACATGTCAAACAAATGAACTATTGTTGATGGACAGGGGGTGACACATGTCAAACAAATGAACTATTGTTGATGGGAAGGGGGTGACACATGTCAAACAAATGAACTACTGTTGATGGACAAGGGGTGACACATGTCAAACAAATGAACTATTGTTGATGGACAGGGGCTGACACATGTCAAACAAATGAACTATTGTTGATGGACAGGGAGTGACACATGTCAAACAAATGAACTATTGCTGAAGGTCAGTACCACTGTCTATGTTGAGAGGGTAACACATGTCAAACAACTGAAGTAAAGAAGTGACTTCTGGAAATCTTTGGGGGCTATCACTAGTGTTTTGGAGGTTTGTGTGACAATCTAGGAGGAGACTTGGCGCACTGGAGAAAAAAAGACTGGGCCATATGGGATAAAACTATTTTTCTTCTTCTTTCTTTTTTTCTTTTGTTTGCCTGAAATAATTGTCTTCATGTACACTTTTGTCTCTTGTAGTCGATCTTTTGGGCAGAGGATCTGGGGCTGCACTGAGGGCCTGGGGCTACACAGAGGGCCTGGGGCTACACAGAGGGCATGGGACTGCATAGAGGGCCTGAGACTGCATAGAGGGCCTGAGACTGCATAGAGGGCCTGAGACTGCATAGAGAGCCTGGGACTGCACAAAGGGCCTGAGACTGCATAGAGGGCTTAAGACTGCACTGAGGGCCTGGGACTGCACTGAGGGCCTGGGACTGCACAGAGGGCCTAGGACTGCACAGAGGGCCTGGGACTGCACAGAGGGCCTGGGACTGCACAGAGGGCCTGGGACTGCACAGAGGGCCTGGGACTGCACAGAGGGCCTGGGGCTGCACAGAAGGCTTGGGGCTGCACAGAAGGCTTGGGACTGCATAGAGGGCTAGAGACATAGGGTCTGGGACTGCACCTGCCTGAGAGTCCATCAAAGGGTGAGCACTATCACAATTTGCTAATTCAATCATAATTCTGCAGCGTGTGCCATCCTGTTTGCTGCTGTGTGCTACCTGGCCGGTTACCTCTGACCTCAGCACCTTGTTTTGCTAGAGCTGATCATGGTCATACTTGAGGCAATTCAGTTTTACGGTGCCAGATACTCCCCACAGCCCCTTCTCCTTGTTAAACTATTTTCTTTGGCTTTTAAACTGGCTGTCTCAGTCCCATGAGAGTCTTGATCTGGCTAGGGATGCATTCTTTGAGGTTAAAGAAAATGGAGGATGAAACATTCATTAAGGAAAATGCCATCCAATGATACAGAGGTCTCCTGCTTGCTCTATGCCAGTGTTTATACAACCAGCACAAACTGTCATAACGGGGTGCAGATTTGGGCTTTCACATATACTAGGCCATGGCAGCAGAAGATGGGTGTCGCGTACAGAGCATGCACTAGAACACACCATTAATGACTAGGCTTATAGGACGTCATAAGCGTTACATATTGTTATTAGGGAAACTGAATCTTAGAGAGATTCGCAGTCAAGAAGTCCGAAGAGGTGGACGTTGTTGTCCTAATGCGGCTCATCCCAAGAGAAGATTGACCCACGGAGAATTTCAGCCTGGTTGCTGGAGCCTTACTGCTCTGCTTTTTCTGCAGGAAGCAGGATAACTTTACTCTGATGTTTTAACTCAGCGGGACTGTTGGATAAACATGAATTAACGACATGGTCGTGTTCAACAGATTGGGATGCATACTGATTTGTTGAAGAAACCAGTATTATTTCAAGGTCGAGCTGCTGACTTATAGTGAGCTGATAACGAATCCGATATAGAATATGGATTCTAATGTCTCAAGGGAAGTGTGAGTACGCTAGCAAGTGCTCAGAGTGTTTGGGCGGGTCTTGTCCACATATCATGTTATTGCACATTTTCGCTCGGATCATAGTGTTGGTAATTCACCAGTGTTCGGGCATATAGAGCTAGACCTATACTTTCTAGATCAATTGGCCCTCAGTGTCACCCTGGCAACCTTTACTTCTGAGGTATTTTACCTGGTACCCATTTAAGGCTGGGCTGACCTAACACACCACGTGCTGTGTTGACACACACAGACATATGCTGAGCATATACATATGGTGTGTTGTAAAGGACAGCAAGAGCCAAGTTTCTCAGCTTAATCAGTGAAGAAATCAACAAGCCAGATGCTGACAACCAATATAAGAATAACATTAGACATACATGGTAGATCAATAAAAGAAAAACTTTACACGTGTCTTAGATCAATACAAGGATAACATTACCGACACATGTTAGATCAATACAGACAGTACGAGATAGGTGTCCATTTTATTGACTTTCTAGATCTGAATCAAAACAAACACAGAAATGTGTGTGCTGGTGAAAAGATGAGTCAATGAAGCCAAAACTCTGTCGTTAAGCACCAGCAAGGATATACAAATTAAAAATTTTGAAAGCCAACATCTTTATAGCAACATACAGATGTCAGTTGTTGACTTTATAGCAACATATGGATGTGACTCGTTGACTTTATAGCAACATATGGATGTGACTTGTTGACTTTACAGCAACATATATATGTGTATCATATAATACCTCGAAGTCCTTAAGAAAGAAAATAAGGGCTTTCGAGCTGAAATGCTACAGAAAGATTCTCAGAATACCACAGACAAAGAAGAGAAGAAAAACTGACATTTTAAAAGATCTGAACATCAAGGAAGATTAGCTAATAAACAGCATCTTGTCTCAGAAGCTGAAATATTTTGGTCATATCAACTTCCACGACGGACTTTTTAAAAAATAGCGGCTGAAGGCATAGTACCAGGAAGATGGAGCAGGGGCCAACTAACATAAGATGGACATAGGATACAAGTGACTGCTTGAAAGTACATGAGGCGGGAGAGCTGGCGATAGACAAAGTTTCTTTCTGGCGGACCTTGACAAGAGCAAAGTTCTGCAAAGGACTTGCTACATGATGATGACGAGTGAAGTTGAATCCTACTAGGACCACAAACTAAGTGATTAACACCTAGTAACACAAAGTTCAAAGTGTCCCTATCTGGATGGGAATCATCCAACTAAAAATTCCAGAAATCCTTTTTCAACTGTCGGTTATGCTCCCCACCCCCCTTTTCCTCCCCACCAGTTACAAAGTAACCTGAAGTCAAAACAGGAAAAACAAATTCAACACACGTAGAGCTCAAGGGCTTTTATAGTTCACGTTGGAGGGAGATCTGTGAAGGAAGAGTGGGGCTTTTTTTTAAAACTGACATATGGTTCGACTATAGAGGTTATGCTAGTAACTAAAGCAATAGCCTTGCCAGAGACACAAACTGCCAGGTTCCAGTTCAGCCTATGGCACTAGAAGGTATGTTAATGGTTATCACTCGTGTCTGTAAGAGGTGACCCAGACACGAACTCAAGGTTAGACTATCACGTCAAACGAGGAGAAGTCATGACGACTGAACTCTATGCATAGGAAAGTCACGAGAAATGTAGAGCGGAGTTGAAAGAGGTAAAGGAACGAAAGCCAGCTCTGGACAGACTGCAGTAGACTTGAGCTTGACGTGTTAGCGACAAAGACCGATTAGCCGTGTTGTGTGTTATCAACCAGTCAGTGACGGGCGTTAAGTGTACTGTTCAGTAAGGTGGTAGTTGTGAACCGTTTTGTACAGTGTTCTAAAGCAGTTAATCGGGCGTAGCATTAGTTAGGGATTAGAAGTGTATGAGTAGAACCTATTAGGCAGTTGGGTACAGTTATCATGGATTGGTTGTAGCGTTAACACTGCCCTCGCACAGCTGGACAATTTACCCGTGGCGAGGATAACGGCTTAACCAGCGCTGTATGAAAGTATAGTGGGTTTGAATCCCAGGATATCCATTGGAATGGTACGGCCCTACTAGTGACTGTAAAAGCTAGGCGGCCAGCATTTCCGATTAGGGACTCCTGCAACTTTGAGGCTAACTTTTAGTTTGAATTGATCTTTGTTTATTAAGATTTTGTGTATACTCCACAGGTGTTTGGTTTAAGTGTGTATTAGAGTAGTTTTGTCTGTTATCAGCCTACAATACGATCCAGAGTAAATAGAGAAGAGAGAAGGTCGCTGAAACAGACCTTCATTCAGGCATGCTTACTCCATGACTCAGTGAGTATGTTCAGGAACAGAAAGAAGGAGGTGGGCAAGAAGACAGGAGGTGGGCATGAAGACAGTATCTGTAGCCTCTAAAAAGGTTGGAGGTGCCAATAATTGAGCAAATTTCTAGGTTTTCTAGGTGAGGCTATGTGGAAAGAGGATACCTATCACTACCTGTTTTCTTCTCGTTACATCTATGAGTGAACAGCAGTACATGTCAGTTGTGCAGTGACTGTAATAAATATAGATTGTCAATGGCGCAGTAATTCTAACAAATGTGTCCAAAGACTGCTGAGCCACACCTGAGGCTAACCTGTGTGACTACATAACCAGGTGAATAGGTCCGGCACATACCTGAACACAGGTAAGCTCAACAAACTGGACACTCCTGGTCTGGAGGCTGGATCAGGGCTCAAACATACAGACAGCTGCTGCTCCAGCATCTGAGCACAGGTATCTGTAAGCATAAATATGAGTGAGAATGAATTAAATATGAGCTGCCCTCAATTGCATGATTCAGATATGAAGGTAAGCCATATAAGAGATATAAGGAAAGAGGTATGACAGATGAGAAGTATGACAGGTGAGGCTCACCTCTCTCTCTGACCAGTCAAAGATTATCCCAGCTCACCTTTCTCTCTGACCAGTCTAAGATTATCTCAGCTCACCTTTCTCTCTGACCAGTCTAAGATTATCTCAGCTCACCTTTCTCTCTGACCAGTCTAAGATTATCTCAGCTCACCTCTCTCTCTCTCTCTGGCCAGTCTAAGATTATCCCAGCTCACCTTTCTCTCTGACCAGTCTAAGATTATCTCAGCTCACCTCTCTCTGACCAGTCTAAGATTATCTCAGCTCACCTCTCTCTGACCAGTCTATGATTACCCCAGCTCATCTCTCTCTCTGACCAGTCTAAGATTATCCCAGCTCACCTCTCTCTCTGACCAGTCTAAGATTATCTCAGCTCACCTCTCTCTCTGACCAGTCTATGATTAACCCAGCTCACCTCTCTCTCTGACCAGTCAAAGATTATCCCAGCTCACCTATCTCTCTCTCTGACCAGTCTAAGATTATCTCAGCTCACATCTCTCTCTGACCAGTCTAAGATTATCTCAGCTCACCTATCTCTCTCTCTGACCAGTCAAAGATTATCCCAGCTCACCTCTCTCTCTGACCAGTCTAAGATTATCTCAGCTCACATCTCTCTCTGACCAGTCTAAGATTATCCCAGCTCACCTATCTCTCTCTCTGACCAGTCTAAGATTATCTCAGCTCACCTCTCTCTCTGACCAGTCTAAGATTATCCCAGCTCACCTCTCTCTCTGACCAGTCTAAGATTATCCCAGCTCACCTCTTTTTATCTCTGACCAGTCAAAGATTATCTCAGCTCACCTCTCTCTCTGACCAGTCTAAGATTATCCCAGCTCACCTTTCTCTCTGACCAAATCCAAGATGACCTCAACCAGAGTACCAAAAGCAAACACATCCCTGGCATGTCCGAGAGAGCTGTCCCTTCTCACGCTGCTTGCCTGTGGGTTAGAACAAGAATTCAACAATTAACAGCTAGTTCTAAAAAGAGAAGTGTCAACAAAAGTCATGATCTTATTAAAAACATTTGAAAGCAGAGGCTTATGAAACATATTTGGACCCATCAAAGAAGCAAACTGTGAAGAATGGAGAGTGCGGAGCAACAATGACTTTCATAATCTGTTTAAACCATCAATAATTACTGGCATCATGATGGCTATTATACTGTGATGGCTGGGGCATACAGACAGAATTGCAGATAACAGAGAGGTAAAAACTGTGCAGAAAAAAGAGCTGAATGGGAGTAGATCATGAGGCAGAACAAGAAACCCATGGAAAAATAATGTAACTGTAAAGACAAGGCCAATCACAGAGACAAATGATCTCTATAGATTTAACCTCAAAGATGTAGAACGCTGAAGAAGAAGAAGTCAAAAATACTCCTGCGACAACAGGGAACAGAACTCAAAGTCAACTAGAACGCTAACCACTACAATCACCATAACTCCTTTCATTTTGTGCAACACAGAAGAATGTGATGACCCTGTTTTGCGTGGTAACCCACGTTCACAGCAAGCCGAGCAGGAAACCCATGCAAGAGAGGACGGCACAAGACCCTCGGGGGTGGAGAGATGAATGAGGAAAAGCCTAAGATTCGCTTTTAGTCAGTTGTGTACCAGAGTTTGAAGAAGTCAGCTGACATGTAGTTGATGTAGTTTGAAGGAAGTGTATTCAACGTTGTGTGAATGATTATTGTGGCATTATTGTGGAGGTGAATAGCGATGGCTGCGACTGAGCTGAGGAGCCAAGAACTGACATCACAGCACTCGGGGCATTCCCATATGTGCTCCGTCTTCATCTTCAGCAGCCAGTGCAGAGTTCCAATACTGATGGTACCTGTCACAATCTGGTTATATGTCCATCTTGCCTTTCTTCTGAGTCTAGTAAGCCGGCCAGACCCTCTGGTTACATCCAGGTGCCTCAATCTCTCCAGGCCATAATAATCTGGTTTCTCTACTGATTCCGGTGCTTGTCCCAAAGGGCCTTGACTACATCTGCCTTGTGTTGCTGTGACTGAATAAATTGTGAGGGAATAGAGTGGAAGAATTTACATCGTAACGTGAGCGCGTTCTGCACTGTTAACTGTATAAAGTTGTATCTGTTATCAAGTGAGAGAGAAACATTAAAAGCGAGCCAGCAATATTAGAAAGAAAATTGACTGACCTTCTCTTCTGGGGATAGACTGTCCTCCTGGCGGAAAGCTCGGATTCGATCCAGGTACTCTTGCGTTGCTTCATGAAACTTGCATGCAAACTCTAAGCCACCCAACTTCCAGGATCCATCAGAGCTTACAAACACGGATGACAGGCATACATTGTTGTGGCATACACCAAGCTGTGAACATAAAGCATGTATAGCATATGTGCTTACATTAGCAATTCACCTCATCTAAAGTAACAACTGTATTCATCAAATCAAATGTTGCAAGTTTTATCTCATCGATTTATCTCACCATACATTACAATCAGTTACCTCACTGTAAAAAAAAACTATATTCACTTTACAGTTTATTATAAACATATTCACCTCCCAACACATTCATCACCATCATTCTGTTGTCACCTATGGCATGCAGTCTCAGCCTCCATTCTGTTCTACTGAGCAGACTGAGACATTTTAGAAATAACTAGCTCTAAACTTTAATTGCATCGTAAACTTGATCAGATGGAAAAAGATTAGAAATAACAAACTCTAAACTTCCATTATATATGTAAACATAACTCGACAGAAAACTTAGGTTAACTAACTAACTATGAAATTTCAAATATATGTGTAAACATAACAAGACAAACCCTGCTCCAAACGTGAGAAACTGCCTCATATTCAGTATTAACAGTGATGGGACAGATGATCTAAATCTTGGATGACAAGTCTCACCTTCGAGTGCAAGAACTCCAGACCTTGTAGCACATCGTGCAGCCCTGCGCAGAGTTCCTGGGAAGAAATGTCCGAGACAAAAGTAAACAGTGGTGACACTGATTCCGTAGCCAACCAGAATCCATCTGACGAACGGCCACAACCAATGAAACGAATGATGTTTGGATGTCTCAAGCCACGCAGAGTCTGTAGAAAAGATTTGCACAGTCTGCAGAAGCTCAAATATAATCCAAAATAAATTTATCATCAACTGCCCACCCCCTTTTTTTTCTCCCTCCCCTTCACACCTGTGCATCCAATCAGGTGGTTGATGGAAACATTTAAGGTGTCAGTTCACACCTGTGCATCCAATCAGGTGGTTGATGGAAACATTTAGGGTGTCAGTTCACACCTGTGCATCCAATCAGGTGGTTGATGGAAACATTTAGGGTGTCATTTCACACCTGTGCATCCAATCAGGTGGTTGATGGAAACATTTAGGGTGTCAGTTCACACCTGTGCATCCAATCAGGTGGTTGATGGAAACATTTAGGGTGTCATTTCACACCTGTGCATCCAATCAGGTGGTTGATGGAAACATTTAAGGTGTCAGCTCACACACAAAAACTCTCCACTTTAGAATGCAATCCGTTTGTGTTATTCTAGCTTTATAAATTATAAGTTCCTCTACATGATTGTTGAAAGGTCTTAGCCAACTGGGAACTACTGCTTTACATACACCCACATAAACAACAATGATCAAAAGTCTCTGACTAGCAAATCAACAGCTCACTGTCTTCTACAGGATGCTGATATAGAAAATGTTAAGATAGAAAATGATTCCATAATTGATTTGAACACTTGCTGAAACGTCACCTTGATAGGAGACAAAGGGGAAGACAAAGAAATAGATGCCTGGATGACATAACAACATGGATGGTTTGGGGACAAGAGCATGTACATGATCCGTGATTCTGGTGAAATATTACAGACTACACTTATCTGCATGGTATAAGATGATGATTCTTGTTTCCCATTTGTAGTTCGCTGACAAGGACTGGCTGAAATACTTCTGGTGCACCTGTTAGTGCCTTTTGTCTGTCAAACCTTCCAGTCTCATATCCAGCCTACTTACATTTATTCACTGATCTTTAAATGAACAATACAAAAGTCTTCTGCTGTACTAACCAATCAGTAGCCACAATTCATGAAAACTAAATTGCCAGTATCATGAATAATGCACGCACAAAGACAGAGTGTAAACAAAGACCAGTTCCGATGCTAAACTGATTATGTGACACAGGAATAAAGTGTGGTGAAGCTGGTATATGCTATTTATAAGCAGATCAGGGCTATTCAACTAACGGCCCGAGGGTCAATTCTGGCCCGTTAAGGCCTAGTACATGGTCTGCAGATCACTGCCACACACTGTATTAATGATCTTTCTACGATTGGCCCGTGACAATCCCAATTTTTGCCCCTGGGTAAACTTGGTTGAATAGCCCGGAAGTAGATGATATATTTGAGGTTGAGATATGCGAAATTATAACCAACTTCTCATAGGAACAGTCAACAAAAGTACCTCGGGGTGGCTACTGCATTGGAGAATTCAGCAAGCTGGGAATGCCCAATGTGCAATGACATCGATTGTGAAAACATAACATTAGACAAAGACATGAAACAAATACTTACAGAAGCAAACTTTTGTAATAACTCCTCATTTTTCTTATCTGAGCTCTTTGAATCAAACACAGTTCCTGATGTTCCATCGGCCTTCGTAACAGGGCACATCTGCCAGGGAAACTTGGGAGGACAATCAATCTGCGGCCCCCACTCACAACCTTCCAAGACACTGTTTTCTGCTCCCATTTCAGTCGCCAGGTTCTTTGCTCTGTTTTTTTGTAGGAACATTTTCTTATGTTATTGTTATGAGTGTTTTATAGCTAATTAGCTGATAGTCTTCCTCAACCATCTTGAAGAAAACAGACGGAACCCTTACAAATAGAAAAGGGGGGATAAAGAGGATGAGATGAAGGAGGATGAAAAGCTTCTTCTTCTTCTTCTTCTTCTTCTTCGAGCTGACCAGTGGTTAAGGCCTTAGGGGGGAGCATGTGTACAATTTGGAACAGCAGACTGATTATCAAAGTCTGGTGAAAGTGATGCAGCAAGGAGTGACTCTGGTCGACACTCGATGCCCAGAGAAAAGGCGAGACAGATATATAATTAGACTGCTACTGGTAATATTGGTATTGAAAGTCCGCACTGGCTGCTGAAGAAGGGTATGGAGCATTTATGATAATGCCTCGAGTGCTGTGATGTCGGTTCTTGAATCAAATCATATCTGTCTCAGGAAGGACTACCTCTTCTGATGTCGTACCTTTCCATGATAATCTTTGCATTCTTCTCAAAAATTACATTTCTGCCGGGGTACATTTTTTTTTCAGCTTGTCTACTTACTGTCCATCGGCTCTGTGGCTAAGTCGATGCGAACGCTTCATAATGCCCGGGTGCCGGGTTCGATCCCAGCTGCGGGCCATACGCCTTGCTTTGGTTTTGACAGTGGTATCAGGGGGCCGACCGTCCAGAAAACAATGGCAAACTACTGGATGTAAATGTGCCTAAAGAAACCACACAACAGCCAGGGGCTGCTGGGGTTGGTTCTGCAACGTCCTGTAAAGGAAATGCAACTAACCTAATCTACTTACTGTCCACATTTCACATGCATTTAACAACAAAGCATCTACATAGCACTTCACTATTTAAATCTACCAGACAGATGTACCACTTTTCCAGTTTTTTCCTAATCTGTCACTAAACGGCTGCACATAATTTTCAGTATTTTGTGTACTTACATGAAAAAATGTGTCACAAACAAAAAATAACCAATCAATCATTTTCAAACCTCGTAGTTAGTCATTACAAATGGCTTTCCCATGTGTTTGGATTTACTTTGTGTGGTTTATTGTAAAAAAAAATTCTGAAAATTCACAACGAAACGAACAGCTGATGAACCAAGTACTTTGACAGGAAATATAGTATGAGGTCCAGGCTTTTCACAGCCCAACAGGTGATCGATACTTTGGTTGATTCAGACTTTGAGGAGTCAGAATTTTATCAAGAATACGTCCCCAGTTCAAGTGATACAGACAGTGAGAGCTCGAGTGATGAGGAGAATCTTGAACCTTATAGATCTAAAACTAGATTGATAGTAAGAGAAGGGGGTGTGTCCCTCAAACAGCAGCATCTAGTGGTCCCTTTGTGAAACAAGACTGATCCTGCTGGGTGGATTGGCACTAGATGAAAAGTGAACTTATTTTCTACAATGTCTCTGAGTTTAATATTATTCTAACCACTTGTTTGCATGTAACTAATATTTGTGTATATCATGTTGGGTTTTTCATCTGAATGCCCAGGAGGTAAGGTATAGGGGACAGTTAGGTTCAGGGCCTCAGGTCTGGTAGGGTTAACATTCTTTTTCTCAGCGCAGATGACATTTTATTGTTGTCTAAGATAGTATCTTTTGTATCTTTATAACCGGGAGAGGGAGAGGGGGAGAGAGGCCGCTACAGAGAGGTGAGTAGAGAGGACTAAAGAGACCACGTTACGCTGTAAATAGGTACTTTAGTCAAATTTTCAAAATGCCCTCTACACCAATAAAACCAGCACAGTTAGATAGCTGAAACAATCTCTTTCCAATGGTACCTCATTTAGGCTTATATGTCATTTCTGAGCTGAGATATGTAGGTTTTTGTGGAGATGAGATGTAAAAAACTGTTCCAATATAATGAAGCTTTGGCACTTGTCCAACTGAACCTTCACAATTCAAAACCAAACTCCTTTAGTGCTTTTATATCACTCAGTGAGATTCATGAATCTAGGAACTAGAAATGGGAAGTGGTCAAATGAGTATAAGTATAAGTGATAAGGAGTTAAACTCCCATTAAAAACACACACACTAGCAGTAACAGCAGTTTCAGTAGAGGTAGAGCAGCATAAATTGCATAAATGGCTGATGATAGGTAAACAACTCAGATAATGAGATATCCGTTGTCAAATATATTATATTGCTCGTCTTACAAATGTAGTAGAACTGTCAGAAGACAAGAAAGCAAAGACTAAAGGTTAGATACAAACAACGCCCACCTCCTTCCCCACAAAACACCTAGAAAACCTTTAGTTTAGTGCCATGAACAAGTGTTTACGTATCCTGCCTGACAGATACTTCGTGTCTGCCGCACCGCCGGAAGTCGTCTTGGCGGGTCCTAGTTTTGCAACCACCCGCTGTTAATTCTCTCAGTTTGAAAGTTTCTTAAGAAAAAAAAAATACCTAAAGAGAAGTACGACTAGTTAAAGTACTCTTTTTTACTTTTTCAGGCGTGTGTAGCATGTAACACTAGATCTATATCTTAAAGATCGATCAGAAGTCGGTGGATGGTGTGGTCAACACAGCACTGGCCCCCTTTTCTATCCAGGACTTTACCCGGAGCACTTAATGGTTACTAATACCACTTTTGTAACATTACGTTGATCCGTTGTTCAAGCCAAACCAATCAACACTTGGACTTTGCCTGGTACCCATTTAAGGCTGGGTCGGCCTGGGAGCCAGTCTTTTTTTTTTTTTATTTTTTTTTTTTTTAAATCTCACTCCACTCAGATCGAACCCACTACCTTTGGATCCGCAGATGGGCGTGTGGCCGCTACACCACGATGGCTCCGAAGAAAAACTAGACAGTTAATTATGTGTCCCAGTTATCATCCAGACTAGTTTAACCGCACGGGATATCGTTATTTCCTAATACTGAAATTCCATTATCGGTTAGAAACAGGCTATTTAGGCTAGAAAGTTTTTCTCACATAAACACCACACTGTTTCTAGATTTAAAAAAAAAAAAATACAATTGCTGAATGAAAGAGGGGTGTATGTCAGATACCAAAATATGTGTCTGATTTTATTAGAAAGCGTCGCTGGAATTACATCGGTCACGTACTCAGAATGGACATACAGAGACTTCCCCACCAAGCCTTCATATGGTCACCAGAGGGTAAAAGAAAACAGGGAAGACCAAAAGAAACTCTCCGTAGACCCATCACAAGGGAGAGCTCAACCATAGGTCTCAGTCGCACTCAAGACCTACATCAAGTGGCAAAGAACCGACAGACGTGGAAAGCTATGACCTCTGCCCTATGCGCCATCTTTGGCACAAGAGGAATAACTAACTAACTAACCGGGTACCATATCAGCTGACCTTACTAGGCCACTGTAGCCTATGTTTATGTCTCTTACCTGCCAATTGATATGTGACAGACGATTCCTTGGGTGAGCCCAGTACCAGAGCACCATGTATTAGCTCTGCATTTGTGGAAGCCTCCTTGGATGGCGGGGAATGCTCATGTTCTGCCCCTGCCTTCTCTTGAGGGCTGATCAGCATTATGTGGCCTCTCTGGATGAGCCTGATTGGGGCACCACCAGGGAAATAAAGATGACCACACAACAATGCGACTGCCAGGTCCCCAGAAATTAACCGGGAAGGCTAACCCGGTCAACAAATGCCCGCAGAAGTCGGATGTGCCGAAAGGTGCAAATATCGCAGCCATGCTGTAAACGGACACAACGCAATTACATCTTTGGATGAACGCAGAAGAAGAAGAAGAAAATATGTGACAAAGGAGTTCAGGGTTGTTTGATAAAACTCATCATCATGTGGCAGGTCCTTTGTGTTGATATTCTCGCCTCCCATGACGGTCTGTCTGGAAGAAAGTCGGTCTCTCGCCCCCGCCTCGTGTACTTTCATATTCAGGGAGTCGTTTATATTCTGTACCCATCTTCGTGTTGGTCGGCACCTGCCCCCCCCCCCCCTTCCTGGTACCATGACTTCTGCTATTATTTGTTCCAATCCGCCGTGGCGGATGAACAAAATATGAAAATATGAACAAAATACTTCAGCTTCCGAGACAAGATATATGTTGTTTATTAGCCAGTCTTCCTTGATGTTCAGATCTTGTAAAATGTCAGTATATATTTTTATCCTTATCCATGGTATTCCGATAATCTTTCTAGAGCATTTTAACTCAAAAGCTTTTATTGTCTTTCTTAAGGACTGGGAGATAGTCCACGACTCACATCCGCAAGTTCCTACAAGGGAAGATGCGTGCTCTCAAAATTTTAATTTCAGTTTCCTTGCTGGTGCTTAGCTGTAGAATTGTAATGCTGTTTATAGAACTTGCTGTAATGACATGATTACACATAGAGACTTAACTGAAGGGCTCGAAAGTTGCCCCCCCCCCCCCCCCCCCCCCCCGAAAGTTTTTTTTTTTTTAATCACGAATAGAGAATAAAAGAAATGCCGCGGTACTGTGAGTTACCAGCATGATAAGATCACTTACTAAAATCTTCAGGGAAAATGCAAGTAAAAATTACGGGAGCATATCAACAGAACATAGATAAGTGAAATTAGGTTTGTATGGGCATATATATTTATACGCGGACTTAAGACATGTAATATAACGACTGGTAATGCTAGTGGAAAGCCAGCAAGGGAAAGGCAAAGAGATAAATATCTGATTGGTTACGCCACACAGATGGGGACAGACAAAAACTTAGACCTAGTCTATGATTTTGGCGATCGTGTGAAATACTCGAACATGTCAGTCTATGTTTAGCGACACCGCACAAAATGATGACGAATGTTGTGTGCTAACTCACGTTAGCATGTAAATAGAACCTTCCTGTCGAAAAGGACGATAGGCCCGGCTATTGTTTTTCTTCGTAGCAAAGTTTTGCTTCTGACAGACGGTGGCCGTTGCATTTTCCTCCATTTGTAGACTGAAAGGATATAGTTTTGTCGTCCAGCTACTGAGTTGAGTGTATG